GCATGAGTTTGATGGCCCAACTGAACAGTCCACCGGTCTTGTTTCCCACCATCTCCAGATATTCTTCTTCGGTTGGACATGCCAGGGTGTCTCTCCAGAACAAATCCATCCCCTGTCCTCTATGCAGGTTCAGCAACTCCGTAGTAAATATGCTGATCGCATCGGGGTTATGGAGCTTCTGAATTTCGTCCAGAGCTAGGAAGTAAATGTAATTTGCGGAGTTGATCGTCTGCGCCGTCCCAAAAATGTTATGCGCAACCGGAACACCTCGCCGCAAAACCGATGAATCTTCAACGTCATCTACGCTACACAGCAAATCCGAACTATTAGCTCCGTTCATTATCGTTACCGGCGAGAGGTGGTCCAAAAGGAATGTGACTCACAGCAACGATGCGGTATGCAGCATTAGAACCACCTTGGTAATGACTGCCAGACTCTCCTCGGGAACATGCAGCCAGCGGTTAAAAGCCGCAATGAGCTGCTTGCGTATATCCTTCCCAGGCTGCTGCACCATATATTCGTAGGGACCCACTAGGATCTTCTCTTTCTCGGAACACCACATGCCGTCAGTATTACTTATTACGATCTTGGTGCAGAGCTTCGACTCGCTCGAGTCGCCCACGCTGGGATATTTGGGTGACAAAATATGAGGATGGCTATTGTAGGTCGGGGAGTCATGCGGCTTTCTGGAGGATGCGATCCATTCTTCTTCGGAGACGGGCTTGAGAACCGTGGTTCGCGTGGAAGGTGGATAGGTAGCTCCGTTCGTGACACCAGTCGAGCTTGTGCGAGGAGGGATCGGGTTTGGCGATGAAAGTGGCTCAGGCATGGCCATGGCCTCTTTCTGGAGAGGTTTCTGGGTGGATCACAAGACCAAATGCTGGGTACTGGATTGCAGCCGAAGCTTCAAGTGCTGGAGCGCAGGTGCAATGTTCTGATGGACGAGGTGCTTTGAGAGCTGCCTGCCGCTCGTGTTGTGTGTGGGGTTCGGTGAAATGCGCCTGCCTGGAGACAGGGACTGCTCCTGGAAGATGGGTTCCCTAAGAATCAAGAATAGCAGCGCTTTGGAAAAAAATACAGGTGGCCCTGATGCTCCTGACTTGGGCAGATGTTGTGAACAGACTCTGGATGAAGCGGAAACAGTCTCACCACTCAATCACATGCCGCACTCGATGATGTCGATGTCTTGAGCTTGGGCCGCGAGGTTTGGCTTGCGGGCTGTTGATTGGTGGGTGATAGCTAGCCTAATGACAAAGCATAGAAATTCGGAACATAGTTACTCCGTACTACTTCGTTAGTCAGCTACTTCTACCCCCTAGATATCACAGTGGTTAAAGGGGAACATCCGAGCAAGCATAGATAGATCATGGAGAACCCGAAATAAAGACCAGCTGCTCTTCAGAGACCCGAACTGTCAGAATCAAAGCCTATCGCATTTTCTTCGTCTGTTGTCACATCCCCATCCTCCTCCCCCTTTTCCCATTTGTCTAAGCCGGCCTTTTGCTTTGCAGATGGCACAAAACGCTTCTCATACGCCGCCCGGATGATCGATCGTGTCTTCCACTTAAATGTCCCCGGGTGGGACACAAGAAAGAGAACTGCGTCAAAGATTGTGGCTCTATTTTTGATCTCACCGTCAAATGCGCCCAGCAGCATCAAATACAAGAGCTTAAACGCCGCATCGCGCGCCGTTGACTTGTTTCCCTCGATTACTCGACAACGCCCGTATTCGCGCTCGTAATCAGCTTTGCAGGATCTCAGCTCATTGAAGATCTCACGGATCGTCTGCCCATTCAGGATATCAACACCGAGAAAGTCGTACGTTTCACACAGGGTGCGATGCTGGGAAAGGTCGGGTGGAAGGCACCGGAAACATTGTCGATAACCCCCTTCGATCCCCTTGAGTGCTTCTGAAAAGAGAGGGATAGGCCCATGGACAAACTCCGTTATACCCGGCTGAGTTGTCGCCCGGAATTTGACAAACGATGCCAGATAGGGTATCCTTGATAGTTCAACGTTGAATCGAACGTCGCCGACCTGTATTGCAGTCATCAGAGGCGCTTTTTTAGCTGCACTATCGATACTCTCTCGCTCTCCAGTTGGTGGCTCTGGGTTGATTCTGTCGTGCCATTTGGAATATAAGTCATCGGGTAGTATCTTTGCTGCCTTTTCTTTCCAAATTATGAGCTTGTCTGCCTGGGCATCATATCTCACAACAGCGTGCCCGCCACAATTTTTAATCTCCCTGAGCATTTTGTGAATGAGGGTGGCCAATTTCGCCAGCTCCGTTTGATTACACTCCTCCCATTTTTTGACTTGAACCGCGACATTTTCGACACTCGGCCTCTGGAACCTACCACCTTGGTGGTAAGCTCGCACCAGTTTAGGGGTTTGCGATATCCAGAGCTGTGGTGCGACCTCTCTCATCTCAATGGTTTTATGAAAGACTCGGGTTTTTATCTCAAGGGTAGACTCAATCGACACGATCTGGCCTTCGCGTTTGATTGTCAGTCCTGTCGCAGTACGAGTGGGCGGTGATAGAGACATCGCCGCCAGCATGCCTGAGAGCCCCTTGTCTTCGGTTTGAAAAGCGTTGGAGGGTTCCGTTGAGGCAGTGTCAACATACCCGTCGGTTTCATGGCGAATGATGAAGGACATATCGCCGAAACGGTATGAGATGATTCTGTGATGGCCAGTGCTATTGCTAACTTGGTTCGTAGTATATTTCTTTTCAAACTCGTGGCCATAGCCCTTAAATTCGTGCGGTCCGATCACTTCCTGGACTGCGGTTTCCACGCGGCAGAATATTGCCGTATCTTTTACGATCTCGATCTTGATAGCAAACGGTTCAAGATGGTTTCTGGAATAAAGCGGATTGATAAATGAGAGCAGCTTACGGATATTGTTTCGGTCCGTCACGACATCGATTGAGGATAGGTTGAATGAGGGATGGGCGATATAGAGTGCGCGAAACAGAGGCTCGAGCGGACTCTCCGGGTGGCGAGCTGCATTTTGAGCGATATAGATAAGCCCCGAATCCTTTTGCAGGCGCTGGGGGGCATTCTGGGGAGTCCAAAGAGGCGGGCTCCCTGGGACGGCAATGGTAGGCGTGGCTGTCTCAATCCAGCTGTAGGAAGCCAGGTGCTTCACATCGGTAATTGAAGCCGGTAAACTATGGTCGTTGAGGTCATCGCGCGAGATTTCTGATATCTTGGTTGGCGTCATGCTTGAAGTCCTCCAGGAAATATGCGTAGTTGTTCTCCGCTGGAAATAAACTGCCTAGGAGCCTGTGGGATTCGAGCCGGAATTGGTTGTTTAAATGCACAGCTTGCACATTGAAGTGAGCAAGGAAACTAGTTCCATCGTCAAGCATGATCATCCATTGATTGCTCACCTGCCGGGCAAGTTTCCCTAGCCATGGTCCAATTATTGATATCCAGCTCCATTGTCTGAATCGGGATTGATCCTGGTTCTGCTGCATTCAAGAGGTATGTAGTAGGCCTCCCGCATTGTATGTCGTAAGCTTCATGCACTGCATGTACATACATATGTTGTAGGCCTCCCGCACTGGGGTCAGAACGCAGCTTCAAGACAAAAGATTGGCCGCTGTGGAATGCCACCATTTCCCCTCCCCGTCGCCCCCGCTCACCCAGCGGCTGCTATAGATAAAAAAGGCCGGCCCGTCGACCGATATTTCTACTTAGCTCCGGCCATGGTTGTCTCAGTAGGCCTCCCGCGCCTGTTTTCATTGTGCGTGATGGCCATGGAGCCGTTTTGGGACCCGGATGAGCCACCAAGTGCCTTTTTCCCTGCTCATCCTGCAGCAACCAGCAACCCCTTGCTGCTGTCGACCTTTTGCCCAGACGATGGTCTTGACCCTCTTTCAGGCTGGAGAGGCGGAAGCCAGCCGCCTTATGCCGACATTTTTGATACGACAGGCTTTGAAGCCAACAATGCCCTCCAGGAGCCCAACTGCGAATACCCAACTCTATAGAGTGGTGCGCCGGATGTGTTTTCGGGTGGCATGGGAGACTTTTCAGCGGGACAGATCGGGAATGCGGTAGTAGTTGGCAGTGAGACAGTCTTGGGAAATCCTGGAGACACCAGTCGCTCAGCTCCTCTTACTGCGGCACGCACGAAATTCGAAGAAGAGGAGATGCCTTCGTACGACACGATTGCTTGTTCGCCAGAAGACGGGCTGTACCACTGCCGAGAGAAAAAATGCAAACGGCGGGCTGGTTTCCAGCAAAAGTGCTTATTTAGGTACATTTTACAACCCCAGTAGCTAAGTTATCATTCTATATTCCTTCGCTGATCGATATCAGGAAGCATATGCGACTCCACGTCAAACCTGTCAAGTGTCCGCGATGTGATTATACGGCGGCAGAACAAAATGATATTCGTCGACATATACAAGTCAATCATAGAGCGTGGGCTGAGGAGAACTGGAAGGTGGTCCGCTTTTCTTGCAAAGTCTGTGATACAACATTCACACGCAAAGATAACCTTCGGAAACATCAAAAAACTACCAAACATCTTGCCTCTAGTGACGGACTGGCGTGCGAATAAGGAAATATGCAATTCAAATGAAGCTCTTTTTGCCGGTTGCATCTCTTGCATGACGTGCCGTAGCGTAAATTTTCGCACTAGTTACAATGTGCCTTGTAGCCTAGTATCACTCACTTAGCCATTCCGCCCAAGTCCACGCAAACGTCGATTGAAACTCCTCCGTCGTCCAAGCTAAGGTCTTCATTAGGATCCTCCAGACATCCGGGTTGATTTTGTATTTCAGCAGCAAATATTTGGCTGTCTGTTGGAGTTGCCTGTTGCCTCGTAGAAGGTGAATCGTCGCTAATGTCTGATAGTTCCGTGTCATTGTCTGAAAACTCGCTTGGGCTTGAGCTAGGGGGCCAGTTCTCTGTAATTGCTGTCCGGGAATCTGGATGCCAGGGGACCATCGATGACTGTCCGAGGATTTGCGAGATGGCAATGCTGCGAACCTCCTCGGTGATCTTGTTTAGGATATCTAGCTGCCGCTTGAATTCTGTATCGTCACCCTCTGTGGATCTTTTCACCAATGGAGGGCCCCATTTAATCCAGACCTTGCGATGAGACTCGGGCACGACCATTCGAGCCGGATGGTATCTGAAGTACAGCTCACAACACAAGCAAGCCGGTTTACTACATGCGATGTAACGATCGTTTCCCACAAAGGATAGCTCCATTTTGTAAAAATGTTCAAGAACCTGCACTTCCGCGTGGACGGTTGGTTTGCAACGCTGATACTGCGTCATAAAATTTTCAAATATGTCGGATTGGGAGTTGATGCTGAGCAGAATTCTTTTAATTTCAGGCCTCTCAGGGTCATTTTCCTTCAGCATCCGGTTGAGAATACCGGATAGGGTGGTGTGTGAGTCAGGTCTCGGTGGAGGCACACAAGGGATGGGCTCGATGGGGCGGACGTTGTACGTCTCAAGTAGCGGGCCCAGATGTCTCGCATCTTCGACAAGCTCCAGAGGTGCCCGGATATGGTGAGCCAGCCGTCCGACATAATGTCTCACCGAAGCAAAAGAAGATCGTCTGCCCTGGGGGCCTACCCTTCGCTCTTCCTCGAGAACTTGCGCCATCAAGCGATCCATATATTCGGATTGCCGGTTAGCGTAGGCAAACTGGCACAGTTCGAAATCGTCCTCATAGCCCAAGATTGAACCCAGCCAGGTTACCAGTCGCCGGGCTAGAGCCACGATCAGTTAGCGCTGAGGACATAACTACATCCAGACACCGCATACAAACCTGGATCTGTATTCAAAGCCTCCAACCTGCGACAGCACTCTTTTGCTTCTCGAAACAACAATTGAGTCTCTTGTCTGACGCGGCTGGCCGCAAATCCAATGCAGAATTTCACAAAATCTGTCGATTGCGACGAATCTAACTCTAGCGATGGGGGTTGATTGGCGATGACCCGCAAGCTGCCCAGGGCGCTTTTGAGAAAGTCAACAATTGCGCCGTTGTGTGCGTTCGAAGCGACCCAAAAGTTGTAGCACGTATCAGAGTCTTCGAGCCCAATTGCAGTGCAAGATTCTCCCCCTTTTCGATAGTCACAGATGTATGAGAGATTCCGCAGAAACTTCCGTCGGCGCGCCCGTTCCGGATTTAGGTCACGGGGAGCAGTTGTGTGGTTCCCATAGGTCTGCCCGAGGACCCTTAAGAGGAATAAAGGTTCGTAAAATCGGCTAAGAAGTTTTTGAGACTTGTCTAGCCTGGGGCGACCGATACGCTCAGACTCGATAGGTAGCTGACGGTTGTAAGCTGCACGACTTGCCATTTTAGGTGAATGGTAGAGCGATGCGCCGCCTCTATAAGGATTTACTAGAAGTGGTAGTTAGGTATTATATCAAGGCTTCATGAGGAAAACTGGCTCAATATTTATGAGCAATAGAACAGGGAACACCGCCCTTTAGTATGCATATGGTAAAGCAATCAATCCTCGAAATACTGCCGGAGGCCGACAATATCAAACCTGCAATGCGGGAGGCCTACTGCAGCTAGACCGGGCAGCCTTGCAGAAAATTGGGCAGCTGCAGTGGTCGTCCAACCAACAATCACTTTGCATTCCGGTAGACATTGGAATGTTGAAGATGTTCAGTTTCCCCAGTCTCCATTAACTAGATTGAGCGCCCCGCAGACGCTACTTTGCTCATAATCAGTCTCTGCACCTTAGTTAGGCTGAGACTCTTCACACGATGCACGCTCTTTTGACTCATTTTCTCAGGGTATTGTAACTGGTTACCAATTGTACACAGGAAAAGGGCGGGGTGGGTCTGAGCCCCCGGTCCGCTTCGTGAGGTACCGATGAATCTGGCTCCGTATAGATGGATCGCTGAACAATAACAGCCGACTCACTATGCGAGAGGAGGACATAAAATTCACTATGACGCACTAGAAAGCAACGGCAATGTGTGTAGACTCTCCGCCATATTGACTGTATCTACCTCGCCTCCTTTATTATACCGCAAGAACACTCTTCCCTCCATCCAAAGTCAATCTGTCTCTGATTTTGACAGGTAGAAATCCAATTCCAAGAAGGTCAAATGCCACCTTACCATTTTCTTGAGTTGTGGTCCCGAGGATAGCACTTGGAGCAAACAAAAGTGCTTCTCCAACTCGGAGGCGTACAATTCGGTTAAAAAGGGACGTGGACTCGTCTATGGTGGCATCGTTTCTCGACGGAGTCTGAGAATCGACAGCCAAATGCTTATTCAGAGCATGCAACCATTCTGGTGAAGTAAACCGGTGGACAATAGTTACGGTGCAGAGATTCAGGAGCGCGGTGGAGATCGTTGGTTCCTGAGTGCAAATGAAAATACGAGCGCCAAGATGACGCTGAAGGCGAATGGCCGAGAGCAAAGTATCCGTGAACATTTGAGACTCAATAGATGCGTTCATGTACTAAAATTTGTCAGAATCGTTTTTGGAAACCAAGGAGATGCCAGCCCTCGTACTTTGTGTGCCTCATCCAAGGCAACAACTCGGCCGACATTTGTATCTTGCTCAAGGAAGATAGCCAGGCAGATGTTAAACAAAGAACATGCTGTTTCCGGCGAAATGCACGGACAAGAAAGGTCAACGATAGTCAAGCAACTGGGCTATATAAAAATCAGTATCCGTATATGCGCAAATAAGTGATCTGGCATGTTTCCTTACCATCAATTCCCAGCTCGAGCCACCTTTCTTCTTCGACTTCTTCGCCTTTCTTGTTTGCGCATGGGGCATGAAGCTTTCTAGCAAACCCAGTCGCTGATTGAGAGGCTCCAGTTGTGTAGGTGTTAGGCCGGATCCTGCAACTAGCCGCTTGAAGCCATAGTAGTCAAATCCAGCTCCACTCTCTTGCTGCAAAATTCGCATATCACGTAGAATTCGCTTGATCGTATGGATGTACAGTGGTACTCGGCCACCCTCCTGGCCAACTGCCATGAGATCCATCATGCGTTTTGTATTGAGGTCTTTTTGGTCGATTTGCAAGGCCTCAACCTGGACGTTGAATCTCGAGTAAGTGCCCTACATTTACAAAGTTAGCATTTATCTACCCATCAGCGGATTGCATTGTACGCTTACACGAATAGTATGAACGTTTGTTGGTGAGCATAGTACTTTCACTTTCACACCGGGATGCGAGGATAGAAACGCGGCCTCACAAGGAGACCCTGATGTGTCACTGATGAACGTGTCGTAGTGGAACACAAGTCCCGTCAAAGGATTTGGGAGCCTTCCAACTCTTGACGGTATCAAGCAATTTTCTAAAAGGCATGACAATGTATGGCTTTTACCAGATCCCTGAGAACCACAGACAAAGGTGCTGGATGGCGGCGTGACGTTGAAAAGTATGCGGGGGTCGTCGCTCAGGTCGGCAAATTTGGGATCTTGGCCCAGTTCCAACGAGTCCAGCGCGTTGCTCTCGCCTGCTAGTAGTCCAAACTGGGGAATTTGCGATGCTACCTGACTGTTCGCAAGCACACAGCTCTTAATTATTGGCGCAAGGGACGCTTCTTCAGTATCTAGAGTCAAACTTGGGGATTTCAACAAACTCAAATGAAATCGCAGTGTCTCGCAGTCGAAAATTTCCTCTTCAGGGCTGACAGCACGCTGCGTCGCAGCCAACGAACCGTTGATGGTAGGCATGTCTTCAATATAAGATTGAAATGGTATCAATTCATGGGTCAGATGAAATAAAATGCTATCACTCTCAAAGGTTGGGAAGAGATTTCTTATACATTCCTTAGAAGCCACTAGGAACAACAATCTGGAACTTGCCTGGGTACTGGGCACCCCCGAGTTGGATCACTTATATGCAGTGTATTCCGTATATGCAACTGATATTCGCGGAGATCTGTCATCTGCACACTCTGGAATGATTGATCACAACCATATCATTGACGTGTTTCTTTGGGCGTTGTCTAACTGTTGTTGTTCAATTCCTCCATTCGAGATGTACGTTGTAGGCCTCCGGCATAGTACATGGTAGGCCTCCCACATTGGAGCCAAAACGCCATGTAAATCATCTCCTGCATGAGGGCGGCCTCTGAGGCAGCAAGGTCCGTACGTTCACCCAACCTTCGGAGGAATGAGGTTGATAATCGTGGCAAGAAACTGGAAAACGCTTGATGGCTCCAAAGGGATGGCCGAGGTGTAATAGCTACAGCTAGGGGACCGGTGGACGCTGCTGGTGGTCCTCGTCCATCATCTGCCTAGCCGGAGACCGCGAGATAGCTATATCGGCACCATGGCATCCCAAAAAGGCCTGCGGCTTCATTATCAGGCACGTCATCTCGCAGAGAAACGGCGTGTGACTCTGCTGGCTAGAGTACGCTCAAAGGCGGGGTCGTCGAGGGAGGGCCGGATTATGAGAACTGGGCGCGTTTTCATTGATATTATGACGCCGCATATAAATGCTGGACATCTAGGAAAAGTGAGAAGGGCGCAAGGACTTACTGACCACGGGTGGGAGTGGGATAATTTCTATTTCCTTTCAGCATCGAAGCAATAACAACTCGATAGGTTGAATTCTAGGGCCGGATCAATCTTGATCCGAAGCAGGTTTTCCCATCCGTTCTTGCTGAGGTCAACGTCGCCGGATTTGTAAAGTCATACAGTTCCGTTTCCTTAACTGCTGTTTATATCTGTGAGGATGGTTGAGTTTCATGGGATCTACGATAACCTGATCTGGACAGGGGAATAGGAGAGAACGAGGATTCGACTCAGCGCGCGTCTTAAGACTTTCGTTGATAGAAACTAATTAACATGAAAAAGTAGGGTATACTAATATAATCTTAAAAGTTGACAGCGCTTTGGAAGATAGACATATGAAGCGAACTAGGCAGGCATTTGAAATCAGGAAATGTGACTGTTATCGATCTAGAGAGCGCAGACTTCGATACTCCCAATTTTCCCAGACATGTATGTGCCAAAGCTCAATCGATATCCCACGTTGATGAGAAACTCCATTCAGGCCTTAGACACTCCTACACGCTGGTCGGCGCGCAGTTCGACATGGGCAGGAGCGTCCAAGTGATACAGCTCGGGGCAGACGGCGTGCTTTCGCATCAAGACATATCTCTTGAACCACCATGGAAGCACCTTCGTAAGTTGGTACTTTGCGTGCGTGCGGGTTGGGACGGCGAAAACATAGTCAAGCTCTTCAAGGGTGCGTTGCTTGGTCTCAGGAAGGAAGAGGAAGATGAGGACAAATGCTACAAGGTTCAGTCCAGCATAAAAGCCGAATGCACCGGTTGGCGTGAAAGCACGGATTAACCGTTTGAAGGTAAGCGCAAGTACGGCGGCCCAGAAGTTGTTCGTCGCCACAGCCCAGGACATACCCATCTCACGGTGGGAGAGTGGGAAGACCTCGGCAGAGTAAGTAAACGGAACAGGACCTTCACCTGGAGAATAAAAGGCAGCGAAGAGGTAAATGAAGAAAGCGATGAGGCCAAGGTGAGCTTTGTTGTCTTCTGGAATGAAGAAACACATTCCCGCGGCCAGCAAGGTCCAAAACATTTGAGGGAATGTGAAGAGAAGCAGGCCTCGACGACCGAAAGTATCGATGGTCCACACCGCGGGCCAGGCGAAGATGAAATTAACTAATCCAAATCCAAAAGAAGCAAGGAGAGCTTCGATATTGCTGGCGCCGGCTTTTTCGAAGATGGACGCAGAATAGAAAGCAATGATGTTGACTATTAAAACAGGCGACCGATTAGAGCTCCGTCTTCAGAGTTCGAGATGGGAATAACTTACTTCCACACATTTGTTGGGCAATCATGACGATGCCTGAAGCTTGAGTCGCACGTCGGTTGCGCGGAATAGTGAACAACTCAATGAACCTTGTGACAAGGTTGTTCGTCTTTGCGAGGCCGGATTCCTCGAGGAGGACTTCTTCGTGAACAAGCTGGGCGTGAATATAGTAAAGGTCTCTGGCTGCTTGGACGGGTGTGTTGCGGAGTTTGAGCAGTGATCTGTAGGCCTTGGTGTACTTGCCCTTTTTGAGGAGCCAACGAGGGGATTCAGGGCAGAAATAGATACCCAGAACAAGCGGGACAGCCGGGATAAAAGCAGAGCCCAGCTGCAGTCGCCAAGTGATTGCACCAACGTTGACGACGGCCAAATTCGCACATGTTCCCAAGAAAATACCGAAGGCAGTCCAGACTTGCCATGACATGACAAGACCACCACGCACATTGGCAGGCGTATTCTCTGCGGAGAAGACTGGCACGGTAACTTCCTTTAGGCCCATGCCGATACCAAGCATGATACGGCAAACGACTAATTGCGGCCAGGTTTGTGTCACTGCAGCTCCGATGGGCGCGAGAAGACTGAAAATTGCAGCGATGAAGATGGTACCTCTGCGGCCCAAAAGCTCGTTGATGGGATCAGAAAGCCAACCAGCGCTGAAAAATCGCACTATTAGACTTACTTTTGTCTGATTTAGTGGATGATGCACTTACAAAAGAGCAATGGTAATGTAGGGCATCGCGTTGACGAATCCTACGATCCACGCGTTTCTGTCGCAAAGTGCTGGGTCGGCGCATTTTGAGTCAGGAATACCGAACTCAACTGGAAAAGAAAGGTTGGCACCATTGGAACCTGTTGCGTATCTATCAGCACATGGGCGCCAAGGGACGAGGCTTTTTGCCCTTGGAGTTGATAAACAACAGACCTGTCTGATCCCATCCTTGAATGGCGGCAGCGATAGAGTTGAGGAGGATGGTATAATACAGAGGCCATGGGAGTCTCCATCGATGGGTAACCTCACTCCGAAGCGCCTCCCTGTCAGCGTCATCGAGCTCGGGGATATTCTCAAAATCGGCCGGATTTTGGGCTATCAAAGCGCCTTTGCGAAGAAGCGGCAAAATTTCCGTCAGGTTCTTTTGGTTGGCGAAATCTTCCACATCCTGGAGGAGCTGGTCCTTGGGGATATCAGACAACGGGTTCCGAATCCTGCACATGCAATCGTTAAGTTAAACCCATGAATCGTTCGGATATATATTGGGTCGTCAACGCACTCTCCAGTAACATTATGGGACATCGCCGCGACGCTCTCTCGGCGATCAAAGGCACTAACAGAATCATGGCTGTTGGGTCGGTTAGCTTTTCGACTGTCCACGAAGAACTCGAGGGATACACACCGAATAGCTTCCTTGTCCGCCATGGCTAAAGCTTGGGCTGGTGATTGCTGTGAGCCGCAATGGAGAAAGGAAGAGGAAACGCGACAGCCACGCAATCAACGACAACCAAAGCAGATGGCAAGCTCTGGGGAAGAATGAGACGAACGAAAGAAGATCAACAAGTTGGGGAAGCTGTATATTAAGTATCAAAGTATGGGGCACAGCAGCCTTTTTCCCGCACTGACCCCTGTCTGCGATGTCGAGACACTTTTTTTAAGACGCGGTTGGCAGTGTCAAAGAGGGGTGGGACGGTTAGCACGAGACAACTCAACCATGGGATGTGGCTGGTCCGCGAATTGAGGAGGAGGAGAAGAAGAAGAAGAATTATAACCACGCTGCGTTTAATATCTTCCTCCTAACCATAGGCCAGGGCCCCTTGCTATACCATAGAGGTTCTTGGTCAACTAGTTACGCAGCTGCCCCTGTGCAGGATTTCACTCCTCTCTGCCGTGAAAATTTCTACATCCGTTTTCAAATTGCATCAAGGTCCCACGACAGGCCGTCGCCCATTGCTTGCTTCTCGTCTTGGGAGCTTAACCAATATGTGACTTTCGGTGTGGCGGCCTGTGGCTCTCGCCAAGGCACAGGGGTTCAAGGCAGACTGGCTGCTTTGCTGTCCGTGTTGTCGCGCTCTTTGGCGTGATTTTCATGGTGGCTGCATGGAGGCGTCTTTTTGTTTGGCCGCTTCCGGGAACTGCAGGAAAGTGGTGCTGTACGGAGGGATACGGTAACTTACGATATCGAGCTTGCCCTGCACGGATCAGCCCGACTGATCGCTCTCCCCACATTGTCAACTCGATGGCTGGCGAAGCTCAGGCTGCGGCTCCAAAGATGATGATTTCGCCTTACCAATTGCGCGAGGGCAGATCCCTTGAAGGCCATCAGTCATATGAGACAGAAGAAACAGCCTTGGAAGCGTTGCCTGGTGTTCCGGATATAGTCTCGAGAATGATCAAGACCAGAAACAAAGTCAACTTTCTCAACTTGAGTTTCTTTTTGCTGGCATTAAGCTTCTGTTATTGGCTATTTGAAGGTAAACTCCTCAGTCCCAATTGGCTCTGTTTTTTGCGTTCTTTCACCAGAATGGCGAGTTTCTCACATGCAGTTTGCTGTTTGGATGTCTGTATGTAGTTATCCTGGTTGCAGACTCGGAAAGGATTGGCGTGACCACTGCCAAAGAATAAGCTACACGCTAGTAAATTACGCTCCACTTCTTTGTTTCTCGGGAGGATCTGCCAACCGGTTTCAGTCTCAAAGAGAATCGGGACAGTCCAAAAAAAAAACACCAAGAAGAAGCAAAAGAATATCCCTCAGCCAGGCGGGTTCCTTTTTTGGAATGGAAAATTCGAATAGTTTTCTATGGGGCTTGTTGGAAGGGACTTGGAATCCAAAACTGCTTGTTGGTGGTGAGCTCGTGACCCCGGAATAATCTTAGCCTCACGGGCCACCTCCTCATACTTGGCTGTTCGGCAAGGCCGTCAGACTACAACTCCCAAGAGGTAGGGGTTCGGCTCTACTTGTTATATTTCAAATAGTCAAATAGTAATGGGTTCCGTCATGGGCGTGTACGGAGAAGATACGTGCAAACTTCAAAGAGACCCCGAGCAGGGTTTGTCTGTGTCTTGATCTGCTCGTCTATTCTTGTCCCTTCTTTGTATGGTGGCTTGCAGTAGCGCTAATGGTGCAGCGTGGGAGCCTTTTTCTCTTCTACGGAGTAGAGAGATAATAAAAGACCTGGTTTCTGCAACCGCGCTGGGTTGTCCAGGATGGGTTGCCGCGCATCTTGAGATTTCACTCCGAGAGCGTCATCCATGGAAAAACGCCTAACATGCTAGTTGGCCCGCCTAGAGGGGGTGAAGACCGTATAGCGCCCTGTGGAGAACACGGGCAATGATGGCAGGAGTGCTTGAAGTATGTATGACGCTTTTTTGCCTGCGGTAAGGCTGTTTCCAGGGTGGATGTTCGGCGCCAGTGACTATGCACGCGACAAGGAACGCAAAGTAACACGGCCATTATGGCAGGACATCATTTGAATTGCTTATCAGTTATAGGCCCATAAGTTCCGGACACAGCATTCTTGCTTGTTGATACGAGCTTGGAGGCTGAGTTATCTTATCAACACAGCTTCAGTATCGGTACTCCTTTTATTACCATTTGTAGATGCTGACAGATGAATATGCATTCACCAGGGCTTTTCGCCCATTATTGAGCCCAAGTAACCTTGCTCTGTTATCGGACCCTGATGGGTTACAACAAGTTGTGAATGATACATGTACAAGAATTTACTTGCTTTGAGAATGCACCCTGGTTTCCAGGCCCACTCTTTTTCCCGCGATCCAGCCTTTATTGACGCCCAGGATCCCGCGTGGAGCCCCAGAATTCTCCAGATCTTTCTTTTTGATGGATCAGAGGCTGATTCGACGGATCAATCAGGACAGGGTATGGAGTACTCCGTACGGAGTGGATTTTATTGAAAATCCCGCAAAAACTCATCAGAAAGTTAACGGGTTTGGGCACTGAGGCAGGAATATGTTCCAGGCATCTTCCAGAAATTTCTCGAACGGCAGAGTTTTAAGTTGTCCCCGGCTTGTGTTGTTTTCTTTGTTCATGAGCTTCGGTCATTCGCATTGAAAAGGTCGTCGAGATGGCCCAGGTCGCGTTCAATAAGATCCACATCAGGTTTCGAGAAGCGACTTTTGAATGCGCTATGGATGCCAAAGGGGCACGGAGACTCTAGAGGCAGGAAATAATGCCTTTGTTGGACGATAACCACGAGGCTCAATGTCATATGTATGCAGGTTGATGGTTTCAGATCGGGTCCTTGAGCAAGAACTTAAAAATGACCAAATTTGGCACACGACAAAATTCCCTATCCGGTTGACAATTGCACTCGAGATTGAGCCCGGCATAGTGGATAGGAGTGTGAACGACGCGAAAAAATCACTCTTCATCCTCCCACTGAAATAATACAATTTGTGACCAACATGTCCGCCGTAAAATGACCTGTCAATAGCCAAAGCATGTTGAACCAATTTGATCTCAAATTAGCCGTTCACCACCTTTCTGAGGAACAGTGCCTTTGTTATGGGAGTAGCCAGGAAGGTTTCACAAATTGCCTTGCATCTAAGTTGTACTTTGCACTCGCATCCTTGGAAAAAAGAATTTCATCACTAAAAATGACGGAAGATCCCGAAGATGCTTAATAAGCAGTTGCCATGACAGCCGTTCGAGGTATTGACATCTGCCCGTTTCGGGTAACAAGCTGGAGCGTTGAATTAAACCCGCGATCGTGTTTCACAGGTTGATGCCTTTCCCATTCTTTTCTCTGTCAATCTTATCGTGTACATTTATTATTTTTGTCGGGAAATAGATTTACAGCGTACAAATCAACACTGTTTTCTGCGGAAAGCCGGCTTTCGATGGAGGCCCTTTTGGCGCATTCGTTCGACTATTTATCATCGTACGACCAAACTAAGATCCGGAAAGGATTGCGCCAAGTTGAAGGCCTGCTTGCGCAGATATGTTTGTCTAAATCCAACAAATTAGCAGTGGAAAAGCGACGGTCAGGCTGCCCGGAAGGCACACCTGCTTCTACTAAATCGCTGAGTGAACTCTGCGACGACCCGGCGTTTAGAGAATTTTATAAGCTGCAGGATGGGTTTTCAGTGGAATGGTCCGTTTATTTCATGTCTCATATTTGTTTTTACTTGCCCAAACGAGCTCAGAACCCTGACTTGTGTCGCTATCGGGAATAGTTGCATTGCGGTTAATCTCGTGCCTGGAACACCTCCTTGGACGCGGGAGCAATGGTGCGAATGACCTCCTTATCATCGCTGCCTTGGATTCGATACAAGGCGTCCTCCTCCTCCACCCGCCATCTCGCTCTTTATTTGCAAGGGAAATCTACATGAACCTCCTTCTAGACCTCCTCGAACCCGCCAACTGCCCCGCTATCCAGTCATCGACTCTCCTCACCCTCGTCACGGCCTTGCTCGATAACCCGGAGAATACAAGGACTTTCGAGGAGCTCGATGGCCTCTTGACTATCACATCTCTATTTAAATTACGCTCCACATCGCGTGAGGTAAAATTGAAACTGGTCGAATTCCTATACTTCTACCTTATGCCTGAAACACCGTCGATTCTACCGAGCGCGATAAATGCCGGCTTTCTGGGTCCCCAGAGAAGCCCTAGCAAGCTGGGAGGGCAGTTGCCCAGGAGTTCAAGCGGCGGTACAGATCCCGGGCACGAGGGTTCGGCCGACACGAAGTCCACAGAGGAAAAGCAGGCATTGTTGGGGAAGTATCTAAGCAACGTTGAAGATCTTGTCGAGGATTTAAAAGAGACCGCGCCGTTTGGTGGATCAGTCTATTAAATTGGCTTATTTTCGGTGTAATTTGCTGGGACAGAATACTTTGGGTCATTAAACGGTTGCTTGCGATTGTTGGTTTATATCCTTTGGTGTTTCGAGTTTTGTCTGGTGGAGTCCGGGAATTGAGTGTATGATATGCTTTGATATGTCTTTCTGGAAAAGTTTGGTTCGGTTGATGAAGAAGTCAGTTACCAATGGCATGGAAGCGTTTAGAGAACAATGCAAGATTCTCTGCCGCGATATGGAATGATGCTAAGAGATTCTATCATCATGTCCGAGTTACTAAGCGGTTCTATGGTGTAGCGGTTAGCATAATGGATTCTGATCCCATCGGAATATTCCATCGACCCCGGTTCGATTCCGGGTAGGACCTTCAGTTCAATATTCATTTTTTGATCAATCGTTTAGCTCTCCTTGAGAAAGATGAAGGAATCTTCATGTTCTTTTTTGATTTCCCCGCTACTGCTGACAAAACGATCCTTTCCCACAAGGTTGACCGAAACGTGATAGGAACTGAGTCGCAACAGTTCGTCGGCGAAACCATGACTCACAGTCAAATGATCACCGTCGATGAAGTCGTATATATAACGGGACTATGGAGTATCCTCGAGGCCATGGCTTTACAACCCTGAAACGATTCATTTGACCGAATACTCTGAGATAATAACTAGTCGTAAACATGACTTCTCTGGCTGCTGATTCTTCCTTACCCCCATCGCCGTCCCCGACTAGAGAAGTTAGATATCTAAACACAATTGATGCCTACGATCAATGGGCAGAGGTAGCTTAATGCCTCCCTTCCCTCCCGCTCCGGTTCCGCAACCTTTCGCTAATAATCTGTTCTCATATAGGTCTATGACACAGATGGAAACTTTTTGCAGCGCCTCGACACGCTAGAGCTGCAGACTCTGATACCATTTTTCCTATCTCAAATCTACTGCTCTCAACCCCCGCCGAAAATTGTCGATTTGGGATGCGGAACGGGGAGAAATACAATATCCCTTCTTCGTACTGGGCCAAAGAATTTGAACGTTCTGGGGTTGGAACCGTCGAATAAGATGTTGGCCATTGCTCGAAAGAAGATCGCGGAATACTTCGCAGAGATGACCGCAATCGAGCCCGCCGAGGCTGGGAATAGGGTATGTTTTGAGGAGTATAATCTGCTTACTGAACCCCGTCCGCCATTAGCGGCACGTGGTGTTGATGCTGTTATTTCGACCTTGGTCTTGGAACATGTGCCCGTGGAAGCTTTTTTCAAGGCGGTTGCGGCCATGTTGAAGTCTTCGGGGGTTCTGATGTTGACGAATATGCATCCTGAGATGGGGGAGATAAGCCAGGCTGGATTTGTGCATCCAGAGACCGGTGTTAAGATCCGGCCAACTAGCTATGCACACACTGTAAAAGGGACTTTAGAAGAGGCTAATGCGGCTGGGTTTGAACTGATCGGTAGTCTTAAGGAAACTAAGATCGACGAAGAATTGGCTGAAAAGTTGGGGCCGCGGGCGAGAAAATGGATAGGTGTGTATGTTTGGTTTGGAGGATGCTTCAGAAAGAAATGAAGTGCGGATTAGAAACCATTGACCAGATATCATACACAAGTCCCTGTTAGGCCTTTTTCCCTCGATATATCGTACAAAACTGTGCATTCAAGTTGTCTATAGCAAATCATCTATGGGACTCGTAGAAACGCCGTTTCGAAGAACCTAAAAGTATGTTTCTAGCAGTCGATCTCGATGTTGGACGAGGTTGCCGGATTTTTCTAGGTGCATTTTTAGGGGGTTGTGTTTCCACCCTAGTTTTTCATCCAGTATCAAATGTGTATACGCGAAGACGCTCGCGTCGAATAAACCGGGCTCCTTTCCATCGAAGAAATATGTATTGCTTCCAAGCAGTACAGAAAGAGATTTAAACGCACTTTTCGCTTCTGCCATCAGAGCATCGACGTCGATATAGGGCGAAAACTTCAGAAGCTCATTTCTAGCTGCACTTTGTAATTCTCCAGAGATGGCAATCCGTACGAACAAGTTCGTTGTCGAGGGATTGACGTAAAATTTGCGCGCGATAGCGTCGAAATTCGAATTATCTAGATATATCGTGTAAAGCTGGTGCGTCCAAGCGTTAGAAATGCAACTGAACAATTTGGGCAACTCAGTCTCACCCAAGCATTACGTAGACGGTGATCCAGAAGCGAAGAATAGGCATCGAAGCGCATATCTCGTGTTTCCTCCTTTCCATGACCCAATTGCCCATCCACCCATCGTTTCAGCTGGTTCGATGGTACAGGGTTGACCGTGTCATTCGATTCGGCGGCAGGGAGGAGGAAAGGGAGCGAGCCTGTTAGAGACGCATGGTTGTTTGAAGGAACAATTTGATATTTTATTCCACGGAAATTTAGGTACGCCTAGGTGATCCTTTAGTGGTTGACTAATGAAGCAGGAGTAGCAAAATGAGCACCCACCTGCCACTTCAGACACTGGGGATTATGTGAGGGCGCAGATTGTTTGGAGCCCTGTAGGCTTGAAAACATATATAGACGAGGTTCATCATGGCTCGACGGCGATCGAGAAGGTATTTCATTGGGCGGATATGTGACAAGTGGAAATCTGTCAAACACGCGCTTTATAGGCGCGGGGACCGAGGGAATCCATGAGCTGGCGCGTGGAGGAGACTCTGGCAATGGATTCACATCATCTTTTGCTTCAGACATTGTTGATCATAGGTATTTGATTATATTAACTCAATTGGAACAAGGGCTCCATTTTGGGCAAGGCACTTATCGCAATCGCGACTACGGTGTCCGGATGATGGTTTGGGGAAATATTTTGCCGGTGGTCACCGCCAAACCACCAATCCTTACAGTGGCACCAAGCAATCTGAATGCACTGTCTAACCTCCATTCCGTACGAAGTCCCCCGTCCAGGGATTTCGCCTATTTCCTATATGCGCATCTCCCTGTTCTTCTTATAAAGAAAGTATTGAAGTGGGCAAATTGTGGGACGGCACTCTCCCATAACATACATGCCTCAGTAGGGGTGGTAGTGATGTGACAGTAGAGAGATCAATTGTATGCTCATCAACAAGAAACCCAACAACCAAATTTCATATTATAGGGTCAGACATGAGATAATAGAGAGTGCTCTTGATCATGTACAGCAGACAAATCTCTTCATACTAGCTATATAGCAATAATATATGAACAAGCAACATCTTCATACTGAAAGATCAGAACAGTAAGAAAAATTAATTAAATAAAAGAAATAATAAATAGTACGGAGTAACCACACTGTCAGGATTCGGAATCATGATTTTCCGGTATTCACTGTCAGCTGGATAGAAAGCACGAGTCTTGGAGCGCTAATGATGCTTCCAACCAGACCTTTCATCTTTCAGCTACCCTTACCCCTTTCCATGACTTTCAGTCATTCCCAATTTATTTGCTGCGTGGCCCTTCCAAAGTCTTCATGCAAGAGTTCTCTTGTAGATTGTCTTGTCGACAACTTGATTTGCACCCCTTCACTCTCTGAAACGGAGTTTTGAGGTGCGGCGGGCGGTTTGCCTACGCAACCTTCGCCCCATGAAAGACAATTCCTCTGAAACTGACGCCAACGTCTTGTAGCAATTTTTGAGGTGCGGCGGGCGGTTTGCCTACGCAACCTTCGCCCCATGAAAGACAATTCCTCTGAAACTGACGCCAACGTCTTGTAGCAATTTGCCTGTCGTCCTGTTGTTGTTGAGATTGAAATTGCGGGGATGACCCGAGGATCTGATGCTACGGAGATGATCCCAACAAACTGTGGCTCGGTCGGAAAGATAGCTTGCGTTACCCTTTCTGGCTTGCGAGTTGCCAACCGGTAATGGTTGCGGAGCGCATCAGGTGTCAGAGAAGGAGCTCGGACCGACCTCAATGATTATGTCATCCGATTATGTCATCAACATTGGCGGAGGTTAACAGCCCGATTGACGAGCTCTGCCGGCTGGTCGAGATCTCCGAATGCCACGTCAAGGGCTAGAAGGCTGACGAAGAGCCGTGCGGTTGCTTCGCCGGCTGAAAATCTGCGTGGCCTCCTCACCTCGTCCTCGAGGCCAGCAACTTTTTGATCTTTATTGTACCGTGATAATCTTCTAGGCGCTTACTATCCTTATAGGCGTACCCTATTTATTAGACTACATCCTTATTGATATCAAGATGCTACAATGGCTGCAGAAAACAAACTGATACACTCCCTCTTAAGGTGATTTAAAACTCTTCCTGCTCAGGCATGCCTTGCTGATCTTGTGTGTAGCGTGCAGCGTAGTGGATTGTGTTCTGATCTCAAAATCTTCACAGCTGGCAAAAGCTTCAAGGTCCATCGATGTATTATTTGTCCTAGGTCTACCTTCTTTACTGCTGCCTGTGGAGGAAATTTTAAGGTGGGGATATCCTCTTGTTCCAAGTAACATCACTTTCTAAATCCTCATAGGAGGCGGTTTCTAGAGAGATCATTCTCAATGATGACCATCCATTGGTTGTTGAAAAGATGATTGACTATCTATACTCTGGATTATGACGATGGCTCCGATGCAGAACCTCCAAAGCAACCGCAAGAAGATTCCGAAAATTTTACAGAACCAGAAGAAGTGGAATCACCGTCATGGCTAAATGTTCAAGTGTACGCCATTGGTGAGAAGTATGGCGTACCTGATCTAAAAGACATTGCTCGAAGGAAGTTTGAGCACACCATCACGGAAAACTGGCGGGATGCTGTATTTTGCACAGTCGCCCGTTCTGTGTATGAATCGACGGGCGACATCGACCGTGGACTCCGGGACATTGTTACTAGGGTTTCATGTCAGAATGTCGGTATTTTGACGTCGCAGCAAGCCTTTCAGGATCTTATAGAAGCGCTTCCTGCCTTCGCAGTTGACCTATTGCGCAAGTCTTGGGAGCAGGAGCATAGTTGGTCTTCTTTTGGAGAGTGAGTAGCAAGACAATTCAACTCTTATATAGCATTATCAGCCAACTGTTTTAGGGCTGCCCGCACTTATCAGTGTGAAGCATGTGCTAGGGAATTTGATGAGTTCACCTCCCGTGATAGTCATTACGAGAAAGTACATTGTAGATGCTGGATTTGTGGGAAATCTTTTGGCAGTTTTATGGCAAACCGCCAACACAACCTCGATTGCCATCGGTATTGCCGAAGCTGTGGGAAATTTCTTAAACAGTCTCGAGGACATCGATGCAGAGGTTCCTAAAGCTGGTGGAATTAGATTTCTTTAGCAGCTGCTGTTCTTTTATGCTCTTTTCTTATAGTACTTTGACGCTAATTCCAAATACCCCAAACAGAGAATGAAAAATGCAGCTTGAAAAAGAGGAAGGATGTCTTTCATCAAGGAAGAAACACTCTTGCGGGCCTAAACTGGGTTGCGGCCCCGATTCCGGAATTTCATAAGTCCGATTTACCTGAGTTCCATGCACGAAAACGGAGAAAATTAAATCTATTCGGCGGTCAGCACATTAACAGACACATGCTGCAGGTAAGCCTCGTCGCTCATCGATTTCCGGGTGTTGATCATGGCAACAACATTCCTTGGTTCTACCTTCTTTTCTGCTTCCCCCGGGAAAGCCCTCTTTACTTGCCCTTCCCCCTTTGCATCTCCTTTATACAGTTTGAAAGAGATGGCTTCCGCCGGGTGTCAAGAATGATTTCTCGCATGCACCGAAATGTACAGTCTTGGGGTTAAAAGGCTGGCTAGGCGAGCTTTAGACTTGGAAGCTCAGAGAGTTGTTTGTTGTGCCCTACGTCGGCCATTCTTTAGGCCATTATACCCATAAAGAGCTGTCAAAGAAGATGACCTTGTCGAACCTTGAGGCCTCTTTCTACCTTTGTCAAGTTCGACTAAACCTTGTTCCCCTGCTAACAAAACCGCCGAGGCAATAGCTCTCCTTTGTTTCTAGTGCCTTGAGGGTCTGGAGGGGGGTTTTTTCATACGTCTCCCTTGTCCGAGGATATATAACTGGTGGGATATCTCCTGTCATATTGCAGTGGCTAATACTTTGAACCCAGACAATCTGACCGTGACTTTCCGCCAGTATAGAAATCATCATCAGAATGGAAAACAGCAGTGGGTGCTTTGACTCACCCACTGGGTATATAAAATCTCTGGTTGAGCAATTCAGATCTACCGGCACCCTTCCTCCAGGCATCGATAGAGAGGATATACTGTCTATTGATATAGATCCCCATCAGTGGTACAGGCTAGAGACTGAGCTTGGCCTAGGGGAAACTGATAAGTAAGTAATCTTTAGCATGTCTCTCAGATCTTGCTTGGTGACACATGTTTTATAGGTTTCCAAAGTTCTTTTATGACCCATTAGTCTCGCGGCTGAGCGTGGAGTGGATGGCGCTGCCACTCCATGAACTTGTTGTTGAGATATTCTCCAGTGGATTGTATGATGCCACTCGTCATATCAAGTCAAAATGCAGCATCCGAACCAATGAACAATTTCAACAGCATAAGGATAACAACTATGTCACCACACTCAAAGCCCCCGATCTAGCCCTGTTATCAGGAAAAAAAGTCCTCATCCTGGAGGTCGGTTTTTCCCAAACATATGAGCAACTGGTTGATACTGCAAAGTTCTGGCTTGAAGGAAGTCTAGATGTGACAAGAGTGGTTATTGTAAAGATTACAGAACCTAAATACTCTTGCCCTCTCAAGAATGCTGGAATTTCAATGCTACAATCTCTTGGTTTCCCAACAGATGACTGGGATATAGAAAGCCAGTTTTGCCTTGAGAGTGGTTTTGGTCCTGTTACACTGGGGACCACCAAATGGGTTGGTGAAATAAATATGTTTCTTGAGGTATGGAAGTACAGCAGGCAGACCAGGAGCGCAGAGAGACATGGATCTAGAATTGTAAGCCTTGTTATTACTACAGAGAAATCCTTTGGTCTAACCTGATGTATTTAGCATGTCTGTGAAGCCACACCACCCACGCTCCCACTCTCACTTAGCGACTTTCTCGAAGTTGATGCGGATGACAATAGAAATATTGTGATAGACTGGGAGGAGTTTCATGGGAAGCTAAAGGAAGACTTGCTCAAGACAGCTATCTTGAGATATCAAGACATGTTAGACCGATGTTATGGAAGGGAGGAGAATGTCTGCAGGTAAAGACTCTTTGTCTACAATCTTAACTAATGCTTGTCTAACTTGGTGTTTTAGGGTTAAAGAGACACCCTCAAGAGAGTGAGGCACCAAGAAGAAGCCCACATAGACTCGAGGTCCTATGATGCTACTTTTTGCTTCGAGAAGCGGCGGTGGAAGATGTGGGAACATTCTGCCCACAAGCGCTGTCACCCAAAGAGGTTGCAGGCTGAATAGAAGTGGGTAAAAGAAAGAAGTCTTCCTCATAATGAGTGATAAAGCTTTGTAGTAAGAACGTTTAGTGCTTGATAACAATAGAAATAAAGAAGTAATTGGAAAGTTATAATCACGAGCAATGTAGATGGCATGAAGCGAAGCGCAAAGCATGTATTTAACAGTGGTATGAAATTAATCATCCCAGACAGAGAGCTCCAGATAATCATGTCAGTGGAAAACGTAGGTGTATGCAGGTTTCCCCACTACAGTCAGAAGAAAACTCGACCTGATCTAGCTGATCGCTGACATCAGATGAAGACATTGATTAGATAAGATGCCTTAGCGTGGCCGGGAAGCTTCTATTCCCGGCCTAGCGTCCAGGAATTTCTCGGGCTCCCATTGGCCACGGCTGCCAACAGCTCCACCAACCTTGCCCTCGTCCCTGAGAGCCAATTGCACGCCTTGAAAGGGTTCAGGGCATCTCAAAAGCAACAGCCATCATTGCTGTAAAAGTACGAGAGGCATCTCCTTGGTCAGTTGCGGAATTTGATTACCCGGGGTTTGCCTTGTCAGAGCATTCGGTGCTGTTATCCGCGGGCAGCAACGACTGATTCAAGACCCGTTGATTTTTGAACACACTCCCTTTGAAGCTTCTCTGCCCCTCGGCTGACCCTGGGATCCATTTCCTGTGCGTTTGCAGGCTATCATTTACAGCCTGATATTCAAAGAGAATACATAGTCATAACAGCCTGCTCCGTGGGGCTGCATCATTACCTGGGGCCGCAATCGTCGCAGCTGCGGGGTAGCCCTAAAACACCCCCGGTGTATGCTTCGCAAGGAACGCTGTTGCAGATAGGAAGGAAACACCATACGACATTACAATGCCTTTAGATGAAGAGGGTGCCAAATGGTCATGGTATGTCTGCTTCCGGTTTAGAAAGCCTCGCCGTCTTCATTTCTGTATGCTAATTTCAGGGGACTGTGGTTCAGCGAACCATGCATTCGGGGACATCGGTCGTCAAAATGCCAACATTTTGATAGGCTCATGATGAAAGTCCCCAAAGCTGGCCGCCCGCTTGCAAAGTGCCCGCATCCCAAGGGAACATGCAGCTGTCAAAAAGTATACGCCTTCATGGTTAGAATTCCGAAAGGTGAGCAGATTTGAGATTATTGGGTCGAGAAGCGGACGTGCTAACCGTTGCAGGCTCGACGTGTTTATGTCGACCCTTGTATCAGGTGCCAATGCCTGGCTCTGAGTCTGGTCAGTCACCCGGGAAAGCCTCGCCGAAATCTAGCCCGTCGATTTCGGCAGCACCGTCTTCCACCGGGGCAGCGCCAAATAGAGTACAGAAGCGTACAAGACGACAGAATAGTATCCAGTCTACTTCTGAACTTGTGGCCAAAGGTCTTGCAGCACTGGCCGAAGCAACTGAAACCCCAAAAGCAGAGACTATGAAGCCACTAACCCCCTATACCCCTGTGCACGCCTCGATAGCCCCTTCGTCTTGCCATGTACCAATTGCGCCTTCCAGTGTTTACCAACGTAAGCCGGTGCCAGTCACGGAACATGATGCGCGGGGACCATTTCCTACGCCAATACCCAGGCCCTATAATTTCTCTGAATCGAATTTTGCGCGAGGTGCCTGCTGTTCCTCACAAGCCCTTCCACAACCTATTCCCTCGTGCCCTGCCCCCTGCTGTAGCAAAACAAACCTGGAGGGAAATTCAATTAATGCACAACGCCATGCGGCACAAACGGCGGATCCCCCGAATATATATCCATCAGCACAAGAAACACATGCATATTCTACTTTCGGGCCAAATTCTCCAGTGCTTCGCCGGCCTCCGTCCGTCCTCCCCAAGATCGAGTCAGCGGATGGTAGGATGTTTCACCTTTCAGATGCAGCTACAATGCCCATGGCCGCCTTTCCCGCTCAGTTTCCATTATCTAATGCCCCTTACTGCAGCTCGTACCCTTCTCAGAACCATATAGAACACCTGCACTCCCCTCCTCACCTTGTACCAGGCTCGACTTCTCCGAATCCCGCGAATTACTTCGGGCAAGAATGTCAACCTGGACACAACTGTGGTTGCGGTGATGGTTGCCAATGTCTAGGATGCGCTTCTCATCCCTTCAATGACACCACGCGCCACCATATTCAGGAAATGGGTTACATGATGGCACTTGAGAATAACGACGATGCGGATAACCAACCAACTTCACCATATAGCACGAATGGGTTTACCGTGCCTTTCGAAGCGTATCATCATCAAGGAAGCGGTCTAATACAAAACAATACCCATGGGAATTTTATCGACGATTTAGGGAACCAGTCTGCGCAGTCCCTCTCAAATGGAGCATCGTTGCCGAGCCCAAGGGGTTTTAGGGCTGAAAATTATGAACTCCTGATGCAACCTACTGCCTACTACACCCTAGAATACCCCGTGGGTATGCCGGATTTGGCGCTTTGTAGCAATATCATGGGGACGTGCCAGTGTGGAATCAACTGCAAATGTATCGGATGCCTGACCCATGATGGCCATAACGGAGTCCCACTGGAACCATCTCCACCCCCAGACCGGCCGGCCGAGAGCTTGACTCTACTGCCGGACAAGCCAATGGATCAAACACAGCCTGAGTTTGGGTCAGCAGAATCCTCGGTTTTGAATGATCGGGAATTGATCGAGCTACCGCAGAATAGAGCCATTTGATACCATTTACCCCCAGTTTTAATTGACCCTCCTCACTTTTTAGATACCCCGGCGAAAATATATTTATCGCAATACTCCGAATGATTCTGTTCATGCATTTTTTTACAGTTCAAGGTTTGTAATTTGGCCCTTACGTTGTATAGAGTTTTAGATTCTTAAATTATGCTGGTAATGAATCGTGCTCGCTTCAAAATATGTATGTACATACAAAAGATTTATGTCCCCAGTATGCAGAGGTGAGGAGGGAAGATCCAACGTCAGTGGAGAGGGTACCAGTTTATGCAAAGCTAGCCTTTACGTATTGCTATCCCTCTGCCATTGATGGTATATATTTAGGCATATTGTACAGCATTTTCCGAACCGAGACGCGTATCCCCGCATGAACCATGCTGTATACCAGCCAAGCTCTCACCCAAAAACACGTTGGAAACTCATCAGGTCCTTCTCCTGGGCAACGCTTTCACGACTTTTGTTGCTGGGCCTGTTTTTTCCAAGGCTGGTCTCCGCGTCGGAATGAAGCTACAAAGTTGGGAAATCAAATCAGCGACTGATACCCAATTCCTAACAATAGCCTCGCAAAGCACAACATACCATCGGCTTCCTCCCAAGCTCGGCCGGCACCGAAACCTAATCCAACCCATGCGGGCCACGCCCTTCTTTTGAATAGGAGAACAGAGAATACGACGCCGAAGGAGAGACCTAGGCCGGATCGGATGAGGAGAGAAGAGATTGCGCGGTCCCACTATTGTGTAGTTTTAGGATCTAGTATCAGCATATGCCCTTCAACTGGCTGTCGAGCACTGGCAATGTGGTCGGGGAACGCGAAGACAACGACTCACCTTTTCGTTAAGCAGAGCTTCACTGACAGGCCGGTTGGAGCGCGGGACTGGCACGGCCGGCGCTGCATCCTTGGAGTCGGCCATGGTGAATGATTTCTAGGACGGGCTATATTAGTATGCAATGCAATTGAGGTTGAAAGATTGCTACAGTACCTAGTATCTTGATATGGGATCGAACTGTCGCTGTCGCTTTTGTTCCGGTTTTCGTTTGGTTTGCGGGTGTTTGAGGTTCGGCACCGGAAGAATCTGTTCCGGGCTTCATCTTATCAGATATCTTATTTTTCGAAAGGTGTCGGACCCGGCGAAACTCGATGTTCTCCAGGAGCTTTTTTTCTCGCGATTGTCGAGGCAATGGAGGTGAGAAATACTGATGCATGATACTACTTCTATAGTTACTGACCATCAATCTTTCTAGGCCTCCTATGAAGCTCTGCTGGAGCTTGAAAAGAGCAATCATGGCTCCCCAGTGAACCATCTGAAGGAAGCCGCGCGAATTATTAGGGCTGATTTGGACTTATATGCTTGGGGCCGGGCACCTGAAGCTTCGACCGCAATTGTCGCCCAAGCCGCCGCTGCACCAAAGGAGGAATGGGTGCTGCGTTGGTTGATGAAAAAGCTAAAGGCTCCAACGACTGACGCGAAACCGAGCTACAAGGTCGAAGAATCTTCATGGGTACTTTTTCGCATATTACTGGATCGGATTTCTGCAAGGACATTATCAACGATCTTGACGGAGAACAATTTCCTGGGTATATTGCAGGCTTCCCTTGAAGAGATAGGACAGTTGTTGTCGCGGGTCCCGGACCTTGTCGAAAAACATGAGAAATCTTCGAAACCATCGTCTGGGGGTAGAAAACGTAAAAGGGCGGAAGCCACTACCGAAATTGGTCCGCCAAATGTTTCTTCTTCCTTGCAAACCTCTCCGATTGAGGTTTTCCTTTCACTTACGAACGCCGTAAGACACTTTGTTGCCTTGGTGGATCGGACTCCGGGCTTTCAAACCGCATTGAAATCACAAATTAAACTTGTGTTGCAGGGAGAACCACCCGTGGCGGCCAGTTTACTCAGTCAAACACTACGCTGCGCGACGGCAGTTTTTCATTTGCGCAACAGTCCTAATTTAGAGGTTGAGGACCAACTATTCGGAGGCTTGTCAGCTGTTATAGAGATCTGGAAGCTTAGATTGGATGGTGTAGATGAAGATGCTGCACTAAGTAATGTTCGTGGCCTTCGTCTGCGCAAACTGGTGACTTGACTAACCCGTTGTAGGGCCATTTCACTACCAAAGTGTTGGAGCTTGCCTTAAAACTCCTCGCAGCGGTTCCAGGAGGTACAACCGATTCGGAGAGGAAAAAGAGTTTTGTACAAGGCATCGAGAGACTAATAGTATTGCATATCGTTTTGCCTCTGCGTGATATCTATTTCACGTCGGCGCTTCCGGATTCTAGCCCAATGGAGCATGGGATACCAACCAGCCAGGTAAACGATATCTCGAATGCGCTGGATTCGCGGGTGGGAAGCGAAATTATGGGACCCTTATCTGAATTCTTTCCGGTACTTTTGGATATCGCTATCCGTGCCTTGCCGCGAGATACATTCAAACGACAGGCGACCGAGGCTCCATGGTTGGAAACTTTCTTCGCAGCGCTCTCTGCTCGTGCGGGCTACTCTTTGTCTGCAGAAAAGGGATCGGAGCCTAGGACCGGTTTTGCATTATTGCAAGGCCTCTTTGAGGTTGTTATTACTCGAAAGATGGCCCTGTCGCTTGGTATTCTTATCCAATACGCTATACGATTTTCTGGGATACATAAAGACTATGAGTTCAACACGCAGTGGAAGTTAGTATCTCAAATTATTCAAATCGGCGTCGACGTCTTTGTGCCAAATTCCGGACTCAGCGAATCAAGGTCTCTACTCAATTCTCTCATTAGTCGGATAACCTCGGTCTGCCGACAACCAGAAAATTTGTCCAGTGACATTTACAATCTTATCAAAACTGGTATCATTATCCCTCTATTCAATGGTTTCTTTGGAGCAAGAGATAGTGATACCATCTTGCGGATTTGGACCGAGCAGCTTCTACTCCTTGATGAAGCACGTTTGAACAACGGCAAAACTCCCTCGTTTTCCGTCTGGGAGGACGACGATCTGTCTAGAGTCTATGGGACGTTGTTACTCAGCAACATATCGGCAGGACATACCAACTCTCAACTCGATCCAATCGTCCCCGCGTTGTCAGAACAGGGTGAAACTTCGTCGCTTTACGCCAACCTAGTCATCCTGGATTCTATTTTCCTTCCCCGACAAGGGAATAACGAAGATGCATCCCGAAAGCTCTACCGTGAAACCATCTTTACGTCGGTTGTGGCGTTGATAACATCCCGTTCTAAGCGATACTGGAGATGGCGGCTATGGAGAGTTTTGGAGAATTTAACATGCCATATCGGCCGTTTGGAACAAGAACCGTCCGATACTATAACAACTTCAATATTACCTATCGCCAAGGGAATCTTTCCAGGGATTTACCGCAAACCAGGAAGTTCTGATATTGCTAGACGTTGCCAAGAGGCATATTGTTGTTTCAAATTCGTCGTTTCACTTTCCGGAAAGCTTGACGATACCGTGCTTGGTGGCTATCTTGATGAATTCGCTACTGTGCTTACTACCGTACTGGAGAAGGTATCGAATCCCGCTGCTGCATGGAATGGTCAGATGGACAGCGTTGATTCTCCAGATAATGTTGCAATTGCCTGCCTCGTGACGCTTTATAGTAATGGTCGCGCCCTGGGACTTCTTTCAACGGAATTTCGACGGCGATTGCTTACTGGACTTTTGGTTTTAGCTGAAAAGGGCCGAAAGGACACAATTGCCAAGGGGCCAAGTTCACCTGCGGCTAGAGCCGTTGACTTGGTTGAAGTTTGGACATTGTTTGCGTCCCGCGATTTCCTTTTGGCTTTCCCGAACGCAGTTTATGACTTAACTTTTACTCTTTACGAACGACTTCAGGGAGGAGCTGAAAGCCGCCAAATGCTCATTCAAAGCCTTCTGAACGTTCCGGTCAAACTTATTGCACGTCATCAAAGGGGTAGCCTCCTCGATCTCCTTGAAAACATTCTTCTCGAGGGGAACCTTGGTTCGGAATTGCAGCTCGACATATTGACTCTAATGACAAAATTGATTGATGCACCTAAATCACCCGCTAAATTAACAAGCGGGGATGCCACCCTCTGGAAGCTTGCAAAATCGATATCTGTTGGTGATACCGAGGCGGACGTGCAAGTTTTCCACGTATTCAAGCAATTGCACAGAGCAGTCCTTGACAAGGTTCTGGTTTCCTCGGGGGGGAAACTAAGTAAATACGGCCGGAAGATCTACAAGAAGGCTTTGGATATTGAAAAAAGTCAGAAGTCCAGCAACTTTGAGACAATAGGATATTACTTCCTGGCCTTGTCCGTTAACGCGCTTTATATTCACCAAGCAGAATTTGACGATGGAGAACGCGAGAGTATCCAACTCCTTCGAGCCGACATATTTAAAGAAGTCTTGTTGGCCCTGAAATCATCCTCTCGACAACTCAAGAAGCGGCCGTCAAAATTGAAACTTGTATTTCTAACTGGCATTTTTGGTGTTGCGGATACAGTTCAAGATCTACTACATGGGAACGAAGAAGCTTTTGAAATACTTCAAGAATTGGAAAGCCGTGCAACTGCATCGGACTGTGACGCCAATGTCAAAAGTCTCGTCAAACGGCGGACTCTTGCCTACAAATCGCCAGAAAATAACATCATGTCATTATTTGAATACTCTTCATTGTTTTCGGCTTCGCAACTTCAAGCAAGGGACCAAAAATTGCTGGTTTTTGAACTTCATTCGAAGCTATCTGCTCTCTCGAAGGACACACTGATAAGCTTCTTGCACGACATGCGCATTTCAAAGGTCTCTGATGATCAAGTGGCTTATCGCTTATTATTAACAGGAATGGCTAGTGGATTATTGAATCCTATCGACGACAGAGAAAGCGCAGCATCTCTCGAGTTAACTTCGACATTTACGCATGTAACGGACGCATTGCTAGACTGCAAAGCGATAGAGCCGTTCTCTTTAGCCACAGAGTGCCTTGATATTATTCTACGCACACAGCCGCGCTCTGTGTCGCAATGGAATGTTGATAATATTCTTGCAAAAATATCCGTTGTAGTCTCTCCATCTGGCCCTCAAATTTCACCGAGAGACGCCGGCACAATCTACACACGTGTTTGCCGACTTTTGGGGACGTTATTTGGACTCTATCGCAAAAAGCTTAGTGGAAGATTCCATCTTATCCTTCCGGTTGCGCAACGCATGCTGCGTTGCCTTTTTGCCAGTGATTCAAGGCCAACCAAATCTTCGCTATTTACAAGTCATCCACCCTGGCTCGATTGTACCGGCACCCCTCTCCAAGCTGAACATGCGGCCCAGTATACTCGCCTTCTCTCTTCGCTTTGCGACCCTACCGTTTCAGCGGTTGAGAACCAGCGTAGAGGACCTAATCAAGGTTTGATTGACAACACGAAAAAGGTTAAAAGCCTTGCTGGGCAATATCTGCAGTATCTTATTATAGAATATGCAGGAGCACAATTGCGAGGCCATTTGACACCGGAAATCAAAGCTGCATTGATGCCGGGGTTTTATTCGGTGCTGGATGTTATGTCAAAGAGTACTATGCGGGCTATGAATGCGGCCATGGATCCCTCTGCTCGGGCGGTTTTCAAGGGGTTATATGAAGACTATGTGAAGTTTGGGAAGTGGAATCATGATTGAGCATGGGCTAGCACGGTGTCCGCGATTTACCGGCACAATGTCTGAGGGAGCTCCTCAAACCCCTTTCACCACACAGATCCGAATCTGGTGGAGAATGCGCGGCAGGCTGTAAAGGAGAATTGAGCTGATCTTACGAGAAACCCAGTAATACACGAGAATGCAGATTGTGTGTATTCTCCCCTGGCTTTTTACAACGATGTACCGCTGCTCCACGCGCCCCGGACATTCCGTATATACATCTGGGAATAGCCATGAGCATGAATATGTGAGGCTTGTGGCCGTTAATCGTGTACCAAGCCAGGCCATCTACTAGTGAACATTGTACATATATTTTGAGATACATAATAGTTTGGTGAGTGAAGAAGCGGTTGCACTTCTCTACCTAGTTAAACAAACAATGCAAACAGGGGGAGATTCCAATTAATTTCGCTATTCTGATGTTACCAACATTGTGTCTGGCTGCCTGCATTGAAAACTCTTCATCTCGTCAATTGAGCAGTTTTCTCGGAAGAAAACGTCAATTCATCTAGCTCCAGGGTACTCGTCATATCAGCTTTCTCAACTTCAGCCATTGTGACATTAGGTTTTTTAGTACCGCGTTCGGCTTCCCAATCGGGGCTGAGGGAGTCGGGGAGCCGCTTTGAGCGAAGGGGGTGAAACGGGAGACTTTGGGGTATATAAGCAAGGGAAATTCTCTTGTTAATCGATTCTTCTTTCATCATGAGGCTTGGAATTTGCTTTGGCCCTAGGGTAGCTTCTCGAAACTTTAGACACGGTATCGTTCCTCATCTACTGATCAATTGCCCCATAACATGAATGCTAATCTAGATTGAAGGACTTTGGTGCACCTATTCCTACCATTTGCGTGACCGGCTCTTTTGCTCAAAGCGATTTATGTACAGCAGCACAATGGCAGCCACCGATGCTTTACCGAAGACGCTCAAGTCAATCACGGAAACCAAACTCAAGGAGCTTTCAAAACAGCAAGCTCTGTTTGAATCCCGGAAATCAGCAGTTTATGAAGAAGCTGCAAAACAAACGTCCCTGGAAGATAAAGTCCGAGTGCTTCTTGAAGGGGTTACTCGCCTTAAGGGCTTTCCAGATGACGGGCTTGATACGACTGATAAAGAAGATGATGCCGTACTCCGGTCCGGCGGTGATCGTGTTTCCGCTCGGCACGCCTATTGGAATATTCGCCGTGATCTTGTGCAGAGAAAGTTTGACTCATCCATATCCGATGCAAAACTGAAGCTGTTTGAGGAAGAGTTGCGCAAGCAGTTGAACTTTATCAGTGCTAAACATGAACATGCGTTGTTTTTCAATCGCCTTGTGACTGAATGGCTAACGAATCCTCGCAATCCCGTCCCTGAAATCGCTAAAGATAACAATTCGGATGTTTCTTACGAACAGCTTGAGCGAAAGGAAGCTCATGAGCAACGCACGGAATGGGAACGACTCGTGTTCGAGCCTCGCCAGACTGATAGTGCTGCCATCGAAGGCTACCTTACAAAACTCTTTGGGCAATCGAGACTGTCTGAGCAAGCACTGAAAGACCTTCGAAAGCGAGTGAAACTATCGAGTAAAGACTTCCTGACCAAAGACGACCATTTCACGGTTGACAGTTTGAAATGGGTTATTAGGGGGGTGATCAGCAAGGACATCCTATCTCCCAACAAAGTTACTATTCTTAGGGAATTCCTGGTTAATGATGAGGTTGCACAGGAGGTTGCTGATGTTCTGAACGTTCGAATGGCTCAGTTGGATACGTGGTCTTGGAGCGGCCAACCGATCATGGTGGAAATGCGACGACATTTGAACGGAAAGTACCGAGCTTATATGGACGAGGATATTCTGGATGCCATTTTCCTCCACTACATCGGAGTCAAGTGGAGCATCACATTCAAAGAGCTTTTTACCGCGATTATTCATTCCCACGGTTGGAAACGCCAGTCCAAAAACATCCCAAAAGACGATCTTGAGCGGCGAAAGTACTTTTTATACGAGGAGGATGGGGAGAACCGGGACAACTATAATATCGTCGGAGAGAGGAGAAGAGCGTTTTTGGAAACGTATTTTATGTGCCAGTTGCCCTCGGACGTTGATTCGATACCCGTCTACAACGAAGACTCCCAAGCCGACGATCAAAAGAAAAGCTTCGTCGACCTCAAGCACTCGTTACTCCATCTCGTCATGGCCGAAATATGGCTTAACAAGGCGTTATATGGGGAAGTCACTGTGGTTCAATCCGACTTCAGATGGTTCGGCCCTTCACTGCCTCACACGACTCTCCTTTCAGTGTTAGAGTTCTTCCACGTTCCGAAGATTTGGATCGATTTTTTCCGGCGTTTTCTTGACACTCCACTGAAATTCGTACAAGACGGCGATGATGGCCCTGTGAGGATAAGAAAGAACGGAGTTCCTCTGAGCCATTCGATAAGTGATTGGCTTGGGGAAGTGACGCTTTTCTGTCTCGATTTCTCGGTCAATCAGAATGCAAATGGACTCTTACTATATAGATTACATGACGACTTTTGGTTCTGGGGGCAGGAGCAGGATTGTGCCAAAGCCTGGAAATCTGTCAACGAATTCTGTGACGTTATGGGCCTTGAGATTAACCACGAAAAAACCGGAGCCGCCCGCCTGTACCTCAACAAGAGTCACAAGAAGGAGTTCTCAGATGATTCAGAAAGTGATTCCAACGTCGACCAAAGGCCCGATTCTTCGACTGTCTCCGTGACTGAACCCGCTTCTCTGCCACGCGGAGATATCCGATGGGGATTTCTCAAATTGGACGAAAGCACTGGAAGGTTCGAGGTTGATCAGAGCCAAGTGGATGTGCACATTCAGGAACTACGGCGTCAACTTGCTGCGTGTAAAAGCACGTTCAGCTGGGTCCAGGCTTGGAATACCTATATGGCAAGGTTCATAAGCAATAATTTTGGGAAACCGGCCTTCTGTCTCGGACGACCGCACATAGAGATGGTACTTTCCACCTTGAAACGCATCGAACGTGAGCTATTTGCTGTCGACGGGGATGCCTCACCCGGCAGTGCTGCTGACTACCTTCGTCTTGCGATCGCGAAAAAATTCAACCTCTCTGAGCTTCCGGACGGATTCTTCTATTTTCCAGAGGAATACGGTGGTTTAGCTTTGACGAACCCATTTGTTTCCCTCATTTCTATGCGCGAAGGCATCAAAACGACCCCCGAGAGAATCCTTCGAGATGCATTCATTGCAGAAGACAAGGAGTACGCCGCAGCGAAAGAAAAATATGAAAAGCAAGGCCCAAACCGAACCTCTTTGGGGCTTATTAGTAGTGCTACGCCTCGGTCTCGCTTTTCATCTCCTGGCACACAATTCATGTCTCGGGATGAGTATGTGAAGCACAGTGAATCTACAAGTCTCTACCTGAAACGGGCTTATCAGCTGCTTTTGCAGCAACCCGAGGAAGTGTCTGCTGCTTTCACGCCGGAACTGCAGAATGCGATTTCCAAAAACGAAGCAATCAAATCCTTGCCGGTTGACTGGTACTCCATGTCGTCGTACTCTAAAAGCATCGTGGATTTGTATAGTTCGGGCATGATCAATAAGTATGGCTCCCTCGCTGCAGTGGAGGATAAGACTTTGCCTCTGGGCGTAGTGAAAATCCTCAAGCGGGAAAAGGTTAGATGGCACAGCTGGCTGTAGCCACATGGATTGATTTCATATCAGCTGGGACAACTGCAGGTCTCGTTGGATGAATTAATGTCGGATAAGTGATGGCGCACTTGGATTTTCAGTTGATGATACCCCTCCTCTCAATTAGCATTTAAATAGATATGATCACTACTCTTAATTAAATATACAATCCACGGCCTTCGAGCCGTATTACTTGTGCTCATAGCCGTCTAATCTTCCTCCACACCTCGTATATCCAAGTTGTTCAAGGAGGGGTATTTAGGGCGTAGGTGTCGCCAGACTCCAGTGTGAACGTCAGCAGGTGAACGCAAACCCTCATTTCTCCATCCATAATTCCTCAAGAGACATGGACGGTCAGATGCCCCAACCAGTTGACCTGAATTTTACAAAAGCACTTCCAAAAATCGAGGTACGATGGTTCCCAAAAGCGTCAACATGCGGATTAGCTAACATGAGCGAGTCCCCCAGTTACATGCCCATTTAACTGGAAGTGTGTCTCGAAAATGCCTCCAGGAGCTGTGGCTCCGAAGAAAACAGGAGGATCCGGACTGCAACGTCCCTAATCCTCTAGAAGTGATGCCGGAGGGGAAGGTTGACTTTGATCTTACCACGCATGTATCAAGTTTAATAGAAGATAGATGGCCATTGCACTCGCTAACTTTTATATTAGGTTTTTTACGGTGTTTACAAACTTGATATACCATCTTTGCAGTGACTTGACGGGCTTGAAATACTCTACTCGCCGCGTCCTGCAGGACTTCCAAGATGATGGAGTCAGGTATTTGGAACTCCGGACTACTCCCCGCGAGAGCCAGAAATATGGCGTTTCAAAAGAGCAATATGTGACGACAGTCCTCGACGTGATCGAAGAATTCAAGAATGACCGCATGTCAACTTACCTGCTGCTATCCATTGACAGAACCAAGTCAGCGACCAACGCCCTTGAAGTGGTCGATCTGGCCATCAAGTATCAGCACCGAGGGGTGGTTGGAGTAGAGCTGGGAGGCGACCCATCAAAAGGCGATGTATCAATATTCGCGAGCGCCTTCAAAAGGGCCAGGGACCATGGCCTGCACATAACATTACATTTCGCGGAAACAGCATTTTCCGCTTGTTCGACAGAACTGAAAACTCTTCTATCATTCCAACCAGAAAGGTTGGGCCATGTCATCCACGTTCCTGATAGTTTCAAGGAGGAGATTGCACGCCGGAAACTCGGACTCGAGCTGTGTTTGTCGTGCAATGTTCATGCGAAATTAATCCAAGGCGGGTTCCCGGACCACCACTTTGGGTACTGGCGAAATCAAGATTGCCCAGTCATTCTTTGCGTGAGACTTCCCGCCACGTACTAGTTGTGATCACTCACTGAGGCTTTAGAAAGACTGATGACGTTGGGTTCTTCTGTAGCCCTCTGTCAAACGAGTACCTTCTCGCCGCTGAACATTTTCAGCTAGACCGCTCGACGATTTTAGATTTATGTAGAAGGGCCATTCCGGCAATATTTGGGGGTCAGAGTGAGAAGGACAGGCTATATCAGCTGCTGGCCCGATTTGAACAACCGGAAATCGCTTTTAATGTCTAGTGATGAGGACATTCAGCTGTGGAAGCTTTCATAAGAATGGATTGGCGAAGCTCTCTAGCCAAGAATCATACGACGCCAACAAACTGTTAGTATAATGAAGTAGAATATTCCCATATCGAAAAATGATGAAAAAATGACAATGTCGAACAGTCGAAGTGGCGCGGGGAAGATGATTCTCTCGCTAGCCCGATTAAGAGGCATCTATACCAGATCAGGACGAAGATTGCAAGGGTACGACAGAAGTGCCGAGTGAAACAACTGATTCTTCTGTTGGCTGCGGAGGCTGTGCCGAACGCCAAAGCGTTGGTTATGCTGGACTGGTTTGGTATTTAATCAACCAGAGGGTGCAGCGCATCTTCTCGTGGAAGATGGACCGGAAATTGACTCCAAGATGGATAAACTGCGGTTTGCCTTTCACCTGTTGCTTTTGATTTCCTTGTTGACCGTATGCACGGGTGCTGCTGAAGGGTAAATAGCCCAATACTTACGCTCATTGTGTATGCGGGAGGAATGCTCATTTTGCTTTTGAAGATGTTGCGATCACGACGATTACCGCAGTCCTGGCCGGGGTCGCAATTCTGTTAAACATTGCCGTGGGCAAGCCTGCCCAGCGGATGATATCCAGTTGCCAGACTCTGCTGCTCTGGCGGGCCGTGAGACGCCTGGTTTTGGTTCGTTATGGGCCCGTCATATCACGGATTTCTAGTATGGCGCTCTATTATTCACTTTTTGTCGTTTTTGTTTTTTTTCGCTGCTGAAACACTGACACGAATCAAGTTCAGATCTCTCGCGGCGGAAATTCTTCAAGCCCAGGCCTGTTCCTAAGCCAACCCCGAAGCCTCCTAAGTTTGGGTCGCCGCCGCCGTGGAGTTTCCCTAAGAACCCCTCTAGTCCCAAACCCGGGGGAGGGTCGCCTAAGAACCCCGGGAAGCCGGACAAGCCAAACCGCACACAGGACTCGGACCCGCCACGGCGAACGTCGGATCAGATGGGTGATCCTGGAGACGGTGGAAGTGGTGGCGCTTCTAAACCCACTCGCCTAGTTCCTTCTCAGGTAACAAGGGCTCCTCTGCCGAGCAGCAGCCGCAGAGCCGGTCTAGTTGCCAATGGAGGAAATTCGTGGGCTCCCCATCCGGTGCTTCTGTTTATCGCCATTACAGGATCGGGACTCGTGATATTTCTGTGGTGAATTTATGGCCTTGATGATTGTGCTCTTGGTCTACTCTTCGGGATTAGCGGATGACAATGAATTTTGACGAAATATTTCTCTGGGTATCGTTTGAAAGGGACTCATAGTTACAGGGTATTTTTCAATGGGTGACACATTGCCATCATTCTATGTCACCACGCATTCTGCTGCCGGATCACCTGAAGCATCAGGAATCTGCAGCCTCTGTGACGGAATACGTGTTCCTCGCCTTCCCTTGAAATGATTGCAATTCTGTGACCTTGTTGTGTCAAAGATGAGTTGGCACTCCTCATGGTGCAACTACACTGCGAGCTCAGTCTCTTCCATGTGTGTGGCCCAGTGAGGGATCAGGAGGCCCAAGTCTAAATAACAAGGATTCCAGCCCGTACAGTCGTTGCCGCAAAGTGTACAGGGCAAAAGATGAGATCATCCGGCGTCCACGGCATTCCACCGTCGTCTGACGCATCGCTACGGGAAGCGCTGTCAAACATGTTGGGGAGGTCCGACTTGCGGCCAATGAATGTGAAGCAAGAGTATGCACGACGTGGCTTTGAGATACTCGGTGTTAGGCAATGCATTTCACAACTGGGTGGATTGGGTGTATTCTGATCAACGTGTCGGGTGGAATTCTCCACCAAAACTCTGATCTTTATATTTCGTTTCTCCTCCCCCATCGCAGGTCGCGAGATCTCTGGAAGCGGTTCTGCACAGGGGTCTGTATAACTTAATCTGCAAAATCTCTCCCCAGGGATCTTTGCCAATTCCCGGGCATCGGAATGCAGGGAGTGGGCGGATGCCAATTGTCAGCTTGGGATGGTGACAACAAATATCGTATTCTCCAGGACGTGTTTCTGCAGCGAGGTCAACTTCAGCTGAAGAGTATTTAATTGTAGAATAGGCATCTTCATAAACTCCCTATCCCTCCAACCTTTTGATCGCAGGCGGCCACCATCCGGTCCGCTTGGTTGATTGTTCTTCGTTGTTGCTTCCACCAGGTTACACAGCCACAGAAAGGCCGTCGCGGTGGCGCAGGTGGCTCAATCACGTGAGCCGCGGCAGCCAATCGGATCGCCGCCCCTGACGCCGGAACAACCCCTGCCGAGGATTATGTCAGCCCGCAGCTTCGCCTTGCTTATTCAGCTTCACGGTCGCCCTCTCGACCAATCACAGTGCCTGGACGAACAACCGCCTACTCTCAAGGCATCCATAGCGAGCTCTTGATTCTCCTCCTCTCGGATCCTGGGAAGAGCGCGGATTCTTTCTGAGATCTGCCTTCGATACGCCAGGCGGCTACTTGATTTACTCTGGTTTTGGTTAGCTCTGCTAGGACCCTCCTAGGCTCAGCCCTCTGTCGTTGAATCACCGGTCTTGGTGAGTCACCCCATTTCTACAGTTACATCTTGCCGCGCCGAATGCCTGAAAGCAGGAACCGATGATAGGCTTTGTGTATGCCTAGTCTTAGACCTGGCTGTCCTGTTAGGCAACGCATTCTAACGCTTCCACCTTCCAGAGCCACGAGCTGTGCCAGTCATACCTGAGCTTCCAAAATAAGCGCTAGCAGGCCTTGTGGCGGCCGCGCTGTTCATAAGATTTCAGATGATTGACTCTCTATGCACGTCTCCCGCTTGGTCAACAATGTTATTCGCCCGCGAGCTTAGTCCCCACAGATGAGCCTCATCGTCTTACCTTAACACTATAAATACCATATCAAGATACCCAGACCCCATCTCTCCTTTGAGATGTCCCACTCCGATATTTCATCAACCTGCAGCTCTCGAAGCAAGGCCACTGCACTCATGTCAGATATCAGCGGAGAATCCGACTGTTCGAGTCCCCGCGTCGGGGCATCCGGTCCGATGTCAGTTGTCACCCTCATGGACCGAACCGTGATGTCCCCATCGGTCGCTGGAACCGGCCTCACTGGGAGTCTTACCCGTCCTAGGCTGGCTGTGAAACGGGCGCGAGACCCCCCAAGGAATGCGGGAGGCCAGATTTACTGTGATCATCCTGACTGTTATGAGAACGCTCCCGTATTTCGGAGGCCTTGTGAGTGGAAGTAAGTTTATCCTTCTGCCTGATCTCGATCGTCTCAACTTGTGAGGGAACTAACCCATCAACCGCTTTGGCTTGTAGCAAACACATGGACAAACATGACAGGCCGTATAAATGTTCAAATTTAGACTGCGCAAAACTACCGGGATTCACTTACTCGGGGGGTTTGCTGCGCCACCAACGCGAAGTTCATGGGATGCATACGCCGCAGAAAAGGCTGATGTGCCCCTTTGCTGACTGCAATCGCAGCTCCGGAAAGGGGTTTACAAGGCAAGAAAACTTAAATGAGCACTTGCGACGCCTTCATCGAGGCTCTCAGGACCTTACTGTGCCTCCAACCCCGCGCAGCCCGCCCAGCTCAGCCAAAACGGTTGAAGAGACGACGTCTTCGGCGTTGGCGATCCATTCAGCCATGAAAAGAAAGCGAGCATCGAGCGGATCCGAAAATGACTCGGAGACAACTCTCTCCAACATTCAGGCTCTGCGAGAAGAAGTAGTGCGTTTGAGGAGCCAGATACAACAAAAGGACTCGCGACTTGATGAACTCGAAAAGGTTGTGCGGGAACTACGTCAATCGATAAATCTCGGTTGAATGATGGATATATTTCGACTCTTTTTTTTTGGGCATATATAACTGGTGCATAATCATCAGGCGTTGGACATCGAATCTCTTTCTCTTTGAGCGTCTCGTTTCTAATGACACGATGGGATCATTCATGAGGAGTTTTATAAAGGATGTTGTTTTGGGTGCCTTGCTCTTGCTTTTATGGCAAGTTTACATGCGATGTTATTATTCTGGCATTATACCCCTATTCGATAAACCTGATCATATTCCGAGGCTCTAGACAATGGATTTTCATAGAGCTTGTAGAATCCCAATGCCTCCTCTGTTAAATTCTGTATGACAACTGCTTTTCATTATTTTCATTTAAACAAGGCTTGAGATTGTGAAACAATGATATTGAAGCAATTGGTGCATTCAAATCTGGGATATTTGAATCTAAATGGGCTACTGCGAAGCATTCTCACATCCCCCGGTATATCACTCTCAAGTGCCGAATAGGTGGCAGCACAAATGCATGTATGATTGTACTGGACATGTATTCAAAGAATCCTTCCAGTGGCTCCCTCTAAATCAAGTGGCCTCATGGAGAATAAGTTACCTTGCTCCCACATTAATCACTCTAGAACTTGATAAAGCTCCAAAACACTGATCTTCCAGCAGCATCTCTATTACACCGGCACAATATCTGCACACAGCACCAGATCTGTGCCGGCAAATGGAGACGTGAAAAAGAGAAAATGCCTTCCCACAAGCGTCGAGCCCGCCTATCCAGCGGACAATCAAATCTGAAGGTAGTTGAAAAGTTGCTGCATTTTATAGCTGGTAGCCCGCATCGGCGTACTCGACTAGAAAATTGTCCATATCTCTCTTGAAGCGGGTCTTAGCAGCATGTTCCTAGATTGACACCTGGCCGACGTCCAGTAAACTCTTCGAGAAATCCTATTGCCCGACGTGGCTCTTCAGCTGTGTATCCTAATATTCGTGAGGCAACGGCCAGATCACTCCAGCCGGCAACGGTCGGAGCGGAATCTGGCATCAGGAAACATGTCGCACCTCACAACCAAGATCAAGCGAGCAGCGTATCTTTCGACGCCATCAGGAAAGGCGGGAAGTCTAGCGTTGGATGCGACAAGAGGCGATGAGCCAAAAGCGTTGTTCTTAAGCCCATGAGGATTCCATCAGTTCTGCTGCCTGTTGCTTGTTTGTGGTTGTTGCCCCAAATCTTGGTGGCTGGACGCGTTCGCGCCTGCAGACACAAAGAGGCGCGCATTCATCTGGAGAACAACATCCAGCATCTTTGGAATCAACAGGCCTTCATTGTTGCACCATCCTCTTGTTCTCTTCCTGTTCATATTGGCACTGGTTTCTTGCTGGGTCGTATTGCTTTGCTTGGGATGTTTCTCGCCAGTTGATATATCTTTTTTGGTTTTTTCTTCAGCCCTTTTCGGATCAAGGACAAGGCCATTTTACTGCAAGAATGGAGGTTGATCCCATGTCTCCCTCGCCCGAAGGCAACCCGGCTCGACAGAGTTTGGCTTCGATTCACGAATTTGCCGCTTCCAACACCTATCCAGAGTTGCAGCATCCTCGCGCGCTGGAACCCCCTGGATCGCATGATTATCATCCAGGGCACTTTACATGCCCTCTCTTTTTTCAGTCCCTGGGCGATGACAGCTTCAGGAGCGAGTCACCCGGCTTTCACTGGCAGTATGAACTGCGCAGAGAGGCCCAGCGGATTCTTCCCTTTCTCTATCTTGGCCCTACTTCAGCAGCGCGAAATATCGCCTTCTTGAAGGAGGCTGGAATCACATGCGTCCTTGCAATTCGGAGTAACCACCCTTCGCATGAGTTTACTGTCAATGCAGACAAAGCTGCTGCAGCCGCCGGAATAGAGTCGCAACACGTCAAGGTAGAGGACTACCACGAGCTGGGAAGAACTTTCCCCCAGCTTGTTCGCCTGATTAGCAACCATGTCTGCCGCTGTCGGACACATTCGGCCTCAACGCTCCCGGCAGAGAAGAAGGTCCTCGTCTTTTGCGAGACGGGAAACGAACGATCGGCCAGTTTGGTGATTGCATACCTCATGGTTATATACAACATTCAAATGCATACGGCTTTAGGTCACGTCCAAGGACGACGGCTCTGCATCAACATCGATTTCTCCATGAGACAGATCCTTTTGTCTTTCGAGTCCATTTTAAACGCACAGAGGGATGTTGTTAGAGTCTCTCAATCGCCAGGGAAGTGTGGCATTTACGTGGCAGATGGCGTTAAGCGGCCCCATGCCAAATATTCCGAGGATGACTGTGACGTAGAAATGGGCGAGGCCGAGAAACCGGCAAAACGTCAAAATCTGGACCTTTCCTGCAATCCCGGGCTCTAGCCAAACTGACCAGCATATGTGTGCTATGCCACCTCCCAACAACTCGGATGGACACCTCTTGCTGGCCTCCAAGGTGGTGTATGTTGCTGGATTTTCCTCCTTACGGCGTCCAGGGGTTGGATACGACGCATAGCCTGGCTTTCTATGTCCTCTTGTTGCTTTTTGGTTTCTCTCAGTTTGCATTATCAAATAGGTATTAGTCCTTCACTGGTATCATTGAATGGCTGCATTTTCTTGCTCTTTTGGATGGTTGCCCTTGGTACAAAGAAGTCTTTCTTTTGGAGTAAGCCTGTGTGGTGATTATTCCATAGTTTGGTGGCATCCTGCTGGCAATCTTTGTTCCCACCACTTGCTGGCTCTTCAAGAGCGGAATCTTCCCCTGATATGGTGCCGCACGTCTATTCTCACAACAACGTTCCAACACGTCAACATTGACGACCGGGCGACCATATGTACAGTCATCTGTTCCAATATGGTATTTCCCACTGTCAAGCAAGGGGAAGAGCGCAGAATAATGCGGGACTTCACTGTGAACATACACATGACAGGTCTTCATTTACTATTAACTTTTATCTTCTTTTGCCTTCTACTTTTCAAGCTACATTCATTCTTTTGAGCTTGACAGTGTCTCCTCCTCATCCTTCAAGATTTTGATGTTTGGTTGATCTTGGTGGCATTTCACAATCTTTCTTTGATCCTTGTCAGACACGTCCACAAGATATCGCTAGGTGCTGAACCTGAGGGATATCTTCTTCACTGCTTCCTTAGACTAAGAGCCAATCTATGCTTACTGCTATACTTGCACTCAAGCGTCCGAAAAGATTGAGCAAGGTCTCCACTGCCGATAGAGGGAAGTACCAATGCATCTCCGGGAACGCGCCACACTTCGCCCGCCTCGTCGGTTTAATGAAGAGGATTTTATTACGCTTTCGGGCCCGGGTTCTATTTCACAATCACAGTCGAATTGCGAGTCTATACCCCCGCCCCGGCCATGCACTCGTATTATGCCGCCGTGCGCTAGACCCCAATTCCCACCGCCCTATGTTGAATACAACGCGAATAATCCACCGGCGTCGTTTCCAACATTGGATAATCTAGATACAAAAGCCGTGGGAGGGAAGGAGGAGAGTAATTACTTGCCTCGAAATGGAGTCGACATTGGAGGTACGTGCGGAGAGGTTATACTCGACTCTGACAAAATACTTACTAATGTTAAACCAGAGCAAGGGGATAGGGGTAACAATGAAGGGGAAAGTCAGGGTATGAATGTTGATATAGCTGCTAACGCGGCTGAGCTTGAGGACCAGGATGTACCCGATATCTGTGACATGGAAACGAGCGATGAGGACGACAGTGGAGGTTTCTATGAAGAGGATGACGATCATTATGCTAGTGAAAGGGAGTACGGAATTGACCCCATTGCTCTTCAAAATGTTGAATGGCGCGACCTCAGGCCCGGTTTGCAACTGGAAATTATCAGGAATTTGGGGCGCATCTACCTCTGGCCGCACATCGTGGCTTTGTTACACTTGTCCCCCGAAGACAGCAACGAGGCTATTAGGCACGCCGTTGCCCGTAAACAACAAGCAGAAGAAGAGAATAGACTCCTCGGGGAAATGCGAGCGAAACAACTCAATGCGCTTCTACGAATTGACAACAGTGTCTTACGGCAATCGCGAGTTCCAACCCAGTTAGTGTTTCGAAACATTTCAAAAAGGCATCTTGAAGGTGCGAGAATGCAATCAGATCCAACCTACCTTATGAGCACTGCGAAGGATATCATTGCTGCAAAATGTTATCTACGTCGGGTCGGGCTTGATCCCGGCTTCGTAGGCGAATGGGCCTTTGATCTGGCGACGATGCAACATCCACCAAGTACAAATCCAAACGCAGTGGAGGAACTTAGGTGGACACTTGATTCGGACGACCCAAGCGAGATCGAACAAGATACTGTCGCAGCCATAGGCGTACAGAACACGTCACCAAAAGTTCCGCATCGCAGTGCCAATACCAGGGAAAAATTGACGAGCAAATCCCCTAGGATAACTCCAAATCTTCGCTTTATCAACTTCTTTGGAACAGCACATGGAGTCGTTGAAGAGGGTTCCCTTCAAGAGAGCAAAGATGACGGCAGCAGACTAAAGCCATATCGTATATCGGCTTCTGGCATAAAGGTTGCTCGAGCAATTTTCAACCAGGCTCAAGAACCTCCAAGGGAATCTCCCGCCAGTGCTCGGGGTTCAGATGTATCGGAGACAAATCAGTCTGAGGACACAGTCGTCCGCCTGAGCATTGGGCCTGAAGGTGCCGCTCGAGTTGATAGCTTGCCCGACATGTCGTCTCCAATTTTCAGCCACTTTTTATCAAGCCCACCAGTATCTCCCGCTGCTTCTCCTAGCGTAATTCAGTCGGATGCGCCCTCCGAAGACACGGAAATGTCGGCTCTGAGCAAAACAAAAGAATCAACTGAGACATCCGGGCCAGCGTTTGCAGTGCGTCAAAGGCAGCCCTACGAGAAGCCGGTAGAGAGAACTTTGTCTGGTGCTTGGTGGTATGACTCGAATGCTCCTAAACCTCCACATCTGACTGCAGAATCCAACGCTTCGATGAGACTCCAAGAACGACTGTTAGCTGCAAGAGCAGAAAATGAAATTCGCCAACTGGCAAGATCCGGGAGCCAGAATCGGGCAGTTACCGCACCCATGGTTATGCAATTGCCGCTCCGTAGTTCGCCGTTGAAGTACAGCTGTTCTAGTGCTGACGGCGAACGTCCCACCACTCCTCAGGTTCAAAGCTCAGATGGCCACTCGATCGTGATTAGTTCCCCAGTCAAAATGAATGATCCCGGGCGAGCTATGCCTCAGATGACGCGCTTGCAGTCTGGCGATAGCCGAGAAGCGGAACAAGAGCACTGTTCGCGATACTCGCCCACACCTCTTGTAAAGACCCAATTCCAGGGCGATACACAAGCAGAAAAGGGTGCCAATAGCAAAGCCAACGCTTTCACGGAAGCAAATCAAATGGAAGTTTCCATTGTCTCAACGCAGGAAAGGCCGGACAATCTCTGCGAGAGCAATGAGGACTCACCATCTCGCTTTGAATCCAGAAGTGGCCATTCTAATTCCCAAGAATCGAAATCTAGCTATGAGCCACGGAAAAACGCTCCTCTTCGGATTTCTTCGAGTAATGTCATCAACGCATCATCCATGGAGATCCGGGTTTGCCCACAGACTGCAGCTCAAAATACCCGTTCCTGCTCTATGGAATCGGTCGAAGAAGGCTCCCAAGTATCCGGATTCCAAGACGACATATCTTTACCGGAGTTGCCTTTGAAAAAAGTCAGAAAAAGGCCTAAAAAGGCCGTTGTCTCTGAATCGCAGAGAAGGAAAAGCGCGAGATTGAATCCCCCCGAAGGTAGGTCTCTAAGACCGCCTAAAGCAAACGTCAGGTACAAGTTTTGAGTCGAGCAGATTGGGATATTTCCCTTTCAAATCGCCTTTTGAATTTTCTTTCTTGTATCCCTTTTCTCACCTTGTTTGTTTTGAATGGATTGTTGGTATGCCAAAACATGATACTCCACTCTCCCTTTGAATACCCCAGTGATGTCTGAATATGAGAATGTAGCACGGAAGTACAAGATTTGAAAAGTTAGTCAGAAGCCCAATATCTGTACACTACAAAATGTATGATTAAGAATATGCACAGTGAATGTAAGAGTTTGTCAAAGGCTGGTGTCTAGTTTCACTCTTCATCAACAACCACATTCATTGACAAGTCAAACTAGCAAGAGTAGTTTCTGCAAAGTAGCAAACAAACGTATTCCTGCAAGACTTAACTATACAGATTACTAGAAATAGAACTCCCATAACATTCTGATGTGTGTGTCAAAACATACAAATTACTATGGAGTGGTAGAGGCAGAAACCCCCTCTAACTCTCACTCTCACTATATTCAATTGACCGTGCTGTTGCCTTCAACTTCCGCATTTTTCTTCTTGTTGCAGGTGTTTATGTCTCTGTGAATGGATCTTTACTGCTTCTAGTACAAGTTGGTGGTGACCCTGAGATCAATTAAACATGGGTGTGAGATGGGGTTGCCCATACCTTCCTATAGTAATTTGTATGTAAGGCTATGTTGGGAGTAACTACAGCACTAACCATATTATCTGATTTAGATGTGGTGTCTCTAGACACACCTCTATGGAAAGGCAATTCCCTGAAAAGGCAGAGGTGATCTAGGGGTGTGTAGCTTAGTTCTACATGTGATGAGCTTGATGTGTTTGACATTCTCAGTCTTTGATTTCTCTGACAGAATAGACAAACATTTTTTTTAGAAAATCAATCATTGATTTAATCTTTCCTTCTTCAGGTCTTTATCAAATGAAACTGCCAACTACTCAAACCTCAACAGCTCATGCTCAAACTCCGATCTTGACAGCTCTTCCCCCTCGTCCGACTCCGTCACAGTATAGCTAGTCTGGTAAAGAGAAACCTTAGGATAGGTACTACCGGGAACAGACTGGCCCTGCGGCACGGTCTCGTCAGCTATCTGGTAGATCACAATAACTTGGTCAACGTTCTTAGTTCCGGTGCGTTTCTTCGCCACAACAGCAGCGAGATTCCCCTTTGGAGTTGTGGCGATGACATCTTTAATGCTGCCGTATTTCTTCCCGTTTGCGTTAACGGCGAGCCGCTGAATTATATTGCTGATGGAGGTATAGAAGAGATCAGACTTGATCGCCACGTTTGAGTCTCGCGACCCGGTAACGGCGAGCGGGGTGTGCGGGGAGGCTTCTGGGTCCACGTCGTCGATTATACGGGTTGCTGTTTATTATCCATTTATCAATATCCAAAACAACTAGCCAGTGATCAACAGGGGAGCGAGTGACATACATGTATCCTGCAACCACGCGAGACCCAAGGTGTTTTGCTGGAAGAAAGCCACTGGAGGGTTCTCGGTGTTGTTATTGGAGATGTCCGTTCCTAGGTCAGCACCCACAGCAGCCAGGCCGGTTCCTGTGAGGACATCATCGCCGAGGTTGCGATAGTCTTGTATCCACGAGGGTTCCTTGAAAATAACCTGGCGGATAGCGCCGTTTATGTCTGCGGTCTGGTAGAAGACGTAGATATGGTCTTTGCCGTCGAAGGACTTCGCGGCAGCGATCTTGGAGTATTGGGCTGGGGCGATGCTCTGGTAGGGCAGGCCGCCAATAGACCACTTTTTGTCGTCAGGTTTGTAGATGGCCTCGCTGAGGTAGTTGTTTTGATTGATGTAGAAAAGGTGCTAGAATGCAAGCTTAGTAGTTATAATGCAAATGAGGAGGGCTATTAACGCACCCTCTGTTTGTTCCGTCCAATAAGGGCTGCTATCGGGGTGTAGAGCTTTGGAGCCTGTCCGGACAGGTTCTGTATTGGGTGTATCTTCCAGTACCCGTTAGAGGATGAGGTTGCCTCGCCCAGGAGGCCATCGGATAGTTGAAAATAGACAGTGACTTTGTCGCCGTCAGCAACGGCAGCTAAGCCAGTGTCATGGAGGATATCATAAGACATGGTGTCTAGAGGTGCTGGGTAAGCGGGGAGTATATGGAAAATTGCTTGTGAAGAAGATAAAAAGGGTGTCCGACTTCCAAGATGGTCATATTTATATCTCAGCAGCACTTTTATGAAGGCCACCACACCCGTTTCCAAAGTTGATCATATCCTGCAAAGCCCAAGAGCCTGTCTGCGTAATTCCATCCGGTGTACTCCGTAGCATACATGGGTATAACGGTATGAGGACTCCCTGCAGAGCAAATATGATACCCTGACATGCTCCTGTTACCCGGATGCTTTTCGCCTGTTGGTGAAGATAGATTAGGACGGCTGCTTAAGCGAAATGGATAGTATCTGAGCACCCGCTATCTCATGGGTGGAGGAGTGAAAACAGCTCGCCCAGATGCCACGGCCCAGGGGGTTTGAGCTGGTGGCGAGGGCCAAAACCGTTATTTTTGGAATGAACATGCGATTGATAATCATCATGTTCACCATGAGTGCATCATTCGGCAGTGGTCTTAGCCGTTGAGCCCATGCGCAAAGCTTTCAACCACACAATTCTAGATTGACAAGTCGTTACGGAGAACTCCGTACTAGACTCCATTTCAATCCTGTCTGTCGGGCAACCTGCTGCAGCCACTAGTTACACAAGTTATCCAAGCATCCACCTATCCCAACCCGGCCAGCAGTGAGCATCATGCAGAACATCGACATCGGTTCTTCAAGCCGCCGCGGGGTTGAATACAGTCTTATACTCCGCGCCTGTTATGGATTGGGGTGCACTGTTCGCTATGAACCCTGTCTCTTTGACCCCAGACGACAATGTCCTTCAAGGATTTCTCAGCCCATTGCTCTGGATTGGATAAACAGCGAGGCTCGACACATGCTGTGATCATGGCCGCGCCATCCCAGTCTTGCAACCCCGCACACGCATAGAAACCTGCAGATGTGATAGGGAGGAATGGAAGAGTCGAGAACAGGCTAAATTAACAAGCAGACAACCCTCTGAATGCCAGCCTCATGAACAAGCAAGTGGTGCTACGAGCATTCCAGCCTTGTTCAATGCGAAAGCGAGCTGGTTCTGGGGGTCGTCCCCAGACAGACGAACCCCCGAGAGCCATCTTGGGAAAGTATTTAAAAAGAGCAAGAGAAGCGAGGAGTTCACGTCCTTTCTCCTCTATACCACACGTCTAGCAACACCATAATCGCTTCAATATCATCTCTGAGAATCCCATTCCAAGCTTCGAACCCTGCAATCATGTCTCTCAAACCTCTGGTATGTCCTTCCAACCAAGTCTGCGTTAAACTCATTAACTCCCCCCCAAGCCAGGTGATGATAGACATCCCTCTTCCGCGCTATCTGTCACCCGAACTGAAAGTGGTGAAACGTACATCTTCTACTTCGATTTGCACGGCAACATTTGCTACCTGAAGGGATCGGGGGCCGGCTCCTACGGGGAGTATTCCGTACCTATCAAAAATGATGGAGCCTCCACTACGGCTGTTGGCAGCATTAATACCCTGACATCCACCCTCTTTGAGAAAGAGCAGGTATGTCTCCTTGAAACCCATAGTACGATTGCATTCTGTTTACTGACGACGTTGTTCTCGGAAGGTTCATGTTTACTATGTGCAAGATGACCAGCTTAAAGCCGCCTGGTGGCATGTACATGACGGCGAATGGAAGACTGGCCTTATCAACGAGATGGAGTACAAGGTGGCTCCGGGCACGGGAATCAGTTCTCTCGGGCAGCAGGAGCTACATGGAAAGCCAGGTGATCACCGCCTTGAGGTGTACTTCCATGATCACGACAACAGCGACAAGTTTTCTGTGGCATACTACAAAGACAAGGAATGGCACAAAGCACTTGTCCAGGTGTAGTTAACTAATGATGCTTCATCTCGAGGAGGATTCGGTTGCATCGTTGATAACTCCAGCGAACGGGGTTGATATCTCGATATCCGCCGCCAACACCGGTTTAATCTGAGTTGAGTTTGTGGTGTAGTTAGCCGGATTAAATTTAACTAGTCTTTGACTTGCAAAAGCTCTTACATATTAGATTACAAGTAAAAGTTTAGACACTAACTACGTCTCCGTCGCCAACTGGCCTGATATCCCTGCCTCCGTCACCTCACGCCCCTTCAAAAGACCTGACGTGGGCATATCAGCTACCGGTTCTGCATGCCTTGAGGGCCCAAACAGATGATCCAGATGACACTGAGCAGTGTTTGATTCAGCTATAAACCCATCATTGACTTTGCATCTCTCAAGCTTCATTTTGCTCGTCATGTTTTCTGGGATAACCAACAAAGCACACCAGATGGAAGCCTGATCAAGATCAACCATCATCTGTTCAATTATATTGTTCCAGAATGGGGTGTTATTGTCATGGCCTGTTTCAGGAATCTTGATGTGGGAAGCTGTGTAGTTAGACTTGAGGATGGAGTTGCAGTCGTTAACTCTTTTCAGTCTAACTACGGCGGAGTGCCCACATGATGTTTCTTGGTGCCCTTGGTTACAATAATTTCCTGACAATTCTCCAATCCCCCTTTATAACTAGCTGGGGGTCTCAGGCCCCATCTTGCTTAGTGGACAGAAATAGCTTGCTCTCCACTTGCTCCAACACTTCCACAGATTGTGTGAGACCCCAGCAGCATTACAAATGTGCCTCGCATCAGCAAGCACTTGAAATGCTTTTGAATTTCCTTCAGCCATGCCGGTTATTCAACCACCAGATATCCATTGTTCGATTTGCGCTCTCTCCTTGGCGGAAAAAGGTCAGTCTGGCGCGTTCTTGGCCCTTTCGGCGGCGGGAACAAGGCCCGAGTCCATAACCCGACGAGAGCTGGCATCCTACGCCGCATGTGAAGTTCGAATACGGTCGCGAAGGAGATATCACCCACAATTCGGTGGTTAGACTGGCGTTGTTACATTCTCTGAAACGCAAGTCCACCGTGGCCGAAAATGCGAATTGGGACTGGCCATCGTGATCCGCCAAGCAACAGAAGAGATTTCCTCAACATAGCGGTGTCCTTGAAATTAGTTGAGGATGAGAGGTCAGAACTGAGAAAACCCAGCAAAGAGGCCGAATACGGGATTTATACGGAGGGAGTGGATCAAGCTTGGGATATAAATATCTGTTTTGGCGTGCAATGAGCTGGCGAACCGTCATGATGGGCCTCAGAACCTAGCGTTGCATTTCGCGGACAAGGGTGCCGCTGCAATATTCGCATGAGGCTCTTTTGGCTCTTTGCCCGAAAGAAACACATATAAACACTCCAAGGGCCAGCAATAATGGATCTTTTTGGTCATCTGCGACAATTGTTCAAAATCTCTGTGAAATTATCCCCACCAGAAAGAATCCTTTTTCTCCCCTTTTTTAAACCATGCAGCTCAAACTCTCTCTTCTTGCAGCAGCCCTCCTCCCCTTGGGCCTTAGTGCTACCCCTGTCGGAGTTGAAAATGGCATCAGCGCTAGAGAGGACGTAAACGTCTTTTCTCGACAGAGATGCCAGATCATCGGCGGTGCTGAGCAAGTAAACTGCCGCCTCGGGCCAGGCACCAAATACCGAAAGGACACCACATTGGGCAGATATTCGTATTGGAGATTTGACTGTGTGAAATCTGGAGAATGTATTACCATTCGCGGGAAGGTTAACTGGTCAGTATATCACCAGCTCTGATCGGGGAGGAATTACATTTCCGCTAATCCGTTCAAAAGTGGTTGGCACTACCTTTCCTACCTTGGCGATAATGGCTGCTATGTCAACGGCCATTACACCGACAACAACTGCACACTTGGTAAACTAACTACTGCTCCGGCGTTGCAACCCGATAACTATCCAAAAAGTGAGCTAACTTCGAGTCACAGCAAAACTTGGCCGGTGCTAGAAGCCCGCACTTTGAGAACGAGATTCCCTCAAGACTCCGAGATTTTAATGATATGATGATTGCCCACTACAATGTTTGTTAATCTCATCGTTCACTTCGGCTGATATGGAGGGTTTGCCGGCTATGTATATATTCCTCTTCGAGCCAACCAGAAACAATGGGATTTACTATGATAAAGATAGTGATCTATCAGCCTCATATTATGCTCTTATTCCGTAGTTGCACGTATTTCATTTAGAAAGAGTGTATTTGGGTGGATGTTTGCCCAATTGCCATTGAATTCTAACCTGAGAGATTGCTGCCCAACGTTTTAACTAGTTACAGGGCAGCTATCTAGTTTCCAATCTCTCTAACTAATAACCTGCAACTTCACCTTCTAACCAGCCCCAACAACAACAACCCACATGCCATCATGGCTCAACAGTCGGCATACATACTGCGCTTACCAAATGAGATACTAGACATTATATTCCCTTTGACTGCGGCAAGGTGGTACTGGGAAGGATGCGACACCGCACTGCTTCTCACCTGCAAACGTTTTTATGCAATTTGTCTTCCACACTTATATCGCGCGATTCACTTCTATGTGCCTCCTCCCACTCGAGCACCTGCAACAAGGATCGAACAGTTTCACCAGACAGTGAAGTCGCAGCCTGCCCTTGGAAGGTTGTGCAAGAAAGGCAGCTTTAGTCTGGTAGCATACTTTGATGGACGAAATCACAAACGAAATCTCTCCATTGCGACAGAACTGTTATGTTCCCTGCCAAATATCAGGGAGCTGAGACTGCATTGTGACTTCTCTATGCCACTTGTTAGGCCCATGGTTCAAACCGCATTACGCCATATGCCGCTCCTCAGCGAGCTTAAGCTTCACGGATCTTCACATGGGCCGCCCTTGAATCTGATTTGCAAAGACTTGAACCATGCTACCCTCCCAAGGCTATATCTTGTCTACCCTATCGTAACGGCTGGGTCTATTTCTAAATATTTTCTCCCGGAAGCTTCAATACCGACATCTGCTGTGACTTCGTTAGAAATCATGGGCTTTGAACACGGACCAGAGAGTCTTCAACGGTTCCTGGGATGGTTCAAAGCTCTGACACATATCACGGTCAGGTCCTCAGTTTATACATCGGCAAGTTGGGAATCCATACTCCGGGTGCATCGAACCTCGTTGATTAGTATCGATATTTGCGATGTTGAGCACCGTGACAATGCGCCCATCAATTTCTCCGACTTTACTCAACTGGAAACGTTGGGCATCAATATTTATAACTTGGACTGTTCCCCAGAAACCGCCTCGTCAACTTTATTAGCCCCTAGGCTTCGCCATCTTGAAATAAGCTGCGCTTGTCGGGATGAGCTGGACGAGCTGTGGAGGGACATCAAGCGAAACAGCATGGATTGGATGCTGCGTTTCATCCAGCTTGCTTTAAAGCAAGGGTCGGCGCTACGAACTATACACATCGATTACAAGCCAGCCTTGGAATGGTTTGACGGTCGAGGGATCGTGGAGTATCCGTGGGATCTTCTAAAAGAGGCCAAAGAAGTTCTGCAGTCTCAGGGAATCACTTTATATTATGCCGACCCGCCTATGACTAAAAAGGATTTTGAGCAAGCTATACGCTGATGAAAGGGAGCTGGATGGTTCGAGCATTGGCCTAAGTACTAGCATTGGACGACCAAGGTACTTTTGCAAAAGTTTTTTTCTGGACCGCCCTTGAAGATAGTGGTGATTTAGATATGTTTAGTTACAGCTGAGCAAGCTGGGTGGAAGATCACGGTTTCCCATTAACTAACTAGTTGTGCTTTCAATCATGTTTCTAGTGGTGCATGTTGTTATCCTTGTCTTGTAGGGGGTAGCTCTCTACTCTGCAGATAAAGCAGCTATTTCCTACTTATGTACATCCTACTCTGTTTGAGTAACCTGTAACTATGGTGTGGCTAGTAACTCGTTAAATTGTCGCACATGGTCATGTGACAGCGCGTTTCTCGATCGCGTCAGGGACAAGACAACGGAGCTACAAAGTGGCGAGCTGCAGGGTCTCCTTTGCGAGAAGCAACCTGCACCCGAATTCAAGCTATTCATGGAGCCATTGGTATAGCTAAAGTACCCAGGCAAACTTATTTCCTTGATTTATTTGGCCTTTCGTCCGCTGCTTTGGGTGGAGACGTTCGCTTCGCCCAAAGACTACCTACACTTGAGGTTTTGCCGGCTGTAAGTAGGTAGAAAACTCTTGATTTGTGCGCACCAGGTCCTAACCATCTGATTGCACTGACAGGCCGAAATCTCTAAATAAAATGACATCAAATGCGTCAACTCGTTTGGTGGTAGGCCATACCGCTCCAAATACAATACCCTGCTCTCCTGGAGACCAATTAGATAAAGTGGACCCAGCTGCGAATGATGGAAACACGGCAGTGGAAGATAGTGTCGGACCTCAGGATGGAGATGATGAAGAGGGAATGGATTTCAAAGCAAGGGCATTAACAAAATTGCTACAAACTAGTTCGGTGTGACAGTGTTCCAAATATGCTATTCACCCTTTGTCAACTAATAGGTCGAGTAGGTATTCGTGGCCATTATGGCAGAAAAAATGAAAGAGCAGAGAAAAAGGCAGCAGGAAGAAGCGCGTAAGGCAGAAGCTAAGAAACGTGCTATTGAGGAGAAAGAGACGAAGAATGCTGAGCCCGCTATGCAACGGGCTACTAGAGGGAGCCAACGAATAGCCAGGGAGCCTAAAAACTCAGCTTCAACAGCTCAGTCGAACGGTTCTAAATTGCCAACCCGCGGTCGAGGCAAGAAGAGCGTCGATGGAACTTCTATTTCCGATTATTTCAAAAACGCTACCACCGAAATTGCAGAGGATAACCCAACCGTTCAAGAAGCCCTTGCGCAAGCTGCTGATGAGTTTGAAGTAAAACCTGCTACTCTTGGTGAACAAGACCTCGTGGCAACTCAGCAGCCAGCACTCGTAACGGGTGGGAGAATGAGGGAATACCAATTGGAAGGATTAGAATGGCTGAAATCGCTCTGGATGAATGGGTTATGTGGCATTCTTGCAGACGAAATGGGACTTGGGAAGACAGTCCAAGCCATATCACTTATCGCGTTCTTCAAGGAGCATAATGTCTCGGGCCCCTTTCTGATTGCTGCTCCGCTGAGCACAGTGAGCAATTGGGTAAATGAGTTTTCTCGGTGGACTCCCGGCATTGAAACAGTCTTATACCATGGGACGAAGGAGGAGCGCAACCAGATCAGAAGGAAGCGAATGAAGATGCAGGACCAAAAAAATATCGACTTTCCGGTTGTTTGTACTTCGTACGAGATATGCATGAATGATCGAAAATTCCTCGCAAACTATCAGTGGAAATACATCATCGTTGTAAGTACCGTTCTCTATCTTTGGACGCTTAGTTACTAAATTATATGGCAGGACGAGGGTCATCGGCTTAAGAATATGAATTGCAAGCTAATCAAAGAGTTGTTGACCTACAATTCCGCTAATCGCCTGCTGATAACAGGGACACCTTTGCAAAATAATATCGCAGAGCTCTGGTCTCTGCTACACTTTTTGCTACCTGAGATATTTAATGATCTCAATAGCTTCCAAAATTGGTTTGACTTCTCCTCTGTCTTGGATTCCTCGGGACAAAAAGATGTCATCGAAAAGAGAAAAAGGAATTTAGTATCGACTATGCATGCAATTTTAAAGCCGTTTTTGCTGCGTCGTGTCAAAACGGATGTTGAGACTGATCTACCCCAAAAACGAGAATATATATTGTATGCGCCTCTAACGCCAGAGCAGAAGGAGCTGTACATGGCTATCATTCAAGGTACCAGCCGACAATATTTGGAGGATAAAGCCGTGGAGAGAATCGAGTCTAGAAAGGCGTCAGCCAACCAGTCCAGAGCGCAAAGTTTGAAGCGCAAAACGAAAGACAGTGGCAGCTCTACTCCTATTAAGAGCCTGAAATCGAGCCGAGATTCCACACCTGGTTCTAACCTCGGACGGACAGTTAGAAAAAGGGCGAAGCAACGTTACAACGATATCACCGATCGAGAGTTTAACGCAAAACTACGAAGGCTCGAAAACGGGTTTGATGAACAGGAAGTAGAAGAATCTGAGCCCAGTGAAAGTGAGCTCCTGGAGATTGAGCGAGTTAAGACTATGAAATTGGCTAGTATGAACCCCTTTCACGAACCGACCAGATATAAAAATTAATTTTGTTGGCAGAAAAAGAGATTGCTTCAAAGAAACTCCAAAATCCAATTATGCAGGCACGGCTGGCCTGCAATTCTCCGCATAATTTCTACTGGCCCTGGGATGAGGACTCAAACATTGACGAGTCGATCGTGACCTCGTCTGGTAAGATGCTCCTTTTAGACCGCCTTGTTCCCTGTTTGCTGTCAAAGGGCCATAAAATCCTCCTGTTCTCGCAATTTAAGACGCAACTAGACATCTTACAGGACTGGGCATATTTACGTGACTGGAACTGCTGCCGTATTGATGGTGCAGTCAGTCAGGTGGATCGGCAAGCGCAAATTTATGCTTTCAATACAGACTCAAACTACAAAATCTTCCTGCTGAGTACTCGTGCTGGCGGACAAGGAATCAACCTCACTGCGGCCGACACGGTAATTCTATACGACTCAGACTGGAATCCGCAGCAAGATCTCCAAGCCCAGGATCGAGCTCATCGTATCGGACAAACGAAACCGGTGCTAGTATATCGACTAGCCACCAGGGGTACAGTTGAGCAACGCTCCTTGAGCGGGCTGATTCGAAGCGCAGATTAGAAAAGCTAGTTATTCAAAGGGCAAGTTCAAAACCTGGTTGACACTTCGCTCTCCTGAGCAAAACGAAGCTGAGGAATTACGGAAATTTTTGGGGAGGATGGGTTTGAAGTGCATGATGTCGGTGCGGCACGACGCGGATCGCTACTGTCGAAGAAAGTGGAGAAGATATTAACGATAGAACGGATGAAGCTACGCAAGGGCGAACGAAGGCTGAATAGAAGTGGTAATGCATTTTTAGCCGTTAGACGAAGAGAGAAGACGATGTGACAGATATCCTTGAAGAAATAGGCCATGACTAGGGATTCTTAAATTCAAGCCAACCCAGGATACATGCATCACGCTAATCGGCCGAGTTTCTACTTGGTTCAGGGGATAAACAAGGCTTCCCCTGACGGAGCGAGGTTAAGTCGTTCGTTGGAAGGCGAAGCAACTTGATCATTCACCTCGAGCTGGACTTTTAGGAGCAAAAGTGGCCCTAAGGATACAGACAGATTTCGTTAACTAAATATACAGAATTCGTCAAATGGGCTCCACGAAAAGTAAATGGCAAACACTGATCCCGATTCCAATAAAAGCACCTAAGACGTTGCACCGCTGGCTAAAAGGGCAGTCTGCCATAACGGGGAAAGGTATCATATCAACAGTAGAAGAAAATGTAGACAGTGCCGGCTATCTGTTCCGTTTCGCTTCTTCAATCTCCCCGCGCAAGTCTGCTAGAACTTCATTCCGCCGGGTTAAATGTGCCTTTAAACCCTCTACCTGCTCGCCGACCGTGTTGATATCTTCCCTGAGTCGCTCGAGATTCTCTCCTTCTTTCACTCTGCCAGTCCCCTCTCTCAATTCACGAAGTTCCCTTTCTTTGTATTCCAACATTTGCAGCGCTTCTTTCTTGATAAGTGCCCAGTTGGGCCCGCCACCGGTCCTATGGCCATTCTTCCTCTCTTCCGCAGCTGCATTAGCAGCTTCGAGCTTCTTTTCTAACTCTGCAAGTTCGCGCCTCAATCGAACCTTTTCCCATTCTTCGTCTTGGATTGTACTGCTAAAATCCGTGCCTTGTGGTCTATAGCTTGTTCTTCCGCCGACACCAAGCCGGCTGAGGTAGGCATCGCCAAATTTCGCCTTGCGACCTGTACTGGTGTCTCCATCGTTGTTTACTCCCCACCGTTTGGTTGTGCGGACATTATCAAGTTGGTAATCGATTTTATTCGATTCGAATGAAGAGCGAAGGGAGGCGGGGATAGTCCGTGGGATGCGATACCCTTCATGTCTATTGTTGAGAATGTGGAGGAATGCGAGAGAGGCATCCTTGCTGATTTCTGATGAAGCAGAGGGGTTAACTAAGTTCCAGGCGGAGCGGATATCAGTGTCGGGGACGGAGAGGGAGTCGTAAAGGTCTTGGAGAGAAGAGACTGGTTGTAGCAGCTTGTTAGCTCATGAGGCCATGCAGTGGTAGGGATAGACAAAGGCGCACAAGCTAACTCTCCGCGATGATTCTTGTTTGCAGAATATATTTCTTCATATTTTGCCTTGTCCTCGGGGCTCATATACCAATCGAAGCCATCCTTCAGGCCAGGTGCGTCGTCATCCTCTTCAACCCTTTCAAATTGCGGTTCGCGGCCCGATAATGCTTGGGTAGCTTGGACCAGATGGGCTTTCGATTCAGGCACAAGCCAGTCCGGTAGCTGGGGAGGTACATCGGCTAATTCCTAGTTATCACTTCTTGTCAGCACCTCGCATTTTCAGGGAGATCGTTTCCATGCGCCTGCGATCGTCGTAAGAGTAACATCACTGCACGCACTCCATTGACAAGGTCAAATATAAGCCTCATAGCCACACAGAATTCTTCAAAATCCAATTCTCCATCTCCATCGACATCAGCAAGGTCCCACACTTTCTCCAGCTGATCGTCTCGTAGTCGGCTGTTCCGTAAGACGGTGGCAGCCTGCGCATTGTTGAGTCGCGGTTGGCCGCTGGAAAGCGATGAGAATATTTCCCAATATCGCTCAACTTCCCACTGCTCTATCCGCTTCTCCGACATAGTGGAATCAGCCACAGAGCAAGACAAACTCAGGCTTGCTCGCTGGAGAAGTGATGGGCCGGTATTACGGACATGCAACTATGACATGGTGTGAGCCAAACATATCCGGAGTTGCCAAACACTTTGCCAAGAGCCGGATTATCCTTACACCCCCTACGGCCGGCTAACTATAGCTCACCATACAACAATCCGTGACTGTGCCATTCTTACGGTTTCTCGAAGCATGTATTTGGAGTGTTCAGACCTTTCACTCTAATGCTTGGATATACAATGTTGTCTGTCACCGTTTTGGATATATGCTACTGTTAGCCGGCTAAGTGAAGTGTGAAAGAACAGAAGATTCGATCCCGTGGCACTAACTAGATAGACAACAGCAAATACCTGGCTATCAAGCCTGATGGGATTGGAGTGATCGACTCTAGCTAGAGAACACATTCTTGTTCTTATCCAACTTGTCTGATAATCTAGGGTTTCCAACCAAGGAGTAGGGCAATGACCCTGTAAGTTGATGCGGCCATTCCTTCTTCCGTCACTCATTGCGTCGATTGACATCCTGTTTCTTCATTGTTCGTGTGTCCCCCTTGTTGGCCTATTTCATCCTTGTTGCATGTTATCAATTCTTCGAGTCTATTGTCCTCCAAACGCATGTTCTTTTAGGTTAATCCTCATCTCGCGTCGAATGTCTGTTAGCTCTAGTTACAGTTACATGAAATAATATACAAAAGCACAAGATACAGGTAGAAAGATGCCGTCCAATAGTACAAAGTGGTTTATGTAGCATGGAGTTGGGTATAGTCCAAAAGTCCCTTTAGGAGACACATTGAAAACATTGTAGGTGAATTGAGTCATCTGGATCGCTTCTTTTTGTCAAGCAAATGCTTCACTTGTGTGACAGCACGTTCAACTTCGGCATGAAGCTCTGGGGCATGTAACATTTTACCCAGAGCCTTTCCATCGGAAACATCGAGAAGAATCCTCTCCTCGTGGGGATCGTCTTGGAAGTTTTTCTCGTCCGCTTTAATGGCTTCATTTTGTGGAAGCTTGGGTAAAATACTTTGATGTCTCGAGTAAAGATCTTCGAGATCTGGCAAGGATACCGGGTTGACAAGGTGGTTATCAAGGAGGAAATTTAGGTGTTTCGAGCCACTCAAAGCTGCGGCTTGTAAGCCTAGGGGTCGTTTGATCAAGTCAGCTGCAAAGACACATACCTCTCCAATGAGACCAGCCGCGGTATACGAGGTAGAAAAATGGTATGTTTGGTATCCTAGTTCAAACAGACGTCAGACCAACTGGTTCTTTGCACGGGCTGAAGGGTAGCCTTTTAAGCTGCAACAGAAATGCTCACACTGGAATCAAGGCTATGGGCGCTGTTAGCGGAGCCACGCCCAAGCTCCACCACATTCTCCTTCGATGTAAATCTTGTCGTTCCGTCGCCAGTGTTTTCAGTGTCCCAAGTACGTTGTGACGATGAATCACATTGCCAGGGTAAAGCAACTCAACTGGAGTATGTGACTGTAATTCTTGAGCTTCCCTCCTCGCGCTCAATGGCGGCACACTTTTCAGGCCCCATTCCTCATATGGTATTCGTTGGAGCACGCGATGCCCGTAAGTAGTCAGCGACTTCTTCCAGCCACGATCAGCCTCTTCCCATTGCGCCCACGTAGTAGAGGCTTTGTTCGTAATCCGGTCAAGGTAACTCAGTTGCGCAGGAACTCCTGCACTCGCCCTTTTGCAGTAGAGCAACGTCCGCCTGGTCGTGATTGGGATCAAAAAGAGCCGCATCGCAAACGAGTCGATGCTGGATCTTCGGGGCGCATGCGGGCGACTCAGTTATGCAGAGGTTTCCAGTGCTTGAAGTCGGTGCATTTAGTGACCATTTTCTCGAGTAAACCGTGCGAAGCCGTGGTTGTTTTTATGAAGATCCTCAGCTTCGACGCGACGTCATTGATAGGATTTTTTGCAGCAAAACGTTGATGAGGCTGCAGTTCCCGTGGCACAGCTGGGAGATGAGGGCTTGGCGCTTCAGGATCGATAAGGAGACCATCCTGCGAATGTCGAATTCAGTTCCGCCTCGATCATTCCCGCCATTCGTTTGTTTTACGTTTCAATTACTCTTTTCTTTAGTTACCGTTGTCTTTGACTTTTCTAACAGGTAGCCACTCTTCCCTCCCTACTCGAAGCCCGTCACGTCATCCGGAGTGCGCCGCCAGTAGCAACTCGGACGCTTTGAAACCATGTGCCACAGGTACTGGCGGCCTCGTCGATAGAGCATCCCCCACCCCTCCCCCTGCTTTCAAGCCTCCGGGCGTACGGCTATGGCGGGGAATGGCGATTTTTCATTACGCTCCCAGTTCTCGTTGTCACGGAATGCAGGTTCGCGGCGGAAATCCGAGTTGACGCGACTAGATGTACCCCTTGGAAGAAGAAAATCAGGACAATCCGTGACCGCATCCAGCATCCAAAGTGACGATAGGAGGCTGGGCTCAGCACATCAGAATGGCCATTTCCAAGGTCGAGTCTCCTTTGAAACGAGCGGCTCTGGTGCCCGACTTGCAAACCCAGGAGGTGTGCCAGTGCGGACTATCCCAGGTATTTGCCCACCCTGCTATCTTTGTGTGTACGTGGTGGAGTGTGAATGAGCGTTGATGCCTTGCTAGTATGGGTGCAAAACGCTCCTGCAGTAAAAACCGCAACTGGTATTTCCTCGCAATCAATGCCAATGCTACCACACGGAGCCCGCGTCGCCGAACATCACTTCGCCCCTCACGAGAACCAAGGCTATCAAGGGTACGGGCCTCGCGATAAGCTGCATTGCGAGTCAAGGTGGAGGTCGTTTGCCCAGTCCACCATGCCTACTCAGACAACGTCGCTAGAAGAGAAAAGGGTCGACGAGGATTGGCTGGATGCACATTTTGGAGACTATTCCGAGCCCTGGCAAGGCAAGACCGACGAAGCAGATTTAGAGAGTGGTTTTGGTAGTCTGAGCTTGAACCAAAGGCGGAAGAAAGTTATGAACCGGTTTCAACGCACCATTCTACAAAGCCCTATGATTCCTCTCATAATCCGACTGACGGTCTTCGTTTTTTCGGTGATCGCCCTCGGTCTTGGTGGTTCCATTCGTCATTTCGCTTCAAAATTCAAACATCCACAGGGCCCATCCGCAGAAATGGCTATTGTTGTCGACGCCGTCGCGCTCGTCTACCTTGTGTATATAACTTGGGACGAGTATACGGGGAAACCATTAGGGCTTCGGCTTCCAAGGGCTAAAATGAGGCTTCTTTTCCTGGACCTTATCTTTATTGTCTTTGCTTCAGCAAATCTGAGCTTAGCACTAGCCTCGTTATCCGATGTGACCAGGTCTTGTCGGTCTGGAACGGTGAATGATGAATTCGATCCCAAGAACGACATGATTTGTGACAGACAGAAAGCATTGGCGTCTGTTTTGCTTGTTGCACTACTTGCATGGTTGATGACCTTTGCTATCAGTGTGTTAAGGTATATGCTTCCTCCTTTTCAAATCCTTATGCATGCTAACATTATACCAGGGTCGTTGAACGAGTATCACCAAAATAACCACCTTTTATATTATTGACATTACCCACTAACTATATCCATCTATGCCGCGCTTCCTTTTGTCAGCCGTCGGCCTTTTCCTTGTGTTTATTATCCTATCCTGCGCCTCGTGTTTACATGGCTCATACTGCGGCGCATGTTCAATCTCTTTCTCTATTTTGTTTTCTTTATTTGATATCCGGGGCATGGCGAACAGGAAACTATATGTTGGGATCCAAAATACCTTCTCACGCTCATGTACCATTACAAAGCCTGTGTTTATAGCACATACCACTAATCATACGTATCCAAAGGGCGTCTGTCGCCCTGGACTTCACACGACAAGTGCCGGTCCCTGGTTGCCATACAAGGGATCCTTGCTGAACCATTTCACCGTACCGATATTGCTGATCTTGTCTTCTTCTCCTTCATTTCCGTAGCACATATCCCAATTTTTACCTGGGGGGTATGCCCCAACCATGCTAAACTGCCCGTCAAGGTCTTCAAGAAGTCGATGTGCTACCCCTGCAGGAACGATCACAACATCTCCCTTGGAAACAGTTGGCTCAAACCTGTCTGGGTTGTTCTCATGGCCAAAGCAAAGTTTTGCGCTTCCATCGACCACGCCCAGGACTTCATGGGTATTCGAATGGAAGTGGCTCGTGGTATACATCGAGTAAGTCCATTGCGCACTCACGGTCCCGATCTTCTTGAGATGGTCGGATAATTCTGAAGCGGAGCCACTGAAGGCCGAGTGGTAGATAAGGAGGGGCTTGGATTGGATGGAAGTGTTCGGAATGCGCTCCCAGGGTCTGATCAGGCGTTGGGTGATTTGAACTTGGGGTAAGGGCGTAATTAACATCGTGCTCCGAAAGGACAGTTGGTCGACTCAGGCAATAAATCAAGGATCGCTGTTGCTTTGTTTTGAAGCCGCGACTCTTTGATTTCAACTTCCAAAGCAATCTCTGCTTATGTCATCACAGCTCCTTATCGATAAGCAGGTCAGCGGTTACACTAGCCCCGTTCTAGCCTAGTGCTGGAGACCGAGTCAGGCGGATGCCAGCGCTTGTACCGCAGGGTTCTTTCAAGGCATCTTCAGCCCCGGTTGGTACTCACATGTACTTGCTCACCTCGATTACTCCATCAGCTTCTCAAGGCTTCCAACCACCACCAACAACAACCTTTCCGCTTCCTCCTTCTACCGAACGTCGTCCTCCACCCACCGCTTTCCGAGGGCACTGGAGCCTATATGCTACCAGCACAAGAACGGACAGAGTTTAGGGCCCATCATCAGTTGACGACGAGCACTCAGTCGAGGGGCGGCATCGCGGCTCGGTCAGCACGCGCTCACTACTTTGTATCCAGCCTGGGATCATCAGTATGTTGAACACAGGTTTCTTACTTCTTGACGCCCTTATTTTTGTGTCGAATGTGGTCTCGATAATAATAATAATACGTTTTCAGCTAAACTTTCGCGTTTCTTCTAGCCCCTCTGAATCTGCAGGCATGCCCTCTCTCACCATGTCACCCCAGCATAGGGAAGCTGCAGAAACGTAAGTGTTCCAGCGCACCTTTATATTTGCGGGATATATCCAGGTCATGCTGATTCTCTTGGTGGTTGAAGATGGTCATTTCTAGAAAGAGGCGTCGAACAGGTCATGAACGACCTCGAGAGTGGTATAGACATGTCCACAGTGAGTTCTACCAAGCCCGATCCAACACAAAATGAGAATGTAAAGCGCTAACTCCCGTGGCTCTTAGTATATGGGCATCTACACGTCAGTTTCCTTTCCGAACTAGTAGCCAAAGACATTCCTAACATTTTGAAGTGCCGTGCATAACTTCTGTACCTCGCAGAAGTTTCAAACTCCCTCACATGCAAACACAAGTCATCGTGGAGGAAAATGTAAGTTTGCCCGGCCTTGTTGTGGAATATCATCGAACTAAGGACATTTCGAACTTTTAAGCGCACCTACTGGGCGAGGAGATATACGCTCCTCTTGGTGATTACCTTACACGCCATCTCAACAGTGTATATGAAGCCTCCCTTGGTCATTCCGAAGAAGCCCTTTTAGCGTTTTATATTCGAGAATGGTCACGATACACTACCGCCGCGAAATACATAAACCACTTATTCCTATATTTAAACCGTCATTGGGTGAAACGGGAAGTCGATGAAGGCAAGAAAGGCATTTTTGACGTATACACTTTACACCTTGTCAAATGGAGGGAAGACTTTTTCAAGAAGGTACATGAGAGCGTAATGACTGCTGTACTCAATCTGGTCGAAAAGCAGCGGAATGGTGAGACCATTGAGCAGTCCCAGATCAAAAACGTTGTCGACTCCTTTGTTTCACTTGGCCTAGACGACAATGACACCTCAAAGACGACGCTCATAGTTTATCAATTCTACTTCGAGAAGCCTTTCATAGAAGCAACCAAGGGTTACTACGAAGGTGAATCAAGACGTTTCGTTGCCGAAAATAGCGTTGTGGAATACATGAAAAAGGCAGAGGCTAGACTGGATGAAGAACGAGCCCGAGTGGACCTATATCTGCACCCGGATATCACCAAAAATTTGATGGACACTTGTTTGGATGTCCTTGTGTCAGCGCATTCGCTACTATTACGGGACGAATTCCAATCTCTTCTAGATGCAGAGAGGCAAGATGATCTTGCCCGAATGTACCGCCTTCTATCAAAAATAAAAGATGGACTCGACCCTCTGCGAAACAAATTTGAGACTCACGTTAGAAAAGCAGGTCTGGCTGCAATTGACAAAATCGCTGCGGGCGGCGATAATGTGGAACCGAAAGTGTACATCGATGCCCTTTTGCAAGTACATTCTAAGTACAAAAGCATGGTTGATGCGGCTTTCGGAGGAGAATCAGAATTCGTTAGGTCTTTGGATAACGCTTGTCGCGAATTTGTCAACCGAAACGCACTTTGCCATACAAGTTCTACCAAATCGCCCGAACTCCTTGCTCGGTACACCGATTCTCTATTGAAAAAGGGTGCGAAATCCCCAGAGGAATCTGAATACGAGGAATTACTCGGACAAATCATGACCGTTTTCAAGTACATCGAGGATAAGGACGTTTTTCAAAAATTTTATTCTCGTATGCTTGCGAAGCGTTTGGTTCATGTGAGCTCAGTCTCAGACGATGCCGAGACCAGTATGATCAGCAAGCTTAAAGAAGCTTGTGGCTTTGAATATACGAACAAATTGCAACGTATGTTCCAGGACATTCAGATATCTAAAGATCTCAATGCTAGTTACAGAGATTGGGCTGCAAGCACTTTCGACGAAGAGGACCGCAAAAGGATGGTTGACCCGCATTTCCAAATCCTGGGTACTGGATTCTGGCCCCTTAACCCTCCTACCACGCAATTTATCCCCCCCACAGAGATCTCGAAAACAACTGAACGATTCAAGAGTTTTTATTGCGACAAGCACAGTGGCCGTAAGCTAACTTGGCTTTGGCAATTATGCAAAGGCGAAATCAAAGCGAATTATATCAAGAATACGAAAGTTCCATATACTTTCCAAGTATCAACATATCAAATGGGTATTCTTTTGTTATACAATGAGCATGATACACTGGACTATGCAGAAATCGAAAAGGCCACCTCACTGTCTCCAGAAACTTTGGACCCCAATCTTGGTATCTTAGTAAAGGCGAAGGTTCTTCTTCCCTCTCCGGATGATGGTAAACCTCGCGCTGGGACTTCATATTCTTTGAATTATAATTTCAAAGCAAAGAAGATCAAGGTCAATCTAAATATCCAAGTCAAATCAGAACAGAAGTCGGAATCAGATGATACACATAAGACAGTTGAAGAAGACCGAAAACTTCTATTGCAGGTAAGTATCTTTTTTTCTTCATTGTTAACTCCTTACTGACAATCAACAATAGTCTGCAATTGTCCGCATCATGAAATCTCGCAAGAAGATGAAACACGTCCAACTCGTACAAGAGGTTATTCAGCAGGTCAAAGCACGTTTCCCACCGAAGGTCCCAGATATTAAAAAGAACATTGAGGCGTTAATGGAGAAGGAGTACATTGAGCGGTTGGACGGCGATGAATTGGCGTATATTGCTTAAGTTTTGCCTTGTGTTGCTCTGATGGAAACTAGGGTCGGCTTTGTTATGAACCATGGAGATTTTTGATCGTAAAGCGGGAGGTAATCATTATACCTTTGAAAGCCGGAATTTACTTGAGGGAACCCCATAAGTATGGAGCTTGGTATCCTTTCACTCTAGAATTGGTAGTAGAAAACGATAGTGAATATCATCGTGTCCCTGGGGATCAATCCTGAATGGTGAAATGTGATACTGTGGGGAAAAAAATGTGCCGTAAATTTTATATTCCTTGAGATATCAACCAGATCCTCAGAGCAGGCCGAGCAAGCGTGAGCAAGTACATGATGTCGCACCAAACCGAAGGTCTCTATACTGTCTCATAAGAAATCGTACTACCCACTCACATCTCACTTGGGTTGCTCATTTCCTAAAGGCTCTCCTTCAACCTTTGCATCCTTCGGAGAGATTAGATCAATATCAGCGAAGATATTGTGAGAATTATCCTCGTCGAGCATCAAAGGCGAGATAACCGTCTCTTCATCAGGGTAGTGATGAGTTTGTAACCTGTCGGATGGCCGGAGCGTGGGTGTTGGCGCTTCGGCTGATTTTTCCGGGGTGTTGGGGGTCTCTGGTTGAGCCGATGGATGTTCAATCTTCGGGACTGGAGGAGTGGACGTCGTCGAAGAGTCTTGTATGCAGACGGCGGTGTCTTCTTCTGGGTTTGGACGTTTGCTGGGCATTGAAGTAGGAGCTGCTGCTTCGTTCTTTGCCGAGCCGGATATCGAATCGCCGCTATCACGTCTCTTCAGGATATTGCTCCATCTTTGTCTTCGGCTACTGCTCCTACTCAGGACCGAGGCTTCATCATTGCTTGTGGGAGAAAATGGTTGGCCGGCACTACTTGGTTCAGCGATGCTAGTAACTTCCGAGATATTTTGTATCGAGGTTGATTGCCTGGGTGTTCCTGTGGGCGACGAAACCCTACTGTTTGTATTGGCTTTCTTTTCTTGCCATTCCTTTCGCCGGTCGCTAGCCCACGAGCCCCATGAACTGAAGTAAGCCGATGCACGCTGGCCTGCTGCAGCCACAGTCGCCTGAGCCTGAGAAAGATCTGCTGCAGTTGGTTTTCTAGGAGCGAAACCCCATGAACCGGTTGTGGGTGACGATACTGATGGTCGAGGTGACGATTCTTTCTCCGTAGAAGATTGCTGCTGTTGTTGGGCTTTGGGTTCATTTTTCTTTCGTTGTGCTTCTCTCATCGCTTCAAGATCAGCCCAAAGATTATTGAACGCTGTCGTTACTTTCTTCTGTCCAGTTGCTAGATGTTTATTCAACACCTCACGCCCCTCACGGACACGTTCATCTAAATGTAGTTCAGACACCTGCTGGGCCAAACGCCGTTGAATATCTTCAATGCCCAGGCCACCAGCGCAGGGATGACGAGGCTCAACAATTGAAAATAGTAACGCATCCGAAGTAAGTCGACTAAACAAGGCGTAGTTCGGAGTTGTTCGCCAACGCTCCAGGAAATCAACGTTAAAATCCAAGGCAGGGTCGCCATCAATATCAATTGCTTGTGATTGAAACCCTGGCGACTTGGGCCCGGCTTTGGGTGAACCTAACGACCCTTGGGTTGTAAGCTGCTCGTGGTACTTCACGGATGCAAGCAAGGCCAGGAGGTATTCTTCGAATTGGAGGCGAATAAATTCCTCCGATCCTAAGTATCCGTGTGCCTTGGGTCGATCCGGATGAGCATCGTCCCACGTTTCATTAATGGTCTGTGTAAGAAAATCAATCCACCGTCTATCAGCAGCAGTGAGGGATAGGGCGGATCGGAGAGATGGCGAAGAGATCGTAATTGTATCTTCATCGAGCTTTGCAATCATCAGTAATTCTGCTATTAAAGGTGGGTGAGATAAGGGCTACATTGATTAATATATCGCTATATCGATCTTTTTGTTGTAAGAGGAGCGAGTTCGTAGAACCGACAAGGTACGATTTGGTTCCGTGATCCGCAAGGAGGTCGAGTTGCTGCAATGGTGTGTATGGGCCAAACATGCTACCCTGAGATGTGAATCAGCAGCCTGTCAAATTGCTGACAATGGCGAATATGCAGTGATGTACCTTGCCAAATATCTGAAGAGGTAGGCCCATGTAGGCAAGTACTATGGTCCGGTCAATGAATGCATACAGAAGTATAGACAACTGAGTTGCGTACATGAGCTTCTCTCGCTTGTCTTGAGGGAAGTTGGTTTCTCTGCAGTTTGGGAATAGGTATCGAAGGATGGATCTGCACAATCTTGAAGATGGTCTAGAAGGCCGGGTATCAATGAAATGAGAGAAAACTGAATCATGCATAATCGTTCACAGCGGCTACCAAAAAATAGCATCTGTCTCTAGTGTCAGAAAGAGTTAAATATTGACTTCTAGAGGAGTCACATCTCACCTTGGGTTGTAATAAAAGGCATTTAAACAAAACTAATGTCTGGTGCTTGAATTCATGAATCATTTCTCGTAACGACAGCCCTGATGCATGTTAGTCTCTTGATGTGCATAATATGGCAGAGTATCAAAATTCTGACCAAGATGATTGTCCTTTTCTGCCTCTTCATTCTTTATGCTATCTTTAAGACTTTCCCAAAATTTCTACATGTCCAGTTAACTCAGCATTTTCCAGAGAAAGAATTTGCGCCTACCTTCAAAATATCACGATCTGAGAAGTCTCTACACAAGGTAAAATCAGATAAGAATGTACCACCTCCCAGGGCGACCGAAGGGCCTTGCCGAATCCAGTTTCGAAAGATATCAAAACAAGTCGAAAAAAGGAGCACCTACCGTTGCGCAAACCAGGCCGACGTCACGATTGATAGCTTCTCCCTTAGCTGCCCAAAGCGCTTTGGTTCGTCTATTATCACAACCACGGCCTTTTGCACTGTCGACCTCGTCACTTCCGGCGGACGATTAATCAACGAGCTGGAATCAAGCTGCCTGGTACATGATATACCAAATAGGGACGTCGACGGCACAATCGGCGTAGCATTGCGTTGAAGGGTAAAGTATGAGAAGTCTTCCGTGGATCTTCAAAACATAAGGTCAGCGCTTGAATTGAAAGCCGTCCGCGGCCACGGCGCATGAGATGCTTTGAAAACAATATAGCGGGTAGGTCGTACGCATGCGCACCGTCAGTCAATGCCATGAACGGTAATAACGACCAGTCATTCTGGCCAACGGGGTCAGTGGCATCCTCGCAGAAGCAGAGCTCGATTTCGGGACCTCTAGGTGAAACCATACCAACCGTCAGCAATGCAGCCCGATATAGAATGCCGAACACAACGTACCTCGCGTGATGGAAATCTACAACCAGGAGAATCGGTTCTTGGGGCATCCTGGCGGCTCCCATGTCAAACCCTCATAAAGACAAAATTGATGGTGATCCAATCTGGGCCTCAAAGGCGCTCAACATAACCAAAAATTCTCCAGGTAAAACCCACCCAGACCCAGATTAATCGCTGTAAGACAAGGAGAGAAATGGTTTAAAAGAAAAGAAATACGGAGTACAGTCGCATCTGTGGGGAGGCCGATTGAGAGGCAACAAGCCAATCAACTCTTCCGGTATCACACCTCAGATCGCATTCCGCAATCCGAGTCATGTGATTGGGATGAAGACACCTGAGGCTTCAATACCAAGAGGATGGATTATATTAAATATTTACTAGGAATTATTGTTGACTCCAAGGCCCAGCTTGGAGCTCGCCTGGTTGTTGTGGGGAGTACGAAGCATAAGAAGCAGATTAATAACTGCAGAACTGATGGCTCAAACACTTCGTCTTCTCCGTTTTATGCGTGCTTCTCCTACATTTAAAAAACCAATCTTTCTTGCATTGAGGACTTGAGATCCTGTGACCGGTGCCCTGTATCTGTAAGCGGCAGATAAATTCAACCATCTAACTACTATGATGTAATTAAATCACGGCAGTCAAGTATGGACATGCGTTACGGTTATTTCCCACGCCACGGCAAAACCCCAATGGCGAATTACTTCCTGGTAACTACGAAGCATATACTCCGTATACGCGTTAAGGCTTATGACTATAAATATATTTTTGTCTCAAACGTTCCCTCCCTCATTAAGTTGCTTACAGGCGCCCCCGTGTCCAAGTTCAGAGAACCATCAATCCGTGAAAGCGAACAAAGCGGATAGAAAGGGAAAACCCGTCCGCCAAAGTGGCCCAATCCCGATATCTCCAACGCGCCAACCATTCTGACCCGCCGGCACGTTATCAAATGGACACAAACGCACAGTAATGGAAACTCCGGCGACACACCACAAATTCCATGTATTCAGAGTCCCTTGCAAGGTATTTCACAGAAGCACCTACCGGACACTAGCCACGGGGTCCAAAGATGCGGTAGGCAGGTCCTGGGCAACTTGGTCAACATTGTGGTAGTCAAGGATTTCGGAATACCTATGATTGCATGATTAGTATATTTAATATATAGAAAGTGTGTAAAGGGCCTCTCCGTGTGCGCACATCATGACTTTCCACGAATCAACAGGCAACTCAGCGTCATTGAAAGACCAATCGAACTTAGTTTCCGCCTCGGGTTCATCTGTAGGGTCGTGGTAAGGTGCCAAATATTCATGAGCAAGGCCTTCCGCAGCGGTGATACGTTTCTTGGGGTCAAAAACAAGCATTCTTTCTAGTAGATCAACCGCTGTCGCAGAGTTAGTACGAGTTTTCCTCCTCAGCAGGAGGGTATTTACCTAACGGATCTGCATCTTTGAACTTTTGGCTCAAAGGTTGACGCTCTCGTTTGGGTAGCGACTGCACGAATTGCAACGTCTAAGCAGTGTTAGCAAATGTACCGCTTGTGACATGATGCAGGGAGAGTTGACTACATTTGCGCTACATATTGTTTGAATCACGTCGTCTGGCGGGGATCCCAATAGCTCCGTAATAATTGAGAACTGATTGACATGGTCCTTTCCAGGGAAAAGTGGTCGCCCCGAAAGCATTTCTGCGAATATACAACCGGCGCTCCACACATCAACCTCCACGTCATATTTCTGCCAGGTAAGCATGATCTCAGGGGCACGGTAATATCTCGTGGAAACATAACCAGTCATTTGGGGATCTTGAACACGCGCAAGGCCAAAGTCGCAAATTTTCAGGTCACAATTTTCATTGATTAGGATGTTGCTTGGCTTGAGGTCCCGGTGGACGACTCCGGCGGAATGCACATATTTCAAGCCCCGCTATAGTATGATTAGCATAGTGACATGGAAAACACTGGTGATGGAGGCAAAGAGGAGGGGCGGACCAAGATCTGGTATAGGAAATACTGAATGAACTGTTTCTCTAACGGTCGCGATGTCAATAACCGATGCAAATCGGTACCGAGAAGTTCCGTGACGAAATATCTGCCGCAATGTTAAAATATTGCCCTTTTCTCAGGACAAGCTATCCTTGCGGGTCAAACTCCGAGAGCGACGTACATGTCTTCAAGGGGAGAGATAAAGATATCGCTCAGACTGATAACCTATTAAACGTAAGCGCAGCACCAGCACAGGAATAAAAATGGAGCCCAACATTTTCGTGCCGCAGATGTTTTAACAGCTTGAGTTCTCGATATGTTCTCTTAGCAAGCACTGACGTGCTGAAGGGCTTCATAATCTTCTTGACGGCAACGGCTTGATTCGTCAATTGATCTCGCGCCGAACTGGAAGGATGCTTGTCAGCGATCGTCCACACAGCATCACTCCGCAGATACCTCTCTGCTCTCGACCACCGGGTGTCCATCCACACGACCTCTTCTCGCTTCGGGGTGACGGGGTTCGGGCGTACCAGACAAGACCAAAGGCTCCCATTCCAACGGGCTGCAGATCGGTGTACCTTATTCGAGCAACAGAATGTTAGTCGGTTCTCAGGCTTCAATCCTTGAGTTCGGAAAGGGAGTACCTCGTCGTGATTTCGAACGTGGTGCCGAAAATCTGAGCTCGTACGAATTCCGCCATGTCGAGGGTAGCTCAAGGGGATACTGGCTTCCAGAATAACAAATTGCAACGGAACTAAACTGATCCTCCCTTCGCTATTCTACCTTTTGATTTACCGTCGGCTTGCAGGCCTCTTTTCACTGCGCGATGCAGGCTTCCGGTGGGCTGGAACAGAAGCTGAGCTGGTGTGTACCTCTCCGAGAGGTGACGTTGCGGAAAATGGGTTGAAGTGGGGAACGATTTGTCAGGTAAAAGTCACCAAGCGGCACTGGACAACGGGTATTCGGGGGCGTAGGCGTCTTTGGCCTTCTGAGCCAGATGCGAGACTGGAGACAGAAGTGATCAGGAGAGGTAAAATGGGGGTGAAGGAAGAATGTTACGGGCGAGGAAGAACGCAGGAAGAGCAGAGGTTCAAAAAAGGTCAATTGGAGAAAGGTTCCGTCAGAAGGCGTTTGGTGAGCCGAAGAAATGCCAAGATCGCCATTGGTGGTGGGGTTCATGCACAAAAGTTCAAAATAGAGTGATTCGAGAATCAAATATGAACGGAGTAGTTCTGATGAAATCTCTATATGTTTGATTTGATATAGCACTTTATTTGATCCTTATATTTTGTACAAGCATAATTCCAATAGGTGAGGATAGAGTGAGAGTGGTGAGCCTCTTGCACTATCAATCCAAAAGCGAATCTGCCAGATTCCTGTATAACTAGCTATCTCAATTATTAGTGGCAGATGTTTAGCATGCCCTCCTTAGGTAACTATCCAAGTCTATTCACATAAGTTGTTATCTCCTGCCCGAGGTCCGTTGTTTGCCTCTGAGAAGATTTCGCCATTCCCAAACTGTTTGTGGCTAAAAAAGGGCCGCAAGAACCACAGAGAATTCACCAGGTGAATCGTGGGAAAAAGTCGAGTCTCCATCACATGCAGCCAGGGGTTGGACTGCCTGAGCTACGTCACTATTATGCTGGCTTGCTGCTGTCGTTCTTTCGGCCGCCAGTGCTAGCTAATAATAATCATGGCTTTCACGCCTGCAGTCTGCTGAGCCAGGTTTTCCTGTCTCTTGTTCACCCGCCCCACATATAACTAGCGAATTCCCCTTCCTCTTGGCCATGATCCCAACTGTCACCGCTGCCAATGTCGTCAGAGTACATATTATTGCGACCCATTTGCACGAAATGCCTGGTATAATTGCTCCGCGCGCGTCATTATCGTCCGCTTAGCGAGAATTATCTAAAGAATGGCCGTGAAATGGTCTTCAAGCGAGATGAGGATGAGCCCACGATAAATTCGATAGCTTATTAGGTCAAGCCTACTCGGCACTGATCAGGGCACGCCCAAAAGCACTGCATCAACCGAAACGCCGTGCTTCACGGGTCCTCGACTGGTCTAGCATCGCCCAATGCTGGCTTCCCGAAAGCCCATAAAACTCGCGATTTCCGTTATATTGAGATATTCGAGTACCTTCCTCTTGTCAGGTTACCCTCCGGCCCAGTTCGCGGTAACTATGTTATTGGAAAACCAGGCGCTTAGCAAACGGCCTGATGTCGAATCTACTCCGTACAGCGATTGGCGACTCGAGAAGAATAAACGAAAGCGACAACCTTAACCGCAAAACAAAACTCTTATGCGCACAACCGCATCGCACCTTGCTGGCATTAAAAGAAGATTGGATAGCGGGAAAGTGCACGGCGTATGCCGTATGGAATGAATATTTCAGTGTGCACGCACACCTGGAATTAATCCACGGCAGCGCTTATACTTTTGGGCATCACGGTAATGCACGGACCCCAACGAGCCATGGTTCGGAAGTATGTGGATGTACTCGTTTATTCAAGGCAAATTCAATCCGTATGTCGAGGAGTCGTTGGGATTCTCGGCGCCGATTTCTCGTCACATCAAAATGGTCGATGTCTCGAAAACAGCTTCAATCTTGCAGCTAGCCCTCCGCTCCGAAAATAACAGCGGTCGACAATTGCAGCTCGATAGTCAATTGGGGGAATTAGGGTCATAGCGATTTGGGTGTCAATCCATAATTTGCATGCAAAGATTTATGTCAGAGGAACCTTTATCAACCAAAGGTAAAGGTAGATTTTTATGCTGTGCACTCTGTACTATTTTTGATGAATTCGGAATTCCCTCAATTCGCCATAACCTCATCCGAACAGTGTACTGCGCTAGGATCATCCCCTGCCCAATCCTCTCTAGAGGCCATGCATAGAAATGTGAGGTACATGTCAGATGATTCTCAAGTCAACGAGGATAACATCTATGAGATTTGACAGAACCGGAAACACAGTCTGTCCTCGAGATTTGCTAAACCTCAGCAGAACAAAGGAAGATCATGAGCAGACTGGCCGATCACCCTAGGCTCAATCCGGGCTGCTTAGTCAAAGGACTTCTCTCGGGTCTGCGCCACAATACGTGGTAATAATACGCTTGACCATCCGAATCGGGGAGGTAACCATGTAACGCATGATAACCGGAATTTGCAGGCCGCGAAAATACCTTAACAACAGTTGAGAGTTGACCATCTGCTATTGTGTGACTCAGATACTGGAAGCCTTCAAGAGCGTTGTGAACATTTGTATCATCCATTGATAACAGCCAGTATGTGGACACATGCGCAACAAGTCCCGCTCGCCCATGTTGCACCCCAGTTCTTGGAAAATCTGGGGGATATTACGGAGTACGGAGTAGTGAGTTTAGTAATAACTAATTGGTGGGGTTTCCTCCACCCTTTTGGTGGTTCATGTGTGGCAATTATTGGTTTGGGGCAGCCCTGTGAAGGTGCTCTCACTCATGGTTGAGTGGCTTGTCACATCTTTTCATTACAGAATAGCCTCAAACCAACATTGTCTGTTTTTGCATGATTAGTTATGTTAATCTAATTTTCATTCTTTGTCTGTTTTTGTGAATTGGGTAAAGAGAGCAAATTGGCTCTATTATATTATCATTGGTCTATCATGGAAACCCGACATAAGGGAGACTTTAGGCTCTTTTGAAGCAAGCTGTAGACAGTAGAGGCAGTAGTGTGTGGTTATGGTTCCTCTATCTGTTGCCCCTCTGAGCCTTCTCTCTGGACTACATATAGTTACAGGTACGGAGTACATACATACAATTAGGCCATCAGATATAATACCTATGTCACTCTCATTCTCGCTCTATCACCGCTTTGAAGCTCAAGACGTAGCTTTTGCAGCTTCGCCATGTAGCGGTAAAGGCTTTTGCTTTCTGAAGCCCGAGCTTTTGCTAGTACTCCGTATTGCGCGACAAGCAGATTTGGCCTGCAAAGATCATGGAGGATGTATGGTGTGGAGAAGGGAAATAGTACTCCGTTGGTCGTGGCCATACCGCTGGAACAGGTATTGATACCGATTGCTGTATTCAAGACCAGTTCAGCGCCAAACGCAGACCAGTGATTGGCCCGCGAGTGCCAAGCATGGGCGCGGACTGAGTAATCATAGATTACGGTCTCTCCTTTTTGCAGGGCTCGTCGTTGATTGTGGTGAGCCCCCGATGATTCCCATCGCCCTCCACATCCCACCTGCCACTAATAAGCAACGAGACTAGAGCACGCACCACCAACCTTCTCATCCTCTCGTGCTACTCGAACACTTCCTCCTTCAATCGCCATACCTGTCTGCTAGCCTCCTCTTCTCGACTGATGCGATGATAATTACACCTCTTCCTTGTACTCTCCCACCTTGAGACCGCACCTTGCCTCCCCTTCGGCGCTTGCTACCCCAATCTCCCGTCCCTGGCAGGCCCATTTGCATTCCAGCCCCATGCATACAAGCATCTCCCGTTATTCGCTACTTGCAACACCGTGAACTCCTCGTTCCACGATTCACTCCGGTTCGATTCGCATTCGCGCTGGTGTTTGGACGTACTGCTAGTACCTCAGACGGGTCAAGCGGTCTTGAATCCAACATCGGCGTTTTTTTCGACCTTCCCCAGGATTCGTTGCTTGTCCCAGGCTCGTCGCGGCTTTTCTCGGCATCACCCTCAACAGTTGACCTCCTCGGTCGCCTCTCTTCACGACTCATCGCGAGATCCAGCCGCCTTGATCTTGCGATCTAGTCCTCAGTGTCACGCCGTCCGTTGTCTAGCTACCTCGTCGCTCTCTCGTGCAGGTATACGGTTACCGACATTTTCAGAATTCGCGGCGGCTATTTTGGTTGCTTCGGAACTTCGGATATTCATTCGCAGAACTTGCATCGAAGGGTACTGAGGTAAAGATGGGTGGGTGTTTGAGTTCAAGTCCCAGTCAGGCTCCGGACGAGATAGTGGACTTAAAGAAAAGGAGTCAAATGATAGACAAGAAGTTGGAGGAAGATTCGAAAAGATTGCGTCGAGAATGCAAGATCTTACTTCTGGGTAGGCTTTGATTTTCATAGCTTCGTTCATGTGATTGTTATCCCTGACACGCTCCTATAGGCTCTGGCGAGAGCGGAAAGTCGACGATTGTGAAACAGATGAAAATCATCCATCAGAACGGATACACGGTTGAAGAACTATCAATGTGTCGCCTAACAGTCTATAAAAATTTGCTGGAGTGCGCAAAGTCACTGGTCACCGCCATGTACGACTTTAATATACTGCCTTCCAGTTCAAGAGTACGGGAGTTCATGGACTACTTGGACGAATACAGCATCGATCCAGATCCAAACACCCCCCTTGACCCCAAAGTTGGCGAGGCTGTGACATACCTCTGGAATGATCCGTGTATACCAGCTGTTCTTGACCGCCAAAACGAATTCTATCTGATGGATTCAGCGCCCTAGTATGCCAAGCCCAACTCCGATTTATCCACCGTTCCAGTCGTAAATCACTAACTATTGGCTACTAGCTTTTTTGATGAGGTAAAACGTATCTCGATGCCAGACTATATCCCGAACGAGGCGGACGTTCTTCGAGCGCGAACGAAGACAACTGGTATATATGAAACGAGGTTCACCATGGGCCAACTCAGCATTCAGTGAGTTACACCTCTGGCCCCTGCGAACCGAATTTTTCTAACATAAATTTCAGCATGTTTGATGTGGGCGGTCAAAGAAGCGAACGCAAGAAATGGATTCATTGTTTTGAGAACGTAACATCGATAATATTCTGCGTGGCACTGAGCGAGTATGACCAAGTTCTGCTAGAAGAAAGCAATCAGGTATGTGAGCCTTGCTTCGATTATTCCGAACATATATTTACGAAATCCGAATAGAATCGAATGATGGAGAGTCTAGTATTATTTGATTCCGTGGTCAACTCTCGCTGGTTCATGCGAACTAGTATCGTTCTATTTTTGAACAAGGTAGATTTGTTCAGGCAAAAGCTCGCACGGTCGCCGCTTAGCAGGTATTTTCCTGATTATTCCGGAGGAAACGATATCAACCGAGCCGCCAAATATCTTCTCTGGAGATTCAACCAAGTGAATCGAGCGCACCTTAACCTCTACCCTCAGTAAGCCATGCGCATTTGCCATCTCTCGTTCTCATCGATTGATCTAACATTTATTTTATAGTCTAACTCAAGCCACCGACACTTCAAACATCAGACTCGTTTTCGCCGCCGTCAAAGAAACAATCTTACAGAACGCGTTGAAGGATTCTGGGATCCTTTAGCACATTTCCAACTCATTTGGATCGTCTCAAACCGCGTATCCGCCGCACCCTTACCTTATGGTCTTCACAGCTTTAGGGGATTTCGCATATTCTTTACAATTCCACCCCTGCAAAAAGTCCAATGCTCAACTACTCGATCAATCTTATCACCGATTCACCTACCACGACTTTTATTCATTATATTTTTCGGACCTATACGGCGTTAATCGGGGAACGATAAACTGATTACATTTCCGGCGCTGTGTGGCATGATATATGCATCTATCTTTCATGCACTGAATTCTTAGCTATTCTTGTTGGGTTTGGTTTCCTCCCTATTTCAGTTGCGAATCATTGATTTCTTCGCCCGGTTTGATTGTGCATTCTTCGCACTCAAAATTTCACTTTTGCTTTTGCCTTCACATGAGTGGGATTGTTGCCTTCTCTATTTCATGCGCACAATCTCAGGTTTCTTTGCGGAGTTGTTTCCTATGGTATTTAATATTGTGCTCTTTTCTATAACGACTGCGTTTTGGTTTATATGCACCAGCTGGACTTTGATGCCTTTTTCGAGATGGAGGTTTGTATATTTCCTTTTGCTGCGTGACACGATTATTCAGTCTCTTATGTGACTTTGTACCTTTGAAAAGGCCCTGGCCTGTTTCAGTGATTCTCAGGTGATATTTGGGTATGGCTTTGGTGATGAGAGAATGTGGGAAAGCAATGTTGCCTGCATTTACCGTCATACATAGTTTGCTCTTGTGATGTATTTAGACTGCGACAGGCAGGACTGGAGGATAAATCAATCATTGTATGCCATTGAGCACATTTGGCCAATTGTACGCCGGATTGGGTGAACGAACTATTCGGCTTTGTCGTAATTAACTAATAAACTTGGCAGTGGCAAAGAACGAGGATTGATTTTCACCCTATTATTGTTATCCACAGTGTGAAGTCCAGAGCAACCATGACGTGGTGAAAGACAGCAAACGGAACCGGGTGGATTGCAACTCTCAACAGCTATCTGACGGGGATCCTGGCCCTGATTTGCTTCTGGCTGGCCATCTAGGTTCGCGCTCGCCCAGCGCGATCCGGCGTCTTGCCAAAGCCTATGAAGAGGCTCGCAGTCATGGATCATTCCTTGGAAGTCAAAAGGCTAGACTTTTATACATCCCGGCTGTCGTCATCCGGTGTACCAAGGACATTCATCTCGTCCTCCGATCAATGCTTGTTCTCTGACCGCAAGAGCGGCGAATCCGTAAGCCCGCCTGTGCCTGGAGCGTTGAGATGGGTTTCTACAGGTGGGGGGAGAGGAAGAACACTGGGGCCTCTTTGCCCTTTTTGCCTCTTCGACTGAGTGCAGAGAATGCCACCACTCAATGCATGGGCGTTTGGTGTGAACCACCGATGACATAGCTACCTCTCCCGCTGGTCGACTCGCCGTACAAGGTACTTCCGTTATCTATCAGCTACCCCTCATCTGGTCTCGGGCTCTTTTCTGCTTTCCCAACTCTCATCGAACCTCAATTGCTCGTTTATCTAAGAAACCTTGCGAATCAACTGGGATTTCGTGTCTTGTCTGCTGCTTGCTGCTAGAATTCTCCCATTGCTGTTTGCATGCAAGACTGAGGAGACAATCCGTCTGTTGCTCCTTAGAAGCTGTGTAAGCATCGTGTCCTACCGTGTACTCCGTTCCTCTCCAAGTTTCTGTATTGCTAGCTATACCCCTCTTCTCTCGCGACGTCTGTCTTGTTACCTACTTTCCATCTTTCTTCATTTCTTAAGAAAGCCATTGCCTCTGCTCTTGAGCACAGTGTGCTTGTTCTGTCTTTAGTCAACAGTACGCAAAGTACCAACAGCTTGCTAATTGTCAATTGAGTTTTTAGTCAAACTTCCTCGCCTTTCATTCTCCTGGTAGTGTCAGTCTCCAGGATGAGTTCATCTACACGAGAACGCCGCCCTTCAATGGCTGCTCCTATCTCTGAACTGCAAGGCCCTGTCGGACCCGGCTTCAGTCGACCCAAGCACAAGCGTACCTTCACTGGCTTTGGCCCAAAGGATATCAAGAAGGTCGAGGCTAGCATCCCTGAGCCGCAGAAAGAAGCGTGAGTATTCCCATATGCATCCCGTCACCTATAGCCTAGTCCATTATTGGTTTAAAAGGCGAATGGCTGTTTGAACCTCCGCTAATGTTAACATACGGTCTAGGTGGCAGAAATTTGTGCGTCCTCTATCCTACGCAAGAATTGTGATGGCTCCAATTGACCGTTTATTGATTTTAGGCCCCGCAAGCATTCAAAACCAAGGACGAGTTTGAGGTATGATTGCCTTAATGTGTGGGCTTTGGCATGTATCATCTCAGATACTGATATTGGAGTCGGATTCTAGAAAGAGGTTGTCCGCCATGTTGAGACAACTTTAGCACGCTCTATATTCAATTGTGATGAACTGTATGCAATCCTCATTTTCTACTCTCTTTAGCATGAAGTTGACGCCATATTTAGAGCTGCATATTCCGGAACCGCTCTAGCATTTCGGGACCGCCTGGTTATTGACTGGAATAAGACTCAACAGCGACAAACCTTTGCAGATCAGAAAAGAGTGTACTGTATGTCTCATATCCGCAATTTCTTTGCAAGTGACATTGACTGACTTGTTGCAATAACATCTAGATCTTTCTCTCGAGTTTTTGATGGGCCGCGCTCTTGATAATGCAATGCTGAATGTGGGATTAAAGGACACAGCTAAAGGTTCTTATTAATGGTTCTAAATTCATCTCCTCATTGCTAATAGTCTTAAATAGATGGCTTGTCCGACCTCGGTTTCCGCATTGAGGATGTAATCGACCAAGAAAATGATGCCGCTTTGGGTAATGGAGGATTAGGCCGCCTTGCTGCTTGCCTCCTTGACAGCCTTGCAACCATGAACTATCCAGCATGGGGTTATGGCCTGCGTTACCGATACGGTATATTCAAACAAGAAATTGTCAATGGATACCAAATTGAAGTCCCGGATTACTGGCTGGATTTCAACCCTTGGGAGTTTCCTCGACATGATATTACCGTCGATATCCAATTTTACGGCGAGGACAAAAAGTGGCATGATGACGATGGCAAGCTAGTTCATTCCTGGGAAGGGGGTGAAATCGTTCAAGCAGTAGCTTACGATGTTCCCATACCTGGATATGATACGCCTACTACCAATAATCTTCGCCTTTGGTCAAGCAAAGCGGCCAGCGGCGAATTCGATTTCCAAAGATTCAACTCAGGTGACTATGAAAGCGCTGTTGCTGATCAGCAGCGAGCCGAAACTATCTCTGCCGTTTTATATCCTAACGACAACCTTGAACGTGGAAAAGAATTGCGATTAAAACAACAGTACTTCTGGTGCGCAGCATCTTTGTTTGATATTGTTCGTAGATTCAAGAAGTCGAAGGCTCCATGGAATGAATTCCCCGATCGAGTCGCGATCCAGTTGAACGACACCCATCCCACTCTCGCTATCGTCGAGCTCCAACGAATCCTCGTTGACCAGGAAGGTCTTAACTGGGACAAAGCTTGGAGCATTGTTCAGCAGACGTTTGGTTACACTAACCACACCGTTTTGCCAGAGGCTTTGGAGAAGTGGTCAGTTGATCTGATTCGACATCTTCTTCCAAGGCACCTGTCGATCATTTTTGATATCAACCTGGCATTCTTGCAGTGGGTTGAAAGGAAGATTCCAAACGATCGTGATCTCCTCACTCGAGTCTCCATCATAGAGGAATCTAACCCGAAGATGGTTCGAATGGCGCACTTGGCAATAATCGGCTCCCACAAAGTCAACGGAGTTGCAGAGCTCCACTCTGACCTTATAAAAAGCACTATATTCAAAGATTTCGTTGAAATATATGGCCCTGACAAGTTCACCAACGTTACCAATGGAATCACACCCAGGCGATGGTTACATCAAGCCAACCGTCGTTTATCCGATCTCATTGCCTCCAAGCTTGGCGGATATGGGTTTCTTAAAGACTTGACTCTACTTGACCAGTTAGAAGACTTTCTTGACGACAAGGAGTTTAAGAAGCAGTGGGCTGATGTTAAATATGAAAATAAAGTCCGACTTTCAAAGCATATTTTCGAAACCACCGGAGTTCGACTGAATCCTGAGGCGTTGTTTGACATCCAAGTCAAACGCATCCATGAATATAAGAGACAGCAATTGAATATCTTCGGTGTGATCCATCACTATTTAAGGATCAAGTCAATGACTCCCGAGGAAAGGAAGAAGCTCGTTCCCCGCGTCTCAATTTTCGGTGGAAAAGCCGCTCCAGGTTACTGGATGGCAAAGACGATTATCCACCTTATCAACAAAGTTGGGGATGTCGTTAACAACGATCCTGACGTTGGCGATCTACTGAAAGTCATCTTCATCGAAGACTACAATGTTAGCAAGGCAGAATTGATTTGCCCTGCTTCTGATATCAGCGAGCATATTTCTACTGCTGGAATGGAGGCTAGTGGTACTAGTAACATGAAATTTGTTCTCAATGGCGGGCTAATCATTGGGACTTGCGATGGCGCAAATGTAAGGCTATTATGGAGTTCTTCATATCGATATCGCTGACAGTTCTTGACAATTCTTTTAGATCGAAATTACCCGTGAAGTTGGCGAACAGAATATCTTCCTTTTCGGTAACCTTGCTGAGGATGTTGATGATTTACGGCACGCGCATGTTTACAACCCATCCAGCATACAATTTGATTCGGACCTCCGCGCCGTTTTTGATTCTATCCAATCAGGTACTTTCGGCGACGCAGAATCATTTTCCGCGATTATTAACTCTATCGTTGACCACGGAGATTACTATCTCGTGAGCGATGATTTCCATTCCTACATCGAGACGCAAAGCCTTGTTGATGAGGCTTACAAGGATAGGGAGGGCTGGGTAGAGAAAAGCATCCAGTGCGTGGCCAGGATGGGATTCTTCTCTTCCGACAGAGTAATTTCCGAATACGCCGAGAGTATCTGGAATGTTGAGCCAGTTGAGGCTACAGAGTAGAAACATTTTATTAAAACGTTCTAGTCATTGAGAAGTTTATGGTACTGCATAATGAAACTGGCGTGATCTAGTAGTACATACATTTATAGATCACAAGAAGTTCAAACTCTCATGACCCAAGGGTGAAAAGAATGGCGTTAATTAATATTAAATACTTGTAGGATATACTTAACAATGCGGAAATCATGCCGCAGTAACTCAACTCGAAGACTAGCAGAAAACAACTCCTCTCAAAGGCAATCTACCAGTTCCTTGCCATATACAAGCGGGTAGACCTTGGTCCAGAGGTAGAACTCGGGCGAGTTCTTGTATGAAGTATCTTGGCAAACATATTCATAGTTCTATGGGCGTAATTGTTTCTCGATTCAACAACCTGCATTTTCAAATCAGTACAGTGCAAGAGTGCTGCCTGGAAAATTTCTTACCTTTGGCAGGTTGTCAAGTATCTTCATTTCTGCTGGTAAGCCAAGTGAATGTAATTGATGTTGCGTTTCTTCCAATCCAATCTGCTACATCTATTACTGCGTCCCCTAAACACATTTCGTATTGATTAAGCACTTGCACATCCGCCTGCATTGAATCAATTCTTTGGTCCTGCTAACTGTTCAGCACACATATGGTTTAGTGATGAGGGGCTGTCTTACCTTTGCTGCAAGAAAGGGATCTATATTGGTAACTAAGCGTGCTCTTAGTGGTTTCCGCAAGCTCGAATGGTTCCCTAATCATCTCGCTTTGAGGTTTCGGTGTGAAGTGGGTAACTATTCGTGTGTGAGAGCAAGGTATACGGGGGTCGCCGCCATATGGTTTGGTCCTTCAGTAGTTATAGGGGCCTCTCCCAAGCCTTCGGCGCTACTTTAGCAGTCCTTGACTTGTAGTTAGGGCTGCAGAGACCAAACCCCCTTGCCCCTGCAAAATCACACTCTGGTTGATGACCTAGGCAAGATCGGGTCTTCAGGTGGCAACCTGTCACATTTAACCTTCTATGGCTGTGATCTCACCACTTTGGAACAATAGATCTTCAAGAGATGTTCTGAAAATTGTTATAATTATAAGATAGTGTTTCTATCAAATTTATCCTCAACTTTCATTTTCAGCAAGCCGTTACAAACTGATTTAACATCTCAAATAAAATCAGATTCAATTTATAAACTTGTAAATGATGAAAAATCAATTCATATTATAAAATGCTGTGTGAAAGAGAAATCGTGGACAATCTTTATTTTTGTCACTGTGTGGAAGAGCAGCTGGAAGTCGGGATGCTAGGTTTTTTGACATTGGTTTCAAGCTTCAGCTTCTCAATCATACGTAGTTACAGGATCCCAACAAAGGTTTCAAAGCCAGATATGTGATTCTCAGCTTCTCGGTAATGGTTAGTTGATAAAGAAAATTGATTTACAAAGTATTTTCAGAGTCTACCATATTTAACACTCCTTTATCACTAGGGAACGTTGGGCTCCCTTTCCGAGGTTCAGTCGATAAGGCTATCTTTCAAACTTTGTTAATTATGCCGTGGTGAGCTCTGCAATTCGTTTTTCAATCTCTGGGACCGCGCGTAGCTCGAGATCAATTTCCTCTTTTTCACTGTTAAGAGCAGGTTAGCAAGAATGACCCGGCTACTCTCAATTTTAAGAAACTTACTTCTCAAGCTTCAGCCTTTTTTCCCAATCCAGGCCAGTAAAAACATAGTGCCCCTGCCCATCAAATTGCAAAATGTTCTTGTGATATTTCCATAAGCTCCGTCGATGGGATACAGTCATCAAAGTAACTCCCAGCCGTTTTGCGGTCTCATACATGACCTTCTCAATCTCAAGCGTGACGGACGAGGTGCACTCATCTAGGATCGCGTACTTCGGTTTATGATAGAATAATCGAGCCATGGCAATTCGCTGCTGCAGCCCACCCGAGAGGACATCACGCCATTCCTCCTCCGCGTCCCAACCGCCGGGTCTATCAACTATAGACGAAACTTCAAGGATGGACAAAATGTCATAAAGGTCCGAATCGGTAACCCCTTTGTCATGCATTTCTTTCACGCCATCTGGGTAAATAACCTGTTGACGCAGGGTGCCACGTGACAGATAGGGGCGTTGAGGTATATAGAAAATCTGGTCAAATGCAGGCTTTTTCACAGTTCCTCCATATACAGGCCATAAACCACCGAGGATCCGGAACAATGATGATTTGCCACATCCATTTGGCCCCACGATAAGGAGATGTTCGCCCGAGTGGACCGTAAAAGACAGCTGCTCGACGAGAATGTCACCATTTGGCGAAATGATGGGGACATCCGTGAATTCAATGGAATCGCTCTCGGATATTGTACCCCGCTTGCTTAGAACTGCCGCATGACCCTCAGTGGCTGCCGAAGAAACTAGCTTCTTTTCAAACCTGCCGTTTGATATATCGTCCATAACTTCGAGAAGGGAGGTAACACGGGCAGTGTGGCCTGCTAATTGAGAAATCTCTTTGTAGGAAAACATCACGCGGCCAAAGGCATCAGAAGATGAAAGTAGCATTCGCCGATTGGTGACGAAACCTGGGCAGGAAATAAGTAAGACAAGCAAAAGAGGTGACTTTGGACGGACTTACTTTCAGTACGATCGCCCATTGTAGATGAAACTTGGTCAGGTATCTTAAAAAAAACGGGAACGCTGCAGAGTACCAACCCCAAAGCCCCCCAGAAATATTTAATCACGAAATCCTCCATAAACCCGTGATACAATCTCCTCCGCAAAATTCGGTTAACATGCTTTATCAATGTAAAATATCCCTTGTCTAAAGTGTCTTTTTCCGACTCATGGCCATGGTACAAGGCAATTTCTTCGCTATAATCGATTAGTCGAGTGTGTTGGAAGCGAAATTCTCCCTCCAGCTTAGCTTCATCGGCAACATATTTGCCAAACGGCGGCGTCAGAGCTCTCATAACGTTTGCGGATAACTGGACCAGAAGCGACATGATAAAAAGGCCTTCTCCACCGACGCTTTTGGAAAGAGAATAATTATATATAGCCATGTCGAGAATCGGTTTCGCTAAATTCGAGTATAGCTCCGCAAGGCTGTTAGAAAAACGTGCAACATCAACCGTGACGAGCTGATCGGGATTCTTTATTCGATCGTCAAGCGCAGATATCGTATAGAAAGTCATGTTCTCCAGGTATTGATTCTGTACATAGTCGGTCAAACGCTTCCTGAATTGGAGGGCAAGCTGGCACTGGTGGTATGATAGCTATTCATAAAGCCATAGATTAGCGCTCCCTTCTAGTTGAAACCTATTTCCTAGGTCATCATACCATAGAATTGGTGAATGTTGCGGGGACCGCCACCGTCATCCACCAAAACAGGCCCAGTAGGAACTCTCGTCCCTTCCCCCTAACCAGACTGCTAACGAGTTTTCCATCAAGCTCAGCAACGTACAAGCTCAGGAGAGTACGGAGGACGAGGAAAACGGAATGACTGAGAAGCAGCCTGAACTCTTTGGTTTTCCAACCAGGAATCACAATTCGAAGTAGTCGCACTAGATTTCTCAAAAACTCCCTATTTAGCCCGATCTTCTTTCTAGGCGCACTTTCTTGATCGTTAATATTGTTTCTTTCAAAGCTCTTTGTACCGGGCCGCCCCCGGATGTCCACCTGCTGAGAAGCCCTTTGCTCCGAGATAGCATTATGTATACGTTTGATGAGGGCGAGAAACAGAGTTAAGTAGACTCCACGAGATATCGACTTTCGATGTTGAAGATATTTGCTGGTGAGTTGAGAGAATAAGCGTCTAATTGCGCGCTCGGCGAGGACGGGTTTGGACTGCAAGACCATGTTGAACGGTAGGCTGCAGTTTATGGTAAGACAAAGGGATCGGGATCGCAGCGGACTCTGTTACCGGGTTCGTTTGTTAAATGCGCGCTGGTCCAACGAAAGCCTCATCAACGGTTTATCATCGATATAACAACGAGAAAAAGGGATCGCTATGCATTCGGCTTCTAGACCACCACAACTATATCACTCAAGGAATCATATCATAGAATGAACTTCCGACGGATAGTCAGGGCGCATGACAGCAAAATATCCATCCGTATTTTGAGATGAGGCGGGTGCTCATCATTCCAACTTGACGTTGATTGCTTCGAAACCGTGAACTAGCATGTGAAGCTGATATCATTTTCCCTTTTCGGCTGAACCGAGGATGGCCGATCACCAGCCACGCTGACATAAGCTGAAGCTGCCCAACGCCACAGCAGTGGCTTGAGATGGAGCCCCTGACCCCAGACCTTATGTAAGCCGCTTGGACGACTTCTCATGGTTATTCCTGGGCTGGAGCACCGTTGTTTGACATTGCTATAGAACATTATCCTGCTTCTACAGTATGGCGCTTAACATGGATGGCACTGGTCACATTCCTCAGCTCAGGTATTTTCAATGACCATCAACATCGGCCCGTTAGGAAGCCTTAGATGCAAGAAGCCGGCATCAGATTGTCCGCAAAGGCTGCGCGATATAGAACCGTATTTTATATCAATGGCGCCTCTTTTCCTTTTTCTCATGTCTGTTTGAACTCTTGCTTTCCGCTGGTTTCTAGCAGTGTAGGCTTGATATTGCTTTATGTTTGCAGTCTCAGACAATGCTGGATAAAGATCCCTTTATCTTCATGGATTAGTGCAGCCAGCTCTAGGGATACTGGAGATTGCCAATGCTTTCTGGGCTGTTCCTGTTTCTCTGCTTGCAAAGATATAAATATCCCTTTACTGGCACTTATCATTGCAACATCAGGAGCCCAAATGACTCTGCATTCTGAGCCACAGTCAGTGTTCTCAGCTTATATAACCTTTCTCTGCACTCCATGTGTTTGTAAACAATGGACTTATATCTCTGGAAGCCTATATCTCACGCGAATGTCCTCTTTGTCACGTGCTGCACAAATATATATTCGCACAGAACCTGCTTGATATTTTCATTTCATGCTCTGTTGCCATGCCTCTATTCTCTCAGGAAGATTTCAATCCCTTCAATCTTGCTAGAGAAATCAACTTTAGTTCATCATTGTGAGCCTCTTTAGTTGTTACAGGCTTCATTTGCTCTTCAATTGATCAGTCTACCGCAACGGCGCAAGTTCACTGTTCTGGAAATGCCTTTTCCAAATCTTCCTGTCAGTGTATTGAAGCCATCTTGGATCAAGTAAGGTCTTTATCCCTTCCAATCCATAATTTGAACTGACCAGGACCTACCTGTTGCTCCTAGCTTGAACAATCAGATTTGGTTACCCTTACCCAAGTCTCCAGATTGTTCAATGCTTTCATAATCCCTCGCTTATATTCTCATATGGTACTCAAACTTGATTCGATTGAGGATGCGTCTTGCAAAGGAGAAGCTCCAAACTATGAAGTCTGGTTAGAGGCTCTTCAAGGTCTTGCATACAACACTCAGAATCAATGTTTGAGTATACAGAAACTCACTATATGCGGTGAATTTGCTTTCGGAGAGAATAAATCAAAGGATATCAGCACCCATGCGATATTCTGTTCTAGGTCGCTTAATATTCAAGCTCCTATATCCTCCCTTGTGAATACTTTGTTGGAAATGTCACTTCCCCGGATGTCCCGTCTGGGTGATATCGAGTAAGTTTCCCTTCATCCAAATTGGACATGACGCTAACTTCCTTCGTAGATGGCTTTCAGGATTTCGTCCCTCGAAAAGACTTCTTGATTCATTAGCTCGGTGCCCATTAGAGACTTTAACCCTGAATGCTGGCTTGATGCTAGGTTATCATAGCCAAGCAGACGTACACCTCCATGAAAGCTTTGAATTTTCAAAGTTCGATTGGAACAGAATCCAGGCCCTTCACCTTTTTAACCTCAATGACTCGGAAAGTGTCAGGTTGATTTCTCGTGTAATTCGTCACGCAGGGGATCAACTCAAAGACCTGAAACTTCACTTTTCTCTACCATTCCCTCGAGATAGCGAAGTCCCAAACACCTTTCAATACGCTGCCATTGCTCCGGTCTTCGATGAACTCAGCCAAGGTTTACAGCCAAAACAGCTCGAAACTCTGGGTATATATGAGTGTGGTGAAGTCAACCTCGCGTCCCTCTTTGATGTTTTCGATTTCTCGACCATCAAACACTTTATTTTTATGCCGCAATGCAGCCATTATGAAGTTCCTTCTTTAGTGTGGAGTGAACTGCAAAAGCGAGAAGTCAGCTTCGAGACTGTGATGGTGGATGAGGAAGGTGAAGGGATGCTTGCTTGCTTGTCATCTTTCAAAGGCCTGCGTCAGCTGTTCGTTCAATACATCACAACGAATTTTGAAATTGCACCATTGTGTGCACGGAATTGGGGCTCTTTAAAGACTGTCTTCCTACCCCATGGGCAAGATTCAATGCCGGATGTGGAAATTCTCTTGAACAATTGTGAATGTCTTCAGGAGCTCGGAGTGACTCTATACACATCAAGTATGGTGAGTGAAGTTCACTTCAGAAGTCACCCCAGGGTGCAAGAAGCATGCGCTTAGTCGTCTCATGTGTGTGCTTAGTCGTTGAATCACATGCAACGACTAAGCAATGGTGCTGCTGTTCCTGCTATAAAAGGGTCCAAAAGCTAACTCTCTCCTCACTTTCCAGCATCAACTCTTCAAACTCCTTGACCAAACCCGTACCCTAAAGTCATTATACTTCTATACAAGTTGTATACGACCAAACCTCCCTGGCACCGGGCCGGAAATATCTCCGAAGACCTTCATCAAACGGTTCGTGGATTACTTTGCTCGCGGGCAACGTCGCCGACGCCCGCAAAACTTCTCCTTCTTCTACCACAACCTCAAGAGGGTTTCTTTCCACGACGCCTTATGGGCGATGATGCCAACCTGCGACAACTCCGTCGACGGGTCGTTGTTCGACTATATCAGTCGAAACAACCACCCGAAGAAGATCCCAATTCACGACACGGAAATCATCAGCACAGTCAAAGCTGCGAACCAGCTTGTGCTGAGTGAGTTGAGAGGAAAGGGAGTGGCGTTGGTGCCAGTTCGGGTACCATGGAGCAGGCATAGGGGTGATAAGACCCTCGAAAGGCTTATCGACTACCTCATTACGAGCCATCCAGGGAGGGCCGCATAACCCTACGCCCAGTCAAACAGATTCGTGGAGCCGCGGCTGCGATACTAAGCCGGCGAAAGGAGAGACGATGGGAGACTTTGATATGGCATTTTAAGGGCCATGCGTTCGGGCGTTTGTGGCGAAGGTGGAGGGTCGGTGGTTAAAGGCTGGAATGATAACTCAACACTTGCTTGAGGGGGGAAGCTAGGGGCGTTTCTATGGGATTTCAAGGTGTCTGCTTTTCTGTTTTTCGACCTGCTTACATCTGTCCTTTCACTTCTTTCTTTAATGGTTTGTTTGTGTGCTTAAGCACATACAGTGACGAGACCACGAATGACGAGATATGTACGAATAAGAAAGGGAAAGTTTGATCTGGGTTAAGGACACATTATTGGGCAGTAATACCCATATGGATCAAACATGAACATTCTCAAAATCAGCCGCCGGAAGCGCAAACCAAAAAGGGCTGGCACATACAAAGTAGCGCCGTAGAAAGGCCATTGTATGTGTATCAATTAACAAGCAAGAGGAAGGGAACAAATACCCAAAGCAGTCAATCGCACTAAAGCTGTCATAAATCATCTTACATATCCTGCAAATCCCAAAAAAGCCCAATCTTGGAAAAGCACGGAGAAAAGCGTAATCAGTTCATCCTTTACTCCCCAGGATTCCTTAAACCCGCATTAATCAACGCTACTATCTGACTCTCCTTGAACTCCGCAAGCGCATCGGGATCTTGCTTCTGCAGCTCTACCAAGTCCTCCAAGCTTGAAGGCCCTAACCCTTGCAGAGTTTTCTGCATATCCGGGTCCTCGCGTAAACACAGCTCGAATTGTGAATCTGATTCACTGCTGCGAAGCCGCTCAAGTTTCTTGCGCAACTCTGCAATGTCTGGGGGAGGTGATTGCGAGATATCTTCGCTATTATCTAGCTCGGATTGAAGCATGTCGTGGCTTAATCGCTGGCCCAGGCGAAGCACACGGCCTTCTTCGGAGGTCAGGGCTCGAGAATGTAGTGACGTGTTTGAACTCGTACGGGATAGACGGACGGCGTAGCGCTCTTGCTCGTCTTGCCCAACTGGGCCATTCTCTGGGCTTTGGCTTAACTCGACTGTTTCATCGACGTCGGAGTTTTTATCAGCCTGGTCGGCGGAGTGGACGGAGAATTCTAGAGCGGAATTCGCATCAGTAGTTGAATCTGTCCCTGCGGGAAGACGTGTATCCGGAAACTCGTCTTCAAATCGTTGGATCATCCTTTGTAGTGTAACATCAAGGAATTGTAACCGTCCTATTAAATATTTGGTTAGCTTGACCGTTATGGCTTTCAGGGCGTGCGAACATACGGTAATTGAGATCATTGCCGGCCTTATCTTCGCGGACAAGGGCCGGCTGCAACCGTACGCGTATCCTTCTCGCCGCATTAAGCAGATTCTTCGACATATCACGTGGCTTCTTATTGACGGGTACATGGCTGAGACGACGGAGCGGCGTTGACGCGCCGCTGGGTGGTAAAGATTGATCACCAGCGATTTCCGTTCCACCATAATCTCGATTTCCCAAACAAACCCCCAGGGCTTTCACGACACCAGTGCCTCCAATTACATAGTCTTCATCTGGCGCGAGAGCGTCGCCCTCAGCGATACTATCCACCTCCTCATTATCAGCCGGACCGACAAGATGGGCAAGGACATCTGGTATTGGAACAACATCCTTCTCGGAAGCTTGGCCATCTGTCGGGGTTGATAACTGCTCCGCAAGTTCGCCTCTCTCAAGGTTGCGGAGAGAGTAAGCGACAATCTGCGACGCTAACGCTTTAACAATTTCATTATTGTCTGCTGTTGGTACATCAATGTCCACGGCAATCAGGGTTTTCGAGACTCTGACAGCGGCCATGAAGGATGCGTAAAGTGCACAAGCCTCCTCTTGCATGGCTGCGTCTTTAGCTGCAGCCAACGCTTCGATTTCTGAATTCTCAAGTACATTGATGTGGCAAAGCTTCGGGCAGTCAGGCAATATCTCAGCCAGAGCTATGGCTTTCTCCGATGTGAGATCAACGTCAGCAAGGTGTACGCGTCGTAGCTCGGCAAACTTGGGTAGATATCGTCGCAAAACGGCAAGGGAATCCGGCTGTACGGTGAACAGCCCTTGGTTGTGAGATAAATCGACAAACCGAAAATTAGGCAGCACTATCAACGCATGGAGCAGGTTAGAGAGCGACTTAGGGACGAGAGAGCAATCCGCCAAACTGAGTGCGGTAAGCGGGAATGTCTTTTGGATCGCAGCTATGAGGAGTTCCAAATGGTCATTCAATTCATTGCCGCCCAAATCCAGTCCTTCGCAAGACCCGGCGTTAAAATATTGAATAACGTGCTCGAATCCTTCCCTCGTCAAGTTATTGTTTGCAAGGCCAAATCTTCGCAGTCCTATAGACTTTGCAGCATTGCATATTTTCGCCAAATCTTCCGTTGACGGGTAACATTCACTCAAAACCAGCTCCTCCAAACGGTTTCCTGCAAGTCTTTCTGACAACGCACTAGAAAACACGTTTGCAATATTTGCAGGTTGTATAGGAGGTTTGGTCAGCGAGGTTGGGCTATTTGTTGGCGGTGGAGGTGATGGGAAGGGGACTCCAGAGAGGTCAATCCCTTTGAGCGAGCGCGACATATGGAGGAAAAGGCTGATATGGCGCCAGCCTTCCGGTCCAATTTTGGGGTTATCTTTTAACGACAGTTTTTCGATAGCGCCGAACTTCTCTTCATTCACTAGCTTGTCGGCATTCTTACTGCGTCTAGTGCCTCTTGCAACTCTGGCGGCGGCGACCGTCTTCGTGGACAACAGGCCAGCAAGAATAACTCGCACAGCTTCATCAGTTAGTCCACAATTTTGCAATATCAGTTTGCGAACTGGCACAATTGCGAGCCAATCGCTAAAAGTAACAATATCTTGAAAGGACATCATGAATCCGGTGAGATCCAGAACCCCGACCGTGCCTGGAGATTCCGCGAGTGCAGACGACGGGGATGAAATTTGCTCCACAAGCTTTTTCAGTATACCTGTCTCACGCAACTGGCAACAGCGACGATATATCCGCACCGGATCAATAGTAGGTTGATCTTGGCCACGCTGAAATCGATGTGGTGACGAAGATTTGGTTGGATCGTCCATATCGAAGTGAATGGGAACGCTGCCATTCTCCTCCGCCAGTCGCCGTTTTCGTTCCTTTCGCTCTTTACGCTCTTCCTCTGACTTTTTCTTTTTCTCTTGTTTCCTTGTCATTTCCTTGCCCGGTGCTTTACTTCCATTTGCATCCTGAGGCGGAGCAGTGCCATTCATTCCAGTTAAAGACGGTGAAGTTGGAGGATGGTGAGCAGCCTTAAGGGCAGCGCCTTCGGCCTTTTCTGCTGTCTTCGGCTCCTGCTTTTGAGTGGCTCTGGACTTGAGATCGTCATCAGAGTCAGATCGGCGAGAAACTCCAGCAATTTCAACATCGACGCAAAACGCAACTCGACGGAGTTTTGCTTGGTTTAGTTCTGGGATCTTGCACCTATCGCGCTCGCGATCGATATTCATAACTCGACGTTCACAAATGCCTCCCCCTGGTGTGCCAGTCATCCGGCCCAACCCACTACCACCCGAGGCTAGTTTACGAAGCGCATTGTGGAAAAACGAGGGATTCTTTGGTGACTGGGAGCCAAACGGGCTCGATTGACTGTCCTTCTCGCTATCCTTTGGTGAGTATGCCGCCCCAAACGGGTTCGGCAGTTCTGAGCGGGTATTCTGTGGGGGTTGTGATCTGGAATGGTTGACAGCCTCTTTTACATGGCTTTGCGACGGAGGCGTGGAGCCGGAGCTGAACTTTGAGCTCAAATTTGATATCCATGAGTTTCGTCTCGAGGGAGGATTCGGCCTCGAAGATTTATTCGCAATCGGAATCGGAGTTGAGGATTGCGGTGGTGACGGCTTAGCCTCTGTTGGACCTTGAGCGTTCCTTTTCGCTTTAGAGGGCTGATGAACGTTGACTGATGGGCTTTTAGATGTCGAACTAGGAGATGCACCGCTCTTCTGCTCGTCCTTCTGGGGCGGTTTTGGACTCGCCTCGGTGACCGGGTTCGGTGGCGCAACATTGCGCTTGGGGGACATTCTGGAGGGAGCAGACTTTGTTCGGACGAGATGATCTATAAGAAGAAGATGATTCGGATCAGTACTGTCAAGAAGTGATTATGCTTCGCAGGACTTTCGGCGTGTTTTGCATTGATGCTGAGGACCGAGTAACCAAACTCAAGGCTCTGGGAAGCATCGCAGGCTGGAACCGCAACACCAACGTCTCCCCAGGGGAAGATTATATACCTTTTTGGGAGTGGTGCAACCAGCTCACGTCCACGGTATCCGCGCCCTCCATATTCGCTTTCACTTTCTCCATGTAGCCACAGGTACGAATAGATCCTCAAAAGGACGAAATCCCTTCTGGCGGATTCGTCGACACCGGTGATGAGCCGTCGAAGTCCCCAAGGGAATTAACAAGCGGTCAGGCTGGAGGGGCCTTGATGGGAATGGCAAACACGGGTAAGCTCAGCGGGACCGCAAATATCCTGTCATGACTAAAGTAGAGAGGCTATCCATCGCAAATAACAGGCGGCGCAACGGTTCGCAGACATTATGTTGAGCTCGCTAGGATTCTCTTGGATGAAGAAACGATGCCTCTGCGCGGATCTCGGTGGTGGGAGGGAGTGCTGTGGCTGAGGGAGGATACCACAGCGGTTCAGATGGAAAGCGAAGGACGCCGCAACAAATCCTCCTCGAAGAAGTTTACCTTTGTGAAAGCTTCTTTTCTCTTCAAGCTAAAGACGTTCTTTGACGCTTAATAAGTCGATTACATGCTGCAAGTGGCACAGACAAGGAACCAGCGGAATGCAGTGCTGGTTGGTGGAATTTTCTTCGAACAACTGCGAGCCATGGATGAGCGAACCCTGTGGCTGCATTTCTGCTCAGCTTGGAGGCGGGCGTGACCGGAATGACGAAGTCTTGGCCGCGGCAAGATCAACGGCGCAGGGAAAAGTTTCATTATAAGATCAGAAGGATTCTTTCTTGCTGTGATTCTCCGCTGCTGCAGCGTCAATCATCACCCAGTCCAGGCATTCGTCCCTACATACACTCCCTGTGCTGGATGATCTTCTTTCTTCCTTGAGACAAGAATACAGCCGCGTTAAATCCCAAGCAGCTATAAGGATGATGTAATGATACGCTAGTCTGGATTCGGTTTAGTGGGCTGCCAAGACACATATTGACGCTTACACGAAATCTGATTGGCCCGAAACCCCGCCCAAACCATCCCGCGCTAGTTCGGTTGGCGAAACGGTCAACCAGAAGGACATGGATGAACGGATCAGCTTGCTCCTTTTTCTCGGGAAATATGCATCTGCGAAGCTCATTGCCGGTCAAAGTACGGAGTACTTGAGACTACGGAGTTTCTGATATGGAGTAATTAACTTGGAAAGCTTTGCACGGTGTTGGCTTATCATCAGAGAGAGATACAAGAGACTTAGACCGGAACGAACGAATGCAGCGAAATTTCTTTTTTAACCCTTCGCTTGGAAGACGCGGTGACATTATTCATTTCCTGTGACCTGAACCCATCGCTGAAACTCCGTGTAAAACAATACATAGCCCATCTCATCCCAATGCAGCCCCTACTGATGGAAGTCGCGCCAAGTCGTTGCAGATATTGGTGTGTTTTTTTTTCAATTGTTTGATTTATTGTAATCGAGGGAAGCGCGAGAATTGACATGTGTTTTCCATTTATGCCAACTCCCGGATCTTCTCCTGGACACGAGCCATTCTCTCCTCGCGAGAGAGTTTCTTGGACCTGTATTTCAAGCTCTCGGCCTTCCATTCTTCCTTGCTCTTCTTAGGACCGGCTTCCTCATCCTTCTTGAATGGATCCTCGCGGATGGCCTTGTGGGCTTCGGTGTACATATCCTCAAGCTCACCAGCCTCGAACTCGTTGTCAATGTACTTCTGGAACTGACTCTTGTAGCGTTCCTCGTCGTCATCAGCAAGACCCTCCATGTACTCAGCAACGTGTCCACCAAAGATGTATTTGCGGAGAACTTCGGCGTCGAGCTCCTTGGTTTCAATATCGTAACCAGGGAAGCGGTTCTCGGAGTGAGGAACAAGAATGCCACCGTCAGAGGCACCCTTCATCGCGGCAAAGACACGGGCACCAGTCGAAGTGCGATGGAGACCAACGTCAAGGAAGGCCTTGAATGGACGACGGCTTCCCTCATCTGTCTCGGCGGCTTCGGTGAGGGAGAATTCGCCTTCTGGCTCCTCGACACCAACAAAGTCCTCGTCCAAGCCAAGCTTCTTCAGGGTGCGGCGGGCAAGGAGGAGGCCGGTAGCGTAAGCAGCGGACCAGTTGGTAAGACCGTTCTTGATTCCGTAGCGCTTGAGTTCGTGGGCGTAAGCACTGCAGATGACCTTGTCACCGTCGATTTCAGACGTGACAATCTGAGTGATGATATCGCGGTTGGTGAAGCGGACGACGAGGCGATACTTGGGCGAGTTGTACTTGTTCTTCGCCTGGGTGATCAATCGCTTACGGGCATAGTAGTCGGTTTTACCCTGACGACGGCGCTTGAACTTGGTTTGGTAGCGGCTGTGAATTTATTAGTGACAGGTCCATGGAGAGGTATTTAGCGAGGAACTCACCTGTAGTAAGCGCTGTTCTTGACAAGCTTGGTGAAAGGCTAGACGAACAAGAGATCGCGAGTCAGCAATTTGCGCTTCAGGTAGCTTGATCCCCTTTCTCCGAAGCATCTTGCAAGGACTCGTTTGCCGCATGTTGTGTTTCCACAGATTTGGCGGGGAACGGAGAGGCTCTCAATGGAGGGACGAAATTGAGGCAGAAGCCATGACTAGCGAACTCGACTTACCATCTTGCCGGTCGTATGCTACCCGTTGATTTGGCGAAATCTGCTTGCCTGACGTTGGTCGATTGATGAGGGAGAGGAAGGGAGGCGTTGGTGGTGGGAATTTCGACTCTTTTTGTGGGCGAACTTTTCGCTAAACTGCCCAAAGCTGCTTTTGGAACAGGGTTGGCGACGACCAAAACGAAACAACTCTTGCATGCAGACAGTTGCCCGACAGAGGAGAAACTTGAATTCTTTTCTATTATATATTTTTTAATTGATTTTTTTTCTGTACTTATAAGAAGGACGAACTAAGCTCTACAGCTTTGCTTTATTCGAATCCTCCAGTAATTTCAAGCCTGTGTACCGCTCCAATTCCCTGACGGCATTGTCCGTCTTGCCCAAATCCACCTTGATCGTCTTCATGCCTGCTTTCTTCGCCCATTTCAAGTTGATGCCGATATCGTCCAGGAACACTACGTCTCCCGGTGCAATCCCGTCCATACCCCTCTTTTCCGCCGCCTCTCTCATACTCTTCATTGCAAGCTCATATATCCTAGGATCTGGCTTCCTCAACCCGCAATGCGCGCTGGAAATGAAGAAATCAAACATCTTCTTAACTTCATGTGTTGCCGACCTCTTACTGTACGGATGATCCTCTGGCAGAATAGTTGTGTTCGATAACGCGCCGAGGATAAACTGTCCTGATTCCTTGAGCTTCTTGAGAGCGGGGTACATAAAAGGATCCGGCTCGCGTGATACGCGCATCATCTCCCAAAACATATATTCTGCGTCTACCTTAGGCAGCGGGAGATGAGCGGACGAGGTCGTCGACGACGGCGACGATGTCTGCGGGTTCTTCTTTTTCAGCTGTTCATGGAAAGCCTCCCAAAGATTTTGGTGCTGGAAATCGCGATTAAATTCGGCGAAGAAATTGGCGTCTAGTTTCATTTCTCCTCTCTCAATCCGGTGCCATGCGCCATTTGGAGATGTATGTTGGATAGCGTAAGTTTTATCCAGCCAACAGAGTATATTGTTTGCGATTTTCGTAATCCAGGATCGCTTGAAACGGGGAGACAACCTATCAATGCAATATATTAGCATAGTCCTAACTGTGCTGCCAGTCTTCGCAAAGTATCAACGTACGCAGACCCCTCCGATATCGAAAAGCAGCCCGATTGGGCGGTTGTTGGCAGCCATTCCTTTAGATGTCTGATATTTAGACAGAAGCGAAGGATCTTTCTGGTTTGAATTAGCAATTAAAAGCCAACCCAGGCAAAAGCGGTTGCTATGGGTAGTGATTTATCGCCTGAAACTGAGCTGTAAGATAAAGCCCAAGTTTGCCGAGGTTAGCTCTCAGGTAGTAGAAGAGGTAGCCATTATGGAGGTGTGTCGCCGAAATGCCGTGAATAATATTTCCAGAAGCGTTGCAAGCCGGGCTGCAGGGTTTTGCATGCCTCCTTTCATGACAAGATCCCAAGCTTCAGCCCATCAAACCGATAGTTATGGATGCTTCCTAAGAGACTTGCCTGCCGAAACATCGAGAAAAAGTGGTAGCCAGTTAGCTAACTAACTACCTAGGAATCTCAATTACGCCCCCCCCCAGCGCGACAGTTATATGATCACTGGTCTGTTTTGATGAATACCCAGAGGCAACGGGCTTTAGTGCAACCATGGACCGTTCGAAGACAATTGCCGAAATCAAAATGTCTTCCGTTCGGGATCAAATTCGGATATTATCAGCTTCTCTGGAGCCCTTCTGAGGATTGGAGGGACTACGGACCAGAAACGGAGAGTGATATTCCAGACAAAGTGGTTGATGGCGTGTTGCAAAAACGTAAGAGCAGAGTCCAAAGTCGAATTCAAAGATTACAAGTCTCATACGCCTCTCAGTAAGCACGGTGTTGGGGCAGCATCACCGCTCCGTATTTTCAACGCAGGCAGCCCATCATGTTTCGCAGCAGATTGAGCGATTGTACTTGAATGCGACCGATCCAGATTTTGGCGGGCGGAGCTCCGCTGATTCGGGAATAGAGAAAGGAGCTGACATGACAGTTACAGCGCAAGTAGTTTTCTCTTGGTTATAGCTCATGCGGTGATTCTGACCGATCGTGAATCCAGAAGTATCGAGAAGCTCCCCGACGACTGGACAGAGGAGAATGTTACCCCGGAATCTCTGGAACGGTACTTCTCCCGCACTCTCTCTCTTGTCCTGTTTCGGGATCACATATTCTGACGAGACCGTCCAGATACAGGCAATTCCACTCGCAACTTGTTGTGCTGAATGCTGAGCGGAATGAGCAGCGGAAGCGATTGGCTCAGTATATGCAATTGAGGACTTTGTTGGAACCATTCAACCAACCCCAAACAAATGTCCAACCAAACCTCGTCACCAAAGATGGTCAGTTGGCTGCAGAACTAGACCGAATGAGAATGCTTCTCGCAAAGGTCGCCGGCAAAGTCCAACAAATAGGCCAACAGCAAGGTGGTTTGCAGACCGAAAATTCTGTTCCGCAAGAAGATATGGATACGAAGTTAGCGAAGATCCTAGATATGACCTGAACCAGCCTACGCTACTGTTACCGTGGCCTGATTCCCAACAAATCGTCCGAGGGTTTTAATTCTCGGTCAATACCTCGTGTTCTGTACTATAGCATCAAAGATTCCTACTGGTCTATAGGGTCAGTCGAGCTGGTATCGCCAACCATGGTCAACCACCAGCCAGTGATTGACACCACTCGGGGGGTCTTCTCCACCTTCGGGCGTTCTGCAGGCAAGGGCCCTCTGAGCTGGTTTCGTGGAGGTCGAGAGTCTTCTAGAAGAAAGGAGTTTCGGATCTGCTCCTGCTGCGTTCCCCGCTGATGGGACAAGTAACGAGCTCTGGCACAGACTGCATACAGGGCCAGAGTGTGTATCTAGGCAAAGCACAGCATTCTAATTCAGGAAAATCCAAAACAAACGAGGCCATTGCATCAACAGGGAAACCGCACTGTAGCCGCCCAAACAGGCAGCGGGAGTGAACGCCCAAAGCGGGCAAATGTACAGTCAGCGACGCAGTGTGTGCCCTCATGTTAAATTCCTCACTTTTCTCGCTCTTCTCTTCCTCTCTGCAATCCTCCCTGTTCTTTGCACTGGCACCCAACCCTCATTCACAGTGCTTTCTCTTGCTTGCCCCTATTTCACAAGGCTCTTACATAACAAACTGTGGTTTCCGGCTCGGATTTACAGAATGTCCGAAGTCCAGGATGAGGGTGAGTGCAAGCTTGGCACCCTCTCTCACCAAAACAATCCATCACCTCACTTCTCTAGCAATAGACAATTCGTTAACCGCCAGTGTGCATCTCTCATAGCTTTCCCTGATTTCGACGCAGACGTTGCTGTGGAGTCATCCAACAGCTCAGTTGTGGGTGAGCCTATTCGCCGGCGCCATCGTCGTAACCGAGCGTCTGTCACTCAAGACGATCTCGAGCAGTTCCGCGCTGGTTATTGGGGCGTCACCCGCGAAGCGTTTCGTGACATCCAAGCTCAACGTGAAGCACAGGACCAGCTTCCTCTCCTCAATGCAGCACTAGCAAATCTGGCGATGTCGACTCCGAACAACGTAAACGCCCCTGTTACAGCTGCCGGCTCTGGACCCGGTTTTGCCAACCTCTACGAGAGCATCCCCTCCAACATGCCGAATATTCCGCGCCAAAACCAGGCCGCCCCTCCTGCCAGTCCCGCAGGTAGTCAGAACGGCGTGCCCGGGGCAATGGCGGGATTGGCCACCGGAATGCCGATGAATGCAGGTCAAGAAATGGATCTTAACTACGTGTACCAGATGATCACCGAGCTGAGTGAGCTCCTTGCCCACAATCGCGACACGACGAGGAACATCATCAGAGCGAGTGAGGAGATTGCTGTACGTCTTCACTCTTGATACCCCTCGCCCATTCTATTCCGTTTAATCAAGATCAATACTAAGTTGCACAGAGGCGCGCTGCTAACGAAGGCACCACTCCCAACCTCCAACAAGTTAACGGCGAAATCACGTGTAAGCACCCACTGACTGAAGACTTGAGGTGCAATTGGCACTAACTAGTCTTTAGCTGCTCGCATAGCAGATCTGGAGAACGAGGTAGCCAAGCAGAAGCGGGTCATCGATGTCCTCAAATATGAGCAAGTGGAAAACATGAAGTTGATCGCCGAATACGAGACCGCTGTGGGAACCATGACCGAACAGATTCGCACCTACTGCTGCAACGTCAACGATCACTTCCTTGCCCAGAAACGTCGTTACAATGGTCTCCTTCAGGAAGAAAAGGATGCACATCTGCAGAGCCGCCTGGAGCGTGACTATTGGCATGCTCAAACTTTGCGATGTGCTGAGATGATTCGCACCGCCTATCGTCTTCGTTGCGAGGAAGAAATTCTCCCGATCCGCGTCGTTTCCGGGCTTCAAAACGAGGTGCGCGCCCTTCGTAATGCATTGGGCTTGGACCCCGAAAAACCAGAAGAGGAATATGGCTGGGAGATTCTTAAGGACACCCCTCCTGGCGTTGATTATGGAACTGGATCTATACTCTCCGAGATGCATACATTGCTTTTATCAGTTCAATGGCGGCGTTTTAAGGTTTATGCCACATCAAGTAGATACCCCTGGAGCATGATTGGTCGGCGGTAATATGTGGTTCAGGCGCCAAGCGGCAGTTTACGAAGCTCGATTTCTGATTTTTACGGTCTTTTGTTATGCATTACTCAATGATTATTGCTGGGAAATCTAGCGGGCCTTACTAATTTGAAAGCACGATTTTATATCGGTGGGTCACTTTCAAAGATAGCATACAACTTAGATAATCCGAAATGAGAAGACACTTGTTTTCCAGTGCAGTACCCGCTCTTTGCGCGAATATGCACTCCGTAGAAATCAAGTCGGGCGTAGACCTTGAGCGAGCAGCTGAAATTCTGCAGATCCAGACTTTAAACCGGCGCCAGTGCTGGACGCCGTGTCCGAAACGCTACTTTCCTACACAGATCTTTTACAGTACAAGGCTTCATTATGTTCCTTTCATTATCTTTAAAAAGTAAATCCATACAAACACAGGAGGATCTTGAATAGAGTAAAGAAAAGAAGACATTAATAGACGCTGAAAAGAGCAAAAAAGTGCCCACGACAACAATCACTCTAAGCGATCCAGAACCATATCTTCTCAATGAAATTACGAGGAATTTCAGCCGGCCATTCGACCGCATCCAGAGCAGCCTTGCCGGTGAAAATATCAGCCGACTGGGCGTTTACGGCCCTGGTCCTCTTGAACACCTTCCAGAATCCAAAAAGAGCAAAGTAAATCGGGATGCCGACGTATGCAGTGATGAACGAGCGAGCGCTGAAGGGAGCAAAGGCGTAGAAGCCGTTGAAGACGATGATGATGGAGAAGAAGACGAGGGATACCCAGGCGACGTACGGCTGGAAGGGGCTGCGGAAGACCAGGGTGTTGCGATCGACGCCTTGGGCTTTGAGGGCGGCGTGGAATTTGATGTAGGCGACGCAGATGGAGCACCAGGTGAAGAGGGAGGCGATTGTGGTCAGGTTTTGGAACCATACGAAGACGACGTTGGAGCCGGCGGTGCAGGAGAGGTAGGTGATGAGGGAGATGGTGGCGGTGATGAGGACGCAGTAAATCGGGACGCCGCTGTTTCAGTTAGTTAATGATGATGAGTAAGGGCAAGGAGGCTTTTCCAGTATAGACTTACGTTTTGGTACACTTGAGAAGGAACCTTGGTGCATGACGATTCTGTGCGAGAGCATAAAGATATCGACTTCCAGTGTACAAAAAGGCGTTGGCCGACGAAGAGGCAGAGGTCAGGATGACAGCGTTGATGATCGAGGGCAATGCTGGGATACCAGCGCGGTTGACAGCAATGACCCATGGGGAGGCGGCACCGCCGGGAGCATTTGTTTCCTGGGCGTTGAGGAGATGCTTATCGTTGTACGGGACCAAAACACCGATGGCAAGGGACCCAAGGACGTAGAAAAACAGGATACGCCAGAAGACACGCCGAACAGCCTTGGGGATGTTGCGCCTTGGGTTTGCTGCTTCTCCCGCGGCGCATGCCACCATCTCCACACCACCAAAGGAGAACGCTGCGTTGACGAGGGTTGAGAAGAAACCGAGGAAGCGACCTTTGGCTCCTGTTCCCAGATACAGGTTCATCGCGCCGGGATCTTTCCAATACCGGAAGCCCCTGCGATCACCGTCCACACCACCGAGGTCAATGATGAGCGAGAGGATGAGCAAACCGACAATGGTCACGATCTTGATACTGGCAAAGATGAATTCAGCTTCGCCGTAAACCGAGACAGCGAAGATGTTGAGGCATAGGACAAGGACGATGAGGATGGAGATCCAAGCGGCGACATTGATGTGCAACGAACCCGGCCAGAACTGGATGATCACCGATGCTGCTGCAATCTCAACACAAAGGGTAATTGCGCATTGATACCAGGTCTACAAATCTGTTAGCCTCGTCCTTATCGCCCAGCTTGCAGTGCAAGATTTGGGTGGGTTGCTCACATTCCAGCCGACGGCAAAGCCCATGGCTGGGTCTACATAGCGAGAACAGAATTGAGGAATGGCACCAGGAAGAGGCAGCCAAGTTGCCATTTCTCCAAGAGACATCATCTGTCACCCGTCAGCAGCCGGTCAACAACATCTCCCAGCTTATGTCGCGAGAGACTCACCATGCCAAAAATGGCAACTCCGGTCATGCTGTAACCCAGTAGCAAACTGAGAGGGCCACCTTGAGTCAGGGCTCGTCCAATACCCAGGAACAGACCAGTTCCAATGGTGCCACCAAGGGCGATGAACTGAATGTGGCGCGACTTTAACCTGCGCACTCCGTGTCAACCACTGCCATGAAGATAGTCTAATGGGGCTCAATGGCGGGAAGCAACTCACCCTCGAGCGACGTAGCCATATCGATCAGCGGTCTCAGCATCTCCAAAGATATCAGTTGCTTCCCCATATCTCAAATCCTTCATATGGGTCTCTGTCTCTGCCGTTTGGTAAGGGGGCGGTTCTTGGAAACCCTGTTTCTCCATGGTGAGGTCGTGGCTGTCACCTCAAGGTGACGGTAGAAGGACTGCCAATGAATGTTATGCGGCTCGACCGTTGTGTTGTCTCTGAGTTGCCTGCACGCGGAGGCTGGAGAGAGTGGGAAAAGGGGGAGAAAGAAGAGCCTTTCCACGAGGTTCTGGGAGAGCAGCGGAGCTGGGGGAAATATATAACTACTGCAAGCCCCGTATTTCCAAGTACACGACGGCGGTTTTAATACGACTTCTGGCTTGTATTTGGACAAGGCGGGGGACGGATTGCCGTGGTGCATAGTGCAGCAACGAGAGGAGGCGAAAGGGTAGCTCAGGACGCTGCAACATTGTTCCCCCTCCCAAACCACCCCTGCGAGGCCGGAAGTAATCTTTGCTGTTTTTATCCAGTGGAGAGGAATGCTTTTCGCGCTTGGCTGGGATCATGCACTCCCACGATTGGATGGAGAAAAGTAAGCTCATCAAAAGCAACCTGTGGAGGCCGGGGGATCACCGCTTGTCCGGGTGTTGAGTTTGCGAATCAACGCACTCGTCCCACACTCCTCTGTCCCTGTGGAAAGGAGAATAAACGACATGCTGGTTGACGCCACTGGCTGCCATTCTGATTAGCTACTCGAGGTTGTCGAGTCGCACATGCAGAAATGTAAATTGCACAACAATTTCGCCCTCCCGCGTAGTAGTGTACATCGGCAGCTGTCCCTCGAGAACGCACGATGAGTGATTATTTGGGCTGTGTGGCGCTTTGATAGTCGAAGCCCTCGTTGCTGGGTTCAGGCCAGTCGTATCATCCCAATTGCACCTCCGAAGCGTGTTCCACGCAGGGATCGCAGGGTTCAAGGTTACAGCGGCGGGCAGGACGCAATCCCTCGACGGCGCGCAGGGATTCTGCCGTTTCCTGTCAGAGACCAGAGGCTGCTCAATCTGGACGGGAGAATTTCCATTCGCGCGAATCAGCAGATCGGGCTGATTCACAACAGCTGCCGGTCTACCAGCGCGATCGTCGAAATCTCAAGAGGCGCGAGTTGGTGGCGGTCGGACGGCAGAACCAGCCCGATCGGGTAAGCTTCTGGAAGCATGTGGGATTCCGTGTCGATGCCAAGAACTCGCGATACGAAGCCTTGAATTGCGACGAGAAGCCAAAGTGTTCTCTCTGGCCGCTGAAGAGCTGGCAAGAGTCAAGACATTTGATATTGAGTTTCTCCCCAGGCCGCTAACAAACTGCTTGTTTTGCTCCAGAAGACCAGGAGCCTCTCCTTCAGGGCTAAGACCAAGTACAAGCTTCCGCCAATTCTTGCCCATCTCCTCTTCCTGGCCTTAAAGCACCTCAAATAAAGGGCTTCCCACCCATATTTAGACCCTAAAGTGTTTTTGAGGTGTGGGCACTCCGGGGCCCATCCGGAGGACTGCTCCAAGAAACCCAAATCGACTTCTTTTCATCTCTCACTGTTCGCGGCTGCAGATTTGCCTGTTGGAGTTTCAACTGGCTGTTGCTGCGAATTATCATGTCCCAGCCCGAAATACGAACCGCCTGCGCCAAATTTAACGCCATCGAATTGCAATGCGCAAGAAGAGAAGCCCACAACAATTTCGGGCTCAGATTCGTGTCCGGTAGACTGCAGCAAAAGGTCATGACGCCATGATCGAACACAAAAGTGTGTCTTAAGTTCCATCGCTCCAGACAACTGACGGCGAAAACGTATAAAAATGGTTGAAGTCAATTCTGCTTTCTTTTAGGGTGGATGGTGTCTGGAGAAGTGGAGAGAGCAGTGCTGATCATCCGTCAATCGCCAATTTCCCCACTTGAAGGCATAACTCTATGATATCGGTGCACTTGCGCACGCTTGTCGACTGTCGCTCGTGATCAGTCTGAGAGAAGGCAATTCCTGCATAGGACTGATCGATATTCATATATTATCACGAGCTGCATCTTCAACGCTTGCAGGACAGCTTCAGCGAGCGCATGTGTCTTCCAGGATATTTTGGTTGCCTTGATACGGGGTGGTTTAATTTTACGATTCCTGCATTCCTCGTAACTACTCCGTACCCTCCCGCGCTTTGATAAAAATATCCAATCCTCGCATCAAATGACGCTTGTTGGCGAAGCAAAAGCCATTCTTCGGATGTGTCTGCACATACAAAAGGAGCTCTTGCAGAATCGCCTTCCAAATGATCTAGGCGAGCAGCAACCTGGGTATCTTGTATAAAGTCCGGCTATACAATGCACGTTTGACTTCCTCAGGGCCTGGATAGAGTCGGATAAGTAGGCCTCTGTCTCCCAAACCCCATTGAGTATTGTCTCTTTCTCCAAACCAGAATGATTCGATACAAGGAGCTAGTGACTCCCGGACTCTAGCACACATAAAATATTGGCCGTTCGGACGACCTCAAATGCCCAAGACAGCCCAAGAGCGCAGAAGAAATGCTTCTTTTGTCCAAGGAGAACAGGAACCTTTGTCCTCCGCCCAGGATTCACATGTTTCACAATCGTGGCTCTTGCGTCAGGTGTCATACTCTGAGAACAGTGAGGTGTCGATCGCTTGAGCCGAAAATTCAGCTGTGCGAGGGTTACAGCGCTAGCATGGGGACAACTTTCCGTCCTTTTGTTACAGGGAGCCACCCCCTATCGGCCACCGTACCCCCCCTTGACAAAAAAAAAAAAGAGTTTATCTGGGCTGGTGACAGTCGCATTCTGGAAGCAAACGGGACGCAGGGGCCTGGAGCAATCAAAAAGTCCCGACGAATAGTACTGGGATTCGGAGTGCGTTTCGCGCACTGTTTCCCACGTGTCGTCTGGTCCCGGGCGTGGGAAATGTTTGACAGCAGAACGATATCCCGAGACCCGGGTCGTCGCACCGGGTGTTTACATGCAGTTGTAGTGATGGGTCACCGCTCCCCAAAGGATGGTCAAGATGACTCCTCCAGGACCCCCCTCGCCCTGGTCCGCTCAGGGCGTTGACGACGCCATCGTCTGGTTCTCATTTCGACGCATCAACGGGCGAATTCAAAACCAACCTTCTGGGCGTTTGCCAATTCTTTTCTCAAAGAGAGGGATTAGATAGTTAGCCGATGCGCGCGAGTGACCGGTCTTCATGGCGGTCTTTAACTGACACGCTGAAACCGCCATCCCAACGGATAAGGAGGCCATAGTTAACTAACTAGTTACCAGGTTGGGAGAAAAAGCAACCGGGATTCAACTCCAGACTTCGGGTTTGAACCAGTTCTTCTCTCTAGAAATCAAAATAAACATGTTGGCCCAATCCTGGAAAAAAAAAAAAATAAACAGAGAGGAACCTCCCTCCTTCTTAGGCGATGAGGCCGTGGATTTGATGTTCTGCTTCCTGTTTTCACGCTCTTCCTCCCTTGCCACCGTATCATTCCCCGGTTCGGGTTCAAACACCCAGGAAACGATTCCTGGGATAACCGTTCAACGCGTTCCTCAGGTATGCTGGAAAGGTGCGAGGTGTTGGGAAAGGGAATTGAGAGCTGTGAAGCCCTTTTATTAGCCGAGTCGAGAGCCAGTGCAGTTTGCAGAGGGGTTTTGTTGGCTAACTAATTAGTAAAATGTGACAGTTCAATACTTGTGAGACATTGCTAATGAGGCATTTTGCGATATTTTAACAATCTGATGATGATTTGGAATGTTAGAAAATCTCAATTTTGAGCTTTCAGGATGACCAATTGAGCATTCACCCCAGGTTGTAGAGGATTCATGGTGAATGACCTACTATGTAAAAATTATTTCTATGTAAAGTAGTCTGTTTGACCATATATATACACAAGGTAAAAGTACACACAGTTTATTCTCTGATAACTTCTGTGCCTTCCACGTATATTGGAGCAGCTCCGGGAGATAAAGCGTGCTCGGGGCAACAGTTTAATCTCCCAGTCCTCCGTAGAAACGCTATGAGAGCCGATTCTTGTTCAGCTCTAATAGTTGGGACCGTACCAATAATTAATCCGACCAGGTACTTTCTTTTGGATCCTTTGTGGACTCGTCCAAAGTCGAATGGCCGTTTCCCAATCTGCGGGTGAGCCCTGGGGGCTTGAGTTTGCACCAGAGAGCACTTTGGGTCCATTTGCGGATGGAGAGTACGCGCAGTGAGATCGCCGAGTAGTTTGTTATAGCACTGCCTCCCAAGAGTCAGATTGGCCTTGTGAGGCAACTTTTTCCCGGAAAGAAATTTGTCCCCAGACCGAGAGATAATTTCTTTATCCCAATCAACAAATTAACGCAGCCTACCCGTTAAGAACCCATGGCTTTGGCACGCATTTCCTCCATTTCGCGTTTCAGGCTCGCAACCGTTCTCTCCATCGAACGTATTGTTTCCTTTAATTCATCCGGCCTTGTCCCGTTCTCTGACTTGAGGGCCGCAATTTGCTTCTCAAGCTCACGACTCTCGTCCCGCCTCTTAAAGTAGGACTTGTATTCATTTTCTCCGTCGAAACAAACTCCGTAGCCATCACAATAGCAAACGTGTTCTTCGGGACAATATACCGGGACTCCACCGAGTACGTATTGCCACAGATACTCCCATACACGCCCAGACACCGAGTTCTTGATCGATGTGTTAAGAAGCCAATCGCGGTAAACGATGTATTTGTCGCGTGGGAGGCGGCGGATGGTTTCTGCACTCGCGGCAAACTGTGCACAGCAAGGTTGTGATAGCACCGCGGGCACAGGCGTGTCTGGAAATAGCTCTTCCCATACTTCTCCAATCACAGCTGATTCTGGCACATTCAAGACGTCCTCCCCCTTGACTCTCGGGTGGATATGCTCTGGGCAACCTGGGTTCCAATGGCAACGGAGATTCATATAGCCCTCGCGGATAACTCGTTCACTCCGCAAATGCTGCACCATCTTTGCAGAGTCCGAGTCCATAAAGTCATTGTTGTGCCATGTCAGCTGGTGAAAGTGCATAAAGATACTGACGTCGGGCAGCTTATCGTAGTGATCGATGATGTATGTCAGATAAACCATGGCCTCGTTCCCTTTGTTGCGTGGGACCGTAAACTGCGCATTTGGGTCATCGACGACATATATTGCTCCAGTTAGGTTTGGGTCTTCGCGAGTCAAGGCCTCTGCCCAGGCGGTATCGTCCTTTTTTTGGCTTGCAATGACCAGAGCGCGACTGTAATTCCGTGGTAATTCATCTGGAAGCGTTGAACTCGTCGGTACCGGAGAGTGTGATTGACCAGGGCTGGAAGGTTGTGTAAGATTGGGTCGGGGAGGATAGCTATTGCTTCTCAGCCGAACGTTTGGATGGAGAAGAATGAAGTAGCCCAAAATGACGACAAAGGCGAGCAGAGCGACGTATGTTCGGACCTGCCGCAAGTGAAACTGCATTGGACTCATAGCACTGTGAGCTTGTATCGACTGAGGGGATCGGTGACATTGTGTCAGGAAAAGGGTCGATGAGACTGGAGGGACAGCTTGATATATCAAATTCTCTCATCAAACGCCTAGCCGGGTCTTTGCCCGTTTTTAACATACCGCCGACACTTTTTCCCCCTTGCAAGGTTATGGAAACTTTCAGCAAGGGTTCGCAGCGGATAGGTCTCAAGGCGCTTGGAAACGTGCGTCCCAACGAGTGGCGTACGCATGATATCCAACGGGGCCGGCAAGTTTGGGGCTTAACTGTCGAGTCCTAACATGGCCAAGAGATCCAAGCCCAACTAGACGGAAAGCGAGCCATTGGCTCTTTTGATATTAATATAATCAGAGACACCTGTTCTTGAAGGATGGGAGTTGTTCGTTAGCTTGAAGATTCTTTGATGTTTGTTTTACTGCACTTGTCCACGTTCGCAGACCATGAGAGCCGACTTGTTTTGGTTCTTTGTAGCCCCATCAATCCTGTTCGCATCGTCAGATGCCAGGACATGCTATCTGCCGACAGGTGAAATTGCTGAGAATGATGCGCCTTGTTTTCCTCAAAACCCCGAGTCCTCATGCTGCGGTGGAAGCACCTATGTCTGCGCTACAAATAACATGTGCGCTTACTATGATGGCTCCTACTACATCATCGGTAGCTGCACGGACAAGACGTGGAACTCACCGGCTTGCTCATCTTATTGCTACTTTCGTTTGTCGGCCCCTTTCAGCTCCGTTTGAGCATTATCGATCGACTGACTCTGGCTAGGGGATCACATCCACAACTCTGTCTTCAGATGTGCAGCGTATGATGACACATACTGCTGTGCGGATGGGCCGCCCTGCAACTGTACCACGAGGGCGAATACTCAGAAAATATTGGACTTTCTGCCCCCATACTCCGAGCTTGTCGGCTCATCGGTCGCTCTCAACACAGACGTAGCCACAACCACGTTGCTGACGCCAGTTGGGGCGAAACGAACAACCTCATATTCCACGTCGCTAGAATCGTCAACATCCGCAACATTGACAACGACGGGCTCTACAGCGTCAGCCACAGTCGGTCCTCAGGTTCCTACCGAAGATGCCATGAGCGACACGGGCCTGAAAGTTGGACTGGGCGTGGGCATTCCACTATTGGCAATTGGGCTTGTCTTAGGCGCTTTGCTCTTGCGAACCAAGAGGAAGTCTCAAGCGACCCGCCACAGCAGCAACTATCCGGAGCAGGTAATTCCAGCCTTCCCTTTAAGCAGCCTATTCCTGCCTCAAAGCGAGCCGGATTTTCTGAAGAGTCGAAGAGCGGTTCTAATGGTTCGCTGTTGGGTATAGGGAGACGTTACGATGGGCCTGGCATCCCCCCACTCGCAGCCAGAGATACGGCATGAAGCTCCAGTCGCGAACGGAGAGTACTATAACACTGCCTACAAGCCGTTCCGGACAGGGCCGGTGTTTGAAGCACCGAACGAGCTATCAAGGGACCATTCTCCAGAGTGACGCGACTTGACCGGCGGTACTCACTGTGGACCGCCCTGTACATAGACTTCGATGGATAATAATAATAATAGGGCCCAGTGGTGCCGCCTTGCGGTTTGAACCTGGTTGAGCAAAAGGGAGAGCAGTGTTGGGTCTGAAGGACAAGAAGAATTGGCAGCGAGGGGCAGGGAATCCCAGGGTTGACGTCTGGCGGTCGGCTGAGGGAATTCTAGACGAGCCAGTCTGCTAACTAGTGGGCTCTCGGCCCGACACAACCCGTTTCTCGGCGGCTTGGCGGCAAATGCGCATCCAAAAAAACCAACACGGATCTTCATCTCCAACACTCGCTGGCCAATTGCTTCATCACCAACATGTTGGAGGTTGTCTTGATCCCAGGTGGCCCTGTTGGGCTGTAATCTCGATATTTCGGGGGCTGCTTGCTCAGCCGTCGATGAACCATGCCACTGTTTCAGTCAGGACAAGGCTGGCTTGAAGGCCCCCGAATCTTGGGGCGGAAATGGCCGGCGGTTCATTGAACAATAGCGAATGCCTGTTGGCAAGTCTACGGAGTTGGGACACCATATTTAGAGCTCACTTGCACGCAGCCCCCAGGCCACGCACGCACGAACACATCCTTGTCCATCGTTATGTTAGACGAACATGTTGATTGGATATCCAAGATGAAAACCAACTTGTTCGAAAGTGTTGATTATTCTCGAGTCAACCGTCGTCTTTCCCCACGGCTCTCTGAACATCCCGAGTCCGTTGGAGAAGCACTTACATGTTGAAGGCTGTGATCCCTTTCTGGAATATACCTGCTGTTGGGATTCCTATCAACAAGGAATATTGCACGTCATCCTTGGATACCTCAAAAGTATACCAACCCATTTCATTAATCCTGTCAGAGGTAAAGTGTGACATAAGTGGTATTTTCAAGTTCTCCCATATGTCAACAGGGGAATGTTTGACACTAGGCGGAGCCATCAGAGAAGACATATACAAGTTATTCAATTGCGGCTCGAGCCAAGCAAGGGGCCGCCTTATCGAGCTGAATGGAGATGGTATTTCGGTATTGAATGTGGAAATGTTCGTTGCGTCAACGACAATGTCGACGTGGGTTTCGTTAAAAAAAGGCCGGCAAAAAAAGTGCTATCTTCTGGCCGGTAGTTAATACATTTTCTGCGCCTGTGCTTGATGTATTTGTAACTGGATATCCTGTGATATTTTCGCATTGAAATGAGGCGTTCTGGTGCATTCGAGGAGGACAAAGGTTCCCCGATTCAGCACTGATGGGAAAGTTTCGGAGCCAAACGAACCCAGAGGTCTCTTAGATCTATTCTACTTATGATCATGTCGTTGAGTCGACAATGGAACTTTTACAGGTTTAAATCGGCATTTCTTCCCAGTCTTTGAAATAGCTGCTTGCAGCCTTATCGGACAACATAGCGCCGTATGAGTTCAGCCGGTTGGATCGTTCGCAGATTCCTAGTGGCGCATGCCTTTTCTCTCTCGATTGGTTTCCTCGGATGCTATCCTTCGATTCAAGTCATCGACCTTTGTCAATAGGCTAAATAATCCGCCGGCGTCTATGATCCCACAACCAACAGTACAGAAGACAATACGCAACCAAGGGGTTTAGGCTTCTTTCAAGTTAAGGTCTATGCGGTCATCTCTCATCCGTCAAATAATTCCAACATCCTTGCTCAATTCCGCTCCGTGTCCAGCCAACTCTGGGCAACTTTTCAAATCCTTGTACACACGGTCCGGAAACATAGCTTTGCTAATGGCTAATTAGCCCAGAGCTCGAAGGAAGCTGAACGTCCCAACTGCAATTGCCATATTACCCTCCGTGACTTGACGCTGAGGTAGGTAGCAAAAGCTAATGATGGCAGAAAACAATCTGGTCCCAGCAGGGAGCACCAGCAATATTCAGCCAGCCTGGTATGAACTCCCAAGACACATACCAACACACTCCAACGGTTGCTATGACAGATTCCCGCTGAATGGCCAAATGATTGGTACCTGTAGCACTGCATAAAATAGCAATGATCAATGCACTCGGGGCCACTGTAAAAGTCAAGGGAGAAAGAGCGACGCCGCTCAACATTTAGGTGACACTAGAGGCGGCCAGGCATACTGACACTGGAGGAAAGGCCCAACTTGCATTAAGTTGCAAGCTTGGATTTTGCAGAGTTGTCATATTCATTCAATCGTTGTGCACAAGAACTTTTTCTCGCATATCCGTACTCGACCAACGGGGATGAACTCAGACTACTTTTTTCACTGGCTGTTCGGTCAAGATATGGGGCTCTTCGAGGCAACGTGCCCCGCCCGCATAGCAATCCAAACAGATATCAAAATCAGCACCGTTACAGATCCCGCAAGAGAAGAATGAATTATTTTCCGGGATATCCAATGTACAGACATCGCACCAGCGGCATTTCTTCACACCCGTTCCTGGACTGAAGTAGGCGCTCGGGTTATTCTCGCACATCAACAGAGACTTCGTCTCTGCGTAGTCAAGTAGAAGTTGCTCTATGCCAGTATATCCACGCCTTCTAGCCCAGCATAACGGTGATCGACCAAAACAGTCTTTTGACTCAAGGCTGACATGCCCTGTAGCTAGCAGAATCTCGACTACCGTAGTGTGGCAATGTCGTACTGCTATAGACAATGAAGTGCAACCGTAATGATCTTCTAGGTCGGGGTTGTCGCAATAATCGCCGCTAAGCAACACCCTTGCTAAAGTGGCGTTTCCGGCCCGAGCTGCATAGAATAACGGAGTTCTGCCAATATTATCTCCTAACCTTTGAGGAGCGTTAGATTTTGCGAGGAGCAGCGTCGCAACAGTGTGCTCTCCATATTCGGCGGCATGGGATAAGGGAGTTCGACCACTTTTATCTTTAGTTTCAATATTAGCCCCTTTATCGAGAAGCAGCTTCACGACAGCATCCCATCCTCCAAGAGTCGCCCATGTTAGCGGCGTCCGACCATATCTATCTTTGGTCTCAATATCAGCACCCCCATCAAGAAGCAACCGGACGGCATCCGGCCATCCATTTATGGTTGCGCATGACAGTGGCGTCCGACCAGATCCATCGATGGCCAACTCGGTATCGATACCTTTTTCAAGAAGCAACTTTATAACAGCATGACATCCATGTACCGCCGCGCATAAGAGCAACATTTGTCCAACCCAGCTCTTTGCGCCAGCCTCGGAACATTTTCCAAGAAGAAGCTTCACAAAAGCAACTTGTCCATGTTCCGTAACCCGCCGCTTACATATCTCATAAAAAAAGGGAAATGGTGAAGCAATTTTTCCAATATCAAAATCGAAGTTACCTGTGTCGTGTAGTAATTGGAAGACGGTACCGTCATGGTCACCAGTAATAATATTAAACAAAACCTCTGGGTCCATCAAACCCGGGGCCGTTAGGCAGCAGGAAACAGACAAGAGATATCGAAAAGCCTCCATTCTACCATATTTGACGGCAACATCAGCTAGAGTTTGACCGCCGGATGATCTTTGATCCCATAGTCTGAGGCCCATATTGTCGTGCAAATAGCTTAAGATATCGATATTCCCAGTTCTGGCGGCGATAAAAGCGGCTGATATTTCAGTTCCGCGCGACAGGACGGGATTAGCTCCACGATTAAGCAAAAACTTTGCGACTGCAGTTCTTTTAAGGACTAAAGCAACCGCTAACGGCGTATCGCCCGTGCTATCTGCAGCATTGAGGTCTGCACCACGTTCCAGCAACACCTCGAGGATATCGAGTCTCTCCCACCTAACACAAGCAAACAACGCCGTAATTCCGGTCCAGCCAGGCTCGTCAATTGGCACCCCATTGTCAAGTAATATATTTGTGATTTCGGCATGGCTGGGTGAAGCGTTGGCGATAATCATCGTTTGAATCTCCGCCACTTTAGCATCTGCTCCTATGTCAATGAGCCATCTCACTATCTCCGCATGACCATTATAGCATGCAGGCGGAAGAGCGCCATTGAGGGTAACGTTACGACAACTCAAGCGTGCTGCGTGTGTGACTAGCACTTTTAAGGTCTCGAGATGACCCCCCATAGCACTCAACTCCAGCGGGGTGAGTCCGCACGGGCCACCGAGGCGGTCTATGCTAGCCCCGTGTTGGAGCAAGAAATCCACAACCTCCGTCTCGCCGTAGAATGCTGCGCCATGGAGTGGATTCCATGAACCCATATTGCTGGATCCATTGACTGGTACATTATTTTCAACGAGAAATCGAACAGTCTCAAGTTTACCATGTACTGCCGCGGAGGTCAACGCGGTGTCCCCAGAGTCATTGACGGAATTGATATCAGCACCGTGATATAGGAGTATTTTAACGGACTCTAGACGCCCATAACTAGCAGCAATATGCAAAGGCTTCGAACCCACAGAATCGCATCGAGCTTCCTTGTTTGCGCCTTCTTGATCAAAAGGGAACATTCTCTGGGAATTCCCCTTTTGACGCACGGCAGATAGGAGGCTTTAAGTATGCCTCCGATGGGTCAACATCAGTTTGGTAAGTCAGCAGAAGCTCGAGTAATTTAGGTGACGCGTATTCCGCTGCGAAATGAAGCGGCAGGATGCCATCATTCGTAGTGATCGCCGGATTTGCGCCATGCGCAAGAAGAAGTTGTGTGGCCTCGAACTGATTGTTTTCTGCCGAAACATGCAAAGGGGTGTAACCTTTTTGAGTTTCGGTGTCAACGGGGACTCCCGCATCAAGTAGCTGTTTTATCATGCTGGTCTCTTCCGAACTGGCAGCGGCGTGCAAACACGTCAATCCATCTGCTGAACTGCTTTTCGGATCCAAGCCATGTCGTAAGAGGAGTTTTACCGTCTCCCAACTACCGAGATAAGCCGCTTTGATGAGCGGTGAATACCCGTTGTTGTCTAGGATTTCAAGATCAGCCCCAGCCTGAATCAACATTTCCACGATTTCGTAGGACTTAAGCGCATACTCTTGATTCAAGGGAGTTCGACCTTGCTTGTTTTTAATGGACGTGTTTGCGCCTCTCTCTAACAGGATTTTTGCAACCTCAGGAAGGGGGAAATCGCACGCAAAGTGAAGTGGTGTACTACCAAAATCATTGAGGCAATTGACATCTGCACCCTTTTCGAGCAACATATCGATAATTATAGTGTGCTCTTCGGGATGAGTAGTAGGGGCTGCCACCGTGGCTGCGTAATGAAGAGGCAGATCGCCATACGCCTTATCCCGCTCATAAATGTCTGTAGCGGGGTCGTCCAGTAAGTGACGCACGAGAATAGATATGTGCGCTGCAACAGCAGCTGAGAGTGGGGGACCGGGTCCATAATGTACGTCGTAGTCCCACGCTCCCATTAGTTGTTGAACCTGTGTCGCGCATTCGTAACCGGAGCGATACTTCTGAAGGAGATCGAGAGCGCGTTGAAACACATCATCATCGATCTTCCCGATAACGCATCCTTCAGAGTGACAATCTGCCGCGGAAACGTACTGGGCCTGACGAACATGATAGGCCCAATTTTGGGCCGCATAGTTGAGCAAAGGGTGTGATTCTTGTCTTTTTTGAACCTCCTTTCTGTCCTCGTCTGTCACAATCTGCCCTCCATCAGGGTGTCGATTTCCCAGCCCTACCCAACCCAGCTGAAGCTCCTTGCACTGAAGGTAAGACATGCAGATGAGCGCCATTGTTTCATGGCCGTCTCGTATATCAATGCTAGGGCCGGATAAGGTGAGCTTTTGACCGTCGGCCCCCCGCTTGCAAACACTTAGAAGGTATTCTTGCGCGGACTGATGCACCAGCCGTACTGTGGGGCCAGTAGGGAGGGTCCACGCGCCTTCTTCTCCGTTGACCGAATGCTGTTTGGCCATATCCCTCTCGAAAATCTCAACAAACGGCACTAAGAACCTGAGAATAAAGTCAGACAAGGAGCGAAATAGTTTGTTCCGGTGTGGGACATTCTTGTCACTGGGATTGACGGCCAGCGCCACAGTCAGTTCCGAGACGGTCAAGGGGCGTCTGGCAAGAAGAATCCAATTAAGAACACGCTTCGCCAACGCAACCTGTTCAGTCGGCAACGATCGGAGAACTTTCGCCCAGCTTTTCTCATACAGTCCTTTTAATTCAAACGGCAGATCATTAATGAGCTCCTCGAGATCTTCATGCGTCGCGTGATAGCAATTGCTCATTATATCCTTCATAGCAAGCATGACCCATAAGAACATCCCGTCTGCTTTTGTAATCAATGTTTCCTGCATCTTTTCGGCCTCTTCATTGTCGAGATGAAGCAAAGTCTTGAGTTTGTAAAAATCACTTTGCATAGCAATACGGATATCAGATGTGACAGAAGATGGACGGATGAAGAGCCTAAAGCGTGTCCTACCGACATCGAGTAAAGTGAGAATATCGGAACGTTCACGACTGGAAAATAGAAGTTTGGTAGGATGAGTGTTGACCGGGGAGGATCGTACGTTTGACAAAGTGAACAGTCGTTGGAGCAACTCTTCAAGTCCCATCGGCTCACACTCATCAAGAGCATCAATCACACAGTACAGGGTCGGAAAAGAGCCATGCCGAATCAGGGTTATGAAAACGTGCCACAACGCTCCCAACGACCAGTTAGACGAGGCATTTAATCGTTGAACCTGGAGGATTTCTATATCGGGGATTGCCTTTTCAAATAGGCCTCGAGAGTGGTTAATGAGCTGTGCAATAAAGCCTCTCAGGATAGTAATTGACGTATCCGTCCTATTGACGCAGGTGCAGAAGTAGTAAAGGACGGCTGATTCAGGCCTTGCTGGTTCCCCAGTTTGAGCTTGTAGGTTTTTGACAATGCTCTTCATCAGCACAGATTTGCCGCTGCCCATTTTACCAACGACGTGTAGGATTGCCAAGGGCTCCGAGGTCTCGCGCCACTGAGTATATCCTGGAGAGTCATAAATCCAGGAAGCCGTCCCTTCAGCCGGCTCCTTTATCTGAAATTTATCATCGACGTAATTCGGCGGGTTTAAATAGTCCAGGAACTGGCGTGCGGATATGGAACCTGCATCATGCAGGTCCGAAGCATCGGTTGTGCTGGTCATGCCACTTTGAATTAAGGAAATTGCGGTGCGGTTGGTGGCATCAATGCTGGCGATCATATTCAGGTTCACAGCATTGAGAGCTAAGGTCAACGATGCCTTTCGTTTCTGCAACTCCTTTGCCAGCTCGTCCAGGTCGCCGAATTTGAATTGAATTCGGAGTGAGTGAAAGGAGCGCCCCCAAGACACGCTCTCTTTTTTTCGGTCGTCAAGTTCGAAACATCATGCAGGATCTTTTGGAGTATTTGTTCGATTTCCACGATGTCAGGCTCCAAAGCAAGTCTTTGGTCATTTCCCAAAAAGTCCATTGCTTTTAGCCTCTCTAAAACGGACTGAAGAATCTTCAAGTCAACTTGAAGCCGCCGCAGGCGCTCGGGCGCCTTTCGATAGTCATCAATCAGCTTCCACACGCGTTCGGCTACAGCAATCGCTGAGACAACGGTATTGAATACTTCCATTGCGGACAAAAACGCCGAAATATGCTCCCCGCCCGAAAGTATTGATGTTCGTCCTCATAGGGTTAATGATGTACGGTAATTCGATTCCTGCGATCCTCAGTTCTGTGAGCGAAGGATCAAAGTGGACGAGAACCGGAGCCTCCATGCGCAAACGTCCGTAAGGCTGCGCCACAAGGGAAATGTTTTGCAGGTGGGCAGGACATCATCGGGATATGTACGGCTGTGAGTATACAGAGTACTCCGTACATACATTGATTAGTTACTTCTTTCAATCTGCATTTGGGAGAGGTTCTTCATCGGATAAAAAGAAGTTAGAATGGATTGTCAAAGAATCTCACTTTACAGATTATAAGCTAAGCCAAACACTGAAAACATCAAACATCAGATAATAACTAACTTATTAATTAACAACTCCGTACATTCTTTTTTTTCGTGGGCCCAACACATGGTCTGACCTAACATAAGGCAGTCGGACCACCTCCTTGTATGTCTTGGATACAACTGTATGCCGCTAATCCGTGCCTCGTCGAAATGTGGAGGCAAATGCAAAATGAGCCAGAGCTAGAAACGAACGGAAATCAGGTCATTCACTGCATGTCCCACGCGGGACATACGCAGCCTCAAGAGTCAATACAACTTCTCTTCCCCAATAGATATTGCATACCAATACCCAGCAAATCCATTTCAGCGCCAAATGAGGAGCTTTCCTCCGCAGGTACATCCGATGGATGTACATGTATGCATTCAAAAGGGGAGAAGTATCCGATGTCCCTTGTATCCAGAACTTCTATCCAATGGATTCAATCGTCCATTTGGTCCGAAAGACAATCAAAAGCAATGTCCCGGGAACTGCTTTTCAACATGACCCACGGCACCTAAACTCGCCTTCAAGGCTCCTATGACTGGCAAGGACGTAACCCTGTGCCAGTTCAATACATGCGGCGCTTCTCGAGGAAGATTGTATCAGGATCTATCAAGTGTCGTTGAATTTATGTTTAGAAGCTCTCTTGCCACCGCTGTTCCAGAAAGGTCTAGAATTGCTGATGAGCACCCAACCGGGTCTGGAATATAGTTATGTTGCTATTAGAAAATGACCACGAGAATCGTTTGTTCAAGAGCATTTGAAGTCTGAGATTGACATGTTTTAATGGTTATGTGGCTAAATGCAAGTGCTACAACAAGATCCACATAACGACTCCAAACTAAGGTTGAAAACTCCTATACATGAAGATACATGAAGGTAAATACTTCAGCTAACCCATGCTTTTTGCCTCGCAAGCTCTCCCAAATTGTTTTGGACACATCCAATCTCTGCGGGACAGCTGTTAGACCTGGTGCAGGTAACTCATCTCGACATTGATTCCAGGGCCCATCACGCATGCAATCATGTTCTTTCGGCCATCTCCCATCTGTGGCAGGCGATCCATAACATTCAGGATGGTTGTGCTGGAGCTATTCTCATTGTTTGTGTAGATGTCATAGCTGGCATGCAGATGGTCTTCATCAAGCTTCAGGCTTTGCCATACAGCATCAACAATCAATATTCCGCCTGGGTGCAAGACCCAGTCAAAGTGGTGAGGATTTTTGTGGGGTTTTGGAAGGCCGCATCTGCTCGCCACTAGTTAGTTCCTGTTTTTGGCGCAGGATGTGCATAGTTACATCAAAACTAGTTGACGACTCTGCAGTTAGTTACCTGGCTGACATATCTGACAGTTATGACGAAAGTACCTATCTTATTTCTAAGTATAAGTGAAAAAAAAGTTACTGTTATTGTAGTAAAAGCCTGGGTCTCCTGTGTATTCAATAACTCCCGCGGGGAAATGAGAAGCCTTTTCATTTCAAGACTAGCGAATAAGCAGCAAGTAGGAGGCTATTTCATTGTTGTGCTGGCGATTGACGGCCAGAATTCTAGATAGCTTCTCGAGATCCACGTAAATATCGGGACTTGTTGAGCAACACTTACTCTACACTCTACTCAATAAAAACTGGGGAGTTCTGTCTATATGTCACTTCATTTTTGCGAGAAAGAGATAGAAATCATTCGCTAAAGAGACCGAGTCTTCGTCCGACGCCGAGGTGCATGTAATCTGAAGCGACGTCTTTTTGGCTTTGTTCTCAAATCACTAAGACACGGAGCAAAAAACATCTTTTGAGTAGCGATTCCCCTTATGGTCCCAGCTGTAACAATGAGCCAGAGCACCACAACTGCAACGGACAGTATCTGTCAGATATCCCCTAAGGATCAGCGGAAATGTCTGTTGAAGATAAAAAAGGCCAAACGGAGCCATACTTACCGTCCCGACGATTTTGAAGAATTTGGACGGCATTACTCTTGATATCAGTATGGTAGCATTCGCGTAGACTCCCAATGGAAAGACGCTACCCCACCAACCAATCGTGAAGGGAAACCGTTTGCATCGAATCAAAGAGACAACGGCGACGAATAGCCAGACGGCTCCAAAACCCCATAGGACCAGGGCTGTGACATATCCAGTCGTTTCGAGTATGTTCCCAGCGGATTCGTCTACGGTTTTAGTGATGGGGAAAACCCTCTTGGCTTGAATACCGAGGTCAAGAATACTATGATAGTCGTTATCAGATATTCCGCTTTCCTGATACCAAAAAGGGGTTCAGGTTGTATGAATTGCACCTACGTAAACGCTCCCTGTCCCATCGGACCTAGTGGCAGACAAACGCTAACAATCACGTTCCTCGCAGGGATCTTGTGTAATGCCAGGCGTTGAAAGTAAATCACCAGGATCATCATTGCAAGGCAAATGCCCATGCCCCATAGGATGTAGCTAGAAATTATTGTCCAGAGCGCCATCTGAGGATCGGGAAGGGCGCTGGCAACCACGGAGCCCGTGGCTGCCGCAACAATCGTACTGATGACTGGTAGCAGCCATACTGCAGTCACGGATTGCAATTCAATCTGTCTCCCTGGTATCATTCTAAGCAAGTTAGCAGAGCTTTCTACCGAATGGTACGAGGACCGGATTGAATCGCGACTCACAGAAGGAAAGGCAAACACAATGCGCAAAGCGCTGCAACCACTGAATCAGCGATCCAAAAAGCCCATGCAACAATGGTAACCCAGGAGCCCCAAGCAGGAGAACAAACACTTATCATCATGTTGATGATCGTTGAAAAGCCCATGGGAAATGTCCCGATGAACATGGACTGAAACGGCTCATTGACCATCACTGTCCAAATCTCGGGATAGAGGGCGTATCGCAAGATAGTGATGACCAACGCGATGCCGAATAGGACAATGTTCAGTCCGAAGATGCCAACTGAAATCCAGTATAGCCAAATGCCGTTATATGGGAGATTGTACAGCAAGATGGACACAATCCCGGTCCCCATCGTGACTGTAAACCACCTATGGTCAAAGAATCGTTAGCTGACTTATCCCTGGGGAAACGCAAACGATCTGATAGCAGGCGCTGCGGCGCATACGAAGGGGTAAAGTTGCGAACTATCTTCCGCCATCCTCTGTCATATTTGCTGAGATCCAGGCCCGGAGGAGGCTGGAACTCTGGGTCCCTTCCGACTCCATTCTCAACCGGTTGACCATTAGGCGGTGGAGGGTAGCTAGGATACGGTGCTGTTCGCGTTCTAGATGACTGGACTCTTGCGAGGTTTGCAAGTTCAATAGGCATAGGGTGGAGGGCGACCAGGGCGACCAGGCAAGATGGGTATTATGGTGCCTGGCTTGAATGGCATTGGGCCTCGAAAAATGTCCCTTCGGGAATGTTCCATTTTAAGTTCGGATTCAAACTGGATGAAAGGAAAATTTGTTACATCATGTTCAAACTCAATGGGACTTTGTGTTTTGAAGCTTCACCAAAATATGGTTAGAGCTGTTGCGCGAGAGAAAGTGAAGAGAAGGAGGGTTGCAATTCTATCCGAAAAGGATTTGGCAACTGAACAGAATGTTATGCATTGATTGGTTATCTATTTTGGTCCAAACAGGGCTTTGGTAGTGTCATAGGTGTAATTCAGATCCAAATGCCAGTAGTTTGCTGTTGTGGGCTTTGCTACAAGCCATGCCTCGTCTAGTGCGGCAAGCACATCCTCAGGCAACGGGCCCTTTTTAATGTCTGCTAGATTTTCTTGCAGCTGCTTCAGGCTACTGACACCGACGATAATGCCATCATTACCGCCGTCCTTGATGTTCAAAGCAGAGTGGTGGCAGAGCCATCGCAGAGCGATTTCAATCAAAGTCAGGTTATGCTTCTGGGCAGCTGGTTCGATGACTCGGAGGGCGTCAAATGTCGCATCCTTGAAATAACGATTCCGATACAGCCTGCCGGTGGTTCCGTGGGCATCGCTGTATCGTCCGTCTGCTGGAATGTCTGCGGTTTTATATTTCCCAGAAAGGATCCCTCCTGCAAGCGGATTATAAATGACGATATCAATTCCGTATCTTTTGCAGCAAGGAATCAATTCAGTCTCAATAGATCGTGCTACGTTTGCTCTGTTAGTCTCAGGCAGAATAGATGCACGGGCTTCCTTACTGATGGCGTTGTACATCCCCTGATAAACGGTGGGCCGTACCCAACCGCGTTCATTGCACATTGTGACAATCTCCGCGACTTCAAATGCCGTATAATTACTGAGCCCCAACTGAACGAATTTCCCCTCTACATGCAACTGATTGACAGCTTCCAAGGTCTCAGCAAACGGAACAGAACGGTCGGCCGCATGCAGGTAGAAGATGTCAACACAATCAGTCTGCAGCTCTTTCAAAGATTTCTCCAAGTTCTGCCGGATCACTTCGGGCTTGTGGTCGCCGGGGTTGCGGGGATACCATTTGGTAGCGATTTTGAACCCCCGTTCTTTCCAGCCTGCCTGGGCGGTGAATGCTTCTTGCTGGCCTCCAACGTAAATCCTTGCGGTGTCAATTTCGTAGTGGTTATTCTCCGACAGACAATCAAGGCATTTCTTGAACTCGTCAAGCGAAGTGATCCGCGCGCCTTGTCTTTCATCGGGCCCGAAGGTCATCAGCCCAAGGATGACTCGGGGACCAAGGTTCGGGAGCACGAGAGGCATATCGATGGAGGTTCAGCACAGCGATTCTTCGATTTCGGATTCAGATCGGGAGCGAGTTGTGGATATTGCAGAAGGTGGAGCAGACAATTTCATCCGCGGTTTTAGCTCAGTTGGGAGAGCGCATGACTGAAGATTCAACTTCGGGAGGTAACAACTGAATATCATGAGGTCACCCGTTCGATCCGGGTAAATCGCATCTCTTTTGTAGTCTTTTTCCCTTTTTTTATTTTTAGGCTCTTTTGCGTGTGAGATTCAACTTCCAGGTTTTCGGATAATGTTTGTCACCACTTTTTCGGCTGCCCCGCGATTACGAACAACCCCGCGGCTAACGGCAAATTCCATAGTCCATCACGGCGTGTTCTTCACCCGCTGGAGAGCCGTTCTCTGCGGGTGACATAGGCCCAGTCAAACGGTTTATTTACTCTGTTCTTTTTGTTAACGGGAGATGGAGGGCGTGCTTGGCATTCCATATTATATAATACATTCACGTGACTAATGACATAATGCGGCTGAACCCCTGATCTGCCACAAGCCACCGCGCAACCTTCGAGGCCAAGCTGGTTTGGACGGAAATCGAGAGACTCCCGTGAATTCTCTTCGATTCGCCTTGCGACCTCGCTTGTCAATATCTACCGTTTATTGGTCTTTGACCTCGGGATTATACGCACAGAAAGTCGAAAGAGAACCCCGTGTTCCATAATCCACTAACTTTGACCCACCGTGTTTCTTATTGCATGCACATTGTGCTCCAATATTCAACGAAGCCACCATTGTTCGCAACCTGCAGGACAAGCAGCCAATGTCCGTACAGACTGCAGACAAAGGTTGATTGCCGTTGAGGCCGATTTCGCACACGCATCTATTGATTCGCCGTATGACCCTAACCACCTCGCGACTCCCGCATGGATGACGACGGTTCCCAGGAGCCAGGGTGATTTTGGTAGGATTAACAGAGCCAGGTCTATCAGTCCGAATACAGGCCCAGAACGAGCCTCGCTGCACAGACGACACCCCTCGGGCCACGAGGAAGATTCGACCGTGCCTTCTTTGTCAGCTGCATCGAAAAGACGTGTGGAATTCAGGGATAGTTCACACAGTGTGGCGGGCGACACTTCACGTGCAAGCAGTTCACGGGAGCTTGGTACTGAGGGAGAGTCGGAGGACGATCTGACAGACGACGAGATGGCTGTAGCACGCCCGTCGCTAAACCGGCCAGGTGCAAGTCGGAGCAACGTGCCTTTGTTGAAAGAAGAGCGTCGTGGACGGCCGCAGAACGCAACGTTTGCCAGCTCCGCGACGAGTAGAGCTGTTTCTGACGCGAGCCGACGGTCTTCTTTCCGAAGTAAGACCCCGGATTACGATTCCACTCGCGCTACCCGTCGGAAATATATCATCGCCTCTGTCTTTCTGATCCTGAGTTTGATCAGCTTCACTGTCCAAACACAGACAGCTGTGTTTATCCAACAGGAGCTTGGGTGGGATAAACCATATTGCATGCTGTGAGTCACGCGGTTGCAGATGGCCTGAAGGCGCCGTTTTCTCTTCTCCGTCTTTCCCTTATGAACCCCATTTAATCCATTTTCTTGAACACTAGTTACATGACCCATGGCTCGTGGATCTTCCTATGGCCGGTTCAACTCCTGATCCTCCGGTTCCAAAAGCGGCATTTATCCTGGGCCGCATTCTGGCGCCGACACGTACATATTTTATGGACGACCGCGCAGATGGTAGAATCCCAGGATCTCCATCTTACTTCTCGCGATACCCACAAATCCCCTATTCGGTACATACTAAGGACGGTTGCTCTCGTCACGACTGCCCTCACGGTTGCGGGAGGGTCATGGTACGTGGCTGTCAACTTGACTACGGGCAGTGACTTGACCGCGATTTATAACTGTTCCGCTTTCTTCGCCTATGCATTCTCGATCCCTCTGTTGAACGACAAATTGCGGTTTGACAAGGTATTTTCCGTCGGAATTGCCATTGTTGGAGTTATCATTGTCGCCTATGGTGGTGGTCACTCCGAGGGTGTACCACCAACTGAATCGGAAGCAGAGAAAGCGTCAAATCGGACACTAGGGAATCTTATCATTGGCGTTGGAAGTGTGCTTTACGGACTTTATGAAGTTCTGTACAAGAAACTCGCTTGTCCCCCTGAAGGCACGAGTCCCGGGCGAGGCGTCATTTTTGCGAACACAATCGCAAGTTTGATCGGTGCCTTTACACTGCTCGTGCTCTGGATCCCTTTGCCTGTACTTCATGTGCTTGGATGGGAAAGATTTGAATGGCCGCAAGGCGAAGCAAAGTGGCTTCTTTTCATTTCAACCCTCTCCAATGCTAGTAAGTCACACCTACTAATATCTGTCGTTGCTGACTAGGGATTACTGACTCTATATTTACTGTTTAGCATTCTCCGGCTCCTTCCTGGTTCTCATTTCCCTCACCTCCCCTGTCCTCTCCTCCGTTGCTGCCCTCCTTACCATCTTTCTTGTTGCCCTTGTGGATTGGAAGATGAATGGCAAGCAGCTTAGCGGCGCATCGATAACAGGCGGGATCCTGATTATTATTGCATTCTTGATGCTGAGCTGGAGCACATATCGCGAAATGGACGAGGAGAGACGACGGAGGTTGGAGGAAGAAGGCTCAGACACAGAAACCGATGAGTAATTGTCCCTCAATAATTTGTTATCTTGTGGCTCTTTATAAGACGGCTCTATAGGGGGTAACTTGTGGCTTTCTGGGTTTCTCCTATTTTCTCCTCTAATCGGGCTGCATATGCATTTGATAGACTAAAAAAACCCTTTCTTACCCCTTTCTACACTGGGTGGATGACTGAACACTTTTTCTGCACATGCATGGACTTAGAGCTGGTACCATTTACCTTTATGGGCTATTGCTGATGGATATTATCATATTTCTGTGGGACCTCCCCGATTATAGATCGGGGTTTATTTTAATACATGGTCTCTTTCCGAAACTCCAGGGCCAACAAGGATAGTCATGAAAGATAAGGCGAAGCGAAGCGGAAATTGAATAATATGTGATTTAAACTGATTGATTCTTCGTGTGGATACTATCTAGGGCCAAGTTTTGATAGAGCACGAGCGCCTTGTTCTTGCCATTCCTGCTTGGAGATCCACATGTTGTCTTTATCTGCGAGCTGTAGTTGTTTGATGACTTGAGTTAGTAAACAGGAATTGTGGCGACTGGTCAGAAAAAGTCCACTTACAAGATTGGCGAGCACAGCGCCGCCGAGGAAGACCATATGTCGCCTGCGAGGAGGGTCTTCGATGCGGACTTTGAATTTCTGTAATACGGATAAAAAAAGCTGATTAGTACATGCAGAGCAGATGGTGAAGACGACGGGCATTTTCTCACGTTTAGTCTTTCGGGATTTCCTCCCAACACTCTCGTCAACCATAGCTGCTTCAGCTCTTTTTCGAGCCGCGAAGGAAGGCCGGGGTACATGCTGCTCCCGCCGCTTAGCACAATAGCCTTGTACAAACTGCTTCGAACGTCAACATCCGCAGCTTGGATCGTGTTGAACAAGAATTCTGCAATTCCTGGCTGTTCCACGTCAACCAAATGGGGCTGGAACAGGCACTCTGGGGCCTCGAAGCGTTCACTTCCGACTCGGATGACTCGTCCGTCAGGGAGCGTGTATGATTCTACGAGGACGGTGGTGTCTTCGGATAATCGCTGGTCAAGCTCTAAATCATAGGAAACGTAGCAGAGTTTCTCTTTAATTTGCCGTACGGTTTCAAAGTCAGCGGTTCGGTTTAGGGCGTATCCACGGCGTAAGAGGAGAGCGATGAGGTTGCGGGTGACGTCGCGACCGGCAACGTCCAGCCGGCGAGTCAAGTGATTCAAAACCGTGGATTCGTAGACGGGCACAATGTGTGTTACGCCGTCGCCGGAATCGACTACGACGCCGCTGCTTAGACCTGATTGGAACCGTGTGAGCAACGAGTCATGAGAAACGAGCGTGTACACCGAACAGTGGGTGCAGTACCTTGGGCGTAGAGTGCTAGAACAGCCTGGATTGCGACGTAAACTCCGCCAAAGTTATACCCTTCAAACATAACCTCACACATCTGCTCCCGGTTCTTGAGAGGATTCATGGGCGGCTCAGTGAGCAGGATCTTGCGGCCGGTGGGGTCAATCTTCATTTTGTCGTAAAATGTATAGTTCCACAGGTGTTGCATGTCGTCCCAGTTCCGCACGATCCCGTTCTCCATCTAGCATCACGCAAGGTCAGCACCGGTCCTCCTTCAACAGGCCAAGGCAGCACCGTTGGAGGGAAGCAATTCCCAAGTCCGGATAGCCCCACGATTGATTTCAGCGTACTGGATAACTAATCTGCAGCATCGACCTCGCAGCAGCAGCCTCATCACCACACATAATATCCTTGACCACGATGTCACCCGCCTGCTCTTCCGACCGGAGAATCGGACGCCCCACTATCGAGGGGAACTGGTGCTCTGGGAAGTTCTGCGAATTGCCGGAGCAATGCAGGTTAGCTCGAGTAACGGCTCGTTTCGATTTACTGGGAGCATACCTGGCCTGCATATCCGACTTTTAAGAAACCGGTCCCTCCATCGAGAACTGCGATTGTGAGTTAGTGGTCCTCTGGTTGGTAGTATGGATGGCACCGGAGGTTGGGTTGCGACATACCAATCGGAGGTTCAGCTGCCATTTTGGGGAAGATTGGTGATGGATCAGTCGCTCAAAAAGGTGGCTATAGAAATGAGAGCAAGGAGCAGGAGGAATTATCTCAGAGGAGTTGGGTGTCGCTCTCGCCGTGTATACAAACATGTCGGCGGAGTTGGAGGTGATGATGCGTCTCCCAAAGGGGCTTAGTGAGCGACGCCTGGGCTCAATGCAAATAAGCATCTCAGTACTCCGTATGGAGCAATTATACCCAAACCAAACGACATCTGAAGGGATTAAACTGGTATATTTCAGCTCTACCACAGCTATAGACTCTATAAATGGGTATTTTAATCAGAACATTTTTTCGATCCCCGAAAATCGCTTGTGCATGCATGGGACGAATGAAGAAAGTTATCCTTTCGAGACATGCTATAGTTAAAGAAGATGATTCTTTCACATGGTGGGAGAAAAACGAAAAACAGAAGACACTCTCCTTCTACACTCCCTGATGATAGACAACGCCGAGCCCAAATCCTGAGATTTTATGCGACTCTTAAGATAAACAGCCGCTCCAGACGCTATTGTAAGCCAAAGTTCAACAGATCATGCTCCATTTGTCGCTGTATCCCATGGACTCGTTTTAATGCGACAGGTATCGACCAAGCCAGGATAATGTTTGGCGAATGCTGGCCCAAGAGACCAGTTATTCAGGTTCCGCAGGTGCCTTTCAAAAACCGGGTTGATCACATATTCCTCTGAATTTGGAATCGCCAGTAATGTATCCGAATCCGCGTACGGCCAGTTTATACTTAAAGTTGTTGTGTAGGGAATAAACCAGTTGTTAAAGTCGTAGTCGGTGTATGAAGCGATCATACGATCACGCATGCGTGGCCACGGAAGGTAGTCCATCCACGCTGGATGCGGCGTAACGAGTTGTGAGGTTCGCGGCGTAATCCATTCGGGTAGACGGTCGTAGTTTTCCCGAGTCGGGTAGATTTGCCAGCGCATGAGTAAAAACATAACATAGACCACAGCAACCTTTTCGGGGAGATCCCTAATGTCCGGAAATTTGCTAATAATGTCAGTGAAGACTTTGGACAGAGGGTGGGAATTAGCGCTTTTTTCTGGATTGAGGAGAGATGAAACGCTAGGATAAGGCGGTCCAACAAGGTGGCCTTTGGAAACTCCTTCAGCAGCCTCTCTTTGGCGGCTGCGAAGAAAGTTGAGAAGGATACAATCGAGCGGGCATGTTGGCTCAGCATTTCGGACAGGGATGCCGAACGGCGGTAAGGTCGTGTCAAAAAGGTTATTCGGAGGAACGGGGAAATTTTGCTGATACCGGGGTTGAACATCATAGGAAGGAGATGTAGTCTGAGGGCTCATTTCTTGAATTTTCAGGCCCTGTCTGGAAGAGTCGACGAGAAAGTTCAGACCGAGCCTTTCCCCAGAGCCAGAAAACTCCAGACCATGGACAAGGTTGCGCTTCTGAAAATCGAATCCATTACATGATTGTAAACCCTGTTCGTTGAAATGAAAATATGAGGGATTCGGGTGCCAGTTGTGTTTGTATCCCTGTACCGTACCAGAAAGGGATGGCGAAGGACTATGAAGCCCTCGTTGTGACCCGTCATATGTCGTGCCGCCTGTCAGCGACTCAAGGCTAGCCGGAGTTCTCACAGAATGGTCAGGCGGGTGCGAAAGAGAGTCTCGTCGTTGTGATGAAGTGTCTGAATGGGGATCGGGGGAAGGAATGGCCGAGTCTAGGTGCGATGCCCACACGCCAAGGGGGTCAAGCGGCGGGCGCGACTCTTCTGCGTCGCCGTTGTTACCACCAGTTGGGCCAGTACTGCTCCTCGAATTTGCAGAGGCTAGAATGGGGCGGAGGATAGCCATTACAGACCCCAATCGTCTCCGGATATCTTCATTTTCCGCTTGGGCCAGCTGCTTCTGCCGCAAAGCCTCCTGAAGATCCTGATAAGGCTGCTGTGAAGTCAACTCTTGAACCCGTCTCTCCAGCGCTTCTATTTGTGCCTTTGTCCTTTTCCGAATGGCTCTTTGAGCTTCCCTGTCATTTGCACGTTTCTTCGCTAATTGCTCAGGCGTAAGGTTCGCAACGCCGCGAGATGTAGTGGGTGCCTTTCTCTTCTTCCCGACAATCGAGCCCGTCATCGGTGGACTGGTGCCCCGGCGGTCGTCATTCCGCTGCATGCCAGGAGTCTGATCAAATTCGCAGTTTTGTGGAGAAATCGGGGTCGAACCTGGGGTATGAGCGTGGGAGGGAGGATGCGACGCATGGTCCATGGCGACTGGCGGCCAGACAAACCCGACTGGCTCTGCCAACCGAAGCTGGCAAAAGCGGGCAAGATATCGACTGTCCGGAGTCAATTCAAGCGACAAGGTGAATTGTGCGCGTCAGTCACTGGAGGGAAGAAGGAACCTCAAGCAGCTGGAAAAATGGAGTGGGACCGTGGGGCAAATATGGCCGGACGTGTGGGGGATGCAGAGGAGCAAGAGGCGGTTCTCAAGCGGAAATTCGCGGTCGAATGCCACTTGTAGACGTATTTATGCATTGAAGTCGCGATCTGGGCAGGTCAAGGAGTGGCCCAAACTCCAGATGGCCGCTGCAAGGGCTCCCAGATCATGGCTGACTGTCTGAGGCTGTCCATCGTGGTGGTCGCCGTCTGCGGGATGCAGGCCAAACGCCACACAGGAGCTTCGGCCGCCCGTTGGCCTCGAGCCCGGGCGCTAGGCTGCGCGTGGTTAGCGCTTGGCCAGATCAGGCAAAGCGCGGGGCCGCCACATCAGCCAGACCTCGTGGCTTGGCACGGAGATGAATCGCTGAAAAATCGTTTCAACCTCGCGTCTGATGAGATGATGAGCACCAGAAGAAAGCATCCTGTCGACGAACCAAGCAGGAAACGCCTGAGTTCCATGGAAAATTAGCCATGCCAGAGGGAAGAAAAGAAACCCATTGCGTAATGGGTTAGAGCACTCAGTTTTCAATGGCCGGATGACCAGGGTGTCCGTTCTTGTCAGTCAGAGCTGATGAGGCTGAGAAAAGAATCAGCAGTTTTCGCGGGACTGAGGGAGATTGGCTGATAATCCTCGATGGAAACGCTATTTGCAGCTCTTGGGTCGCCATGCAGCTAGACAGTCGATGCCCATTGGAGTTCACCAAGCCTGTCTGTCACAGAGCGACCGTGATGAAGGCAAGCGGTTTTTTTACGGCCGCCGCTTGTCTAATCCTCGAAGTTGTTTTCGCTAGCTCGGCAAAGAGATGGTCTATTGTCCACGCACATTATTGTACAGCCCATTCTCAAGGAATAGGACTGTATTCCGCCTAGAGAGGAACACGGCGATGACAAAACGATTTCCCGCTCGGAGCGGAACCCACTTTTCTTAACCGCTCCCATTGGCTAGATCCTTCTCCGGGCTCTCAAGGTAGATTTGGCTTCGAAAAAGTCCGCCCGAAAACACCCCCAAGGTGATATTCATCATACAAACGAGTTCTGCAAATGCTTGAGCACCAAAGCACCTCTAGAACGTCACAGTCAAGCTATTGCCGTGACTAAGCTAGCGTTTAAGTGAGGTAAATGGAGGTGAAAATGTCTCCGCAAAAGTTTCCGCAAAGTTTCCGCGAATGTTCCCGAAAATGGGCTCACAACCAACTTCTACAAAATCACATGATTCAGGATATAGGTAGGAAAGGGTATAAATAGGGGCTCCATCCTCCCTCTCAAGCCCTCAACAGTTGGAAAATACATTCATCTTATTGCGAATTTCCAGACTTGACTTTTTCAGAAATCAGAAATATTACTATGGCGCACCATCATCACCACCATCACCACCACCACCACGAAGGGCATTCGGCAGGCATTGCTTCCAAGAATGAAGCGTACTGGAGGTATGCTCCTCTTTTAACCTCGCACTTTCTCACACTTCTACTCTAGATGTCTCTCGTATAGCTTGTGTGGGCAATCAACAACAGCCAAACTTTGCTAACTGGCTTGTACAGTGAAAATGCGGAGACAATTTTTGATCAGGATTGGATTCGTGCTCTTGGGCTTCAAATCGAAACCCATTTGAAGGAGAACCTGGCCTGGATGGGTATCGATCCGAAGCAAAATGAAGGGAAGAAAATGCTGGACTATGCCTGTGGTGACGGATTACTGTCCCATGTATGCCATTATCCGATACAAAATTGCGTTCGGTGTCAGCCAAGGATTCGTCAGTGGGTGAATCATTCCTAACACTTGATCTGCTAGATCCTCCATCCCTACTTTGCCAAAACCATCGGGCTGGATCTAGCCGAAGGTATGGTCAAGAGATACAACTGCCGTGCCCAGGATGCTGGGATACCAGAATCCCAAATGCATGCCATTGTTGGGGACATTACTGGTCCCGAGGTCACCCCGTCCCTTGTCGAAAACAAGGAGCTTTTCGACTTTGACCTCATTATCAGCTCCATGGCTCTGCACCACATCGAGAATCCTCAGCACGCAATCAATCAGCTCTCCGAGCGACTTCGACCTGGCGGTGTGCTGGTCATCATCGATTTCGAAGCTTCGAAAAACGGCGACGCCTGGGTGAAGTCTGATTCACCGGCAGCGCATACCATTGCGCATCATGGGTTCGATCAAGCTGACATGGAGAAAATGCTCAGCACCGCTAACTGCAAGGACGTGGAATTCGTGTTGCATAAAGAGGAAACCGTACTCCCACCGCATCTAAGTGGCACGAAGCAGTTGTTTTTTGCCCGTGGACGGAGGGAATGAACCACAGAGTTGAATTCTGGAGATCATGCAACTGGTTTCGATATATAAAGTACCCGTTTGGAATTGGGATGTCTCTAGATCGAATATAGGTATACACTTTAACTGTTGGGAATCAGAATGAAACACTTCGCACAGAGCAAACGAAAAAGGTATTTGACATTGATCATTGTAGAAGGCACTGTTGTTGTACCTCAAAATAGCCGGCTCGCTCCTAAATACCATAACCTCTATAAACAACCAACACCGCGATCTCAAACCAGAACCATAAAAGGGATACACCAGAAACCGTCTCAGAATTAGTTAGCCTAGCAAGTGGCCCATTTTCCCAATCTAAAGAGCGACACACTGTTAGCTTCATAGTAGAAAAGATGTAAAATCACATCGACTCACCTTCGTCTGCAAATAACCTTCTATTTCCGTACTTCGAATTCCCTTCTCCCCATTGGTTCTCCAAGCCAACGGGACCATCGGAACTCTCTCCTTAACAACGACCTCCCGATTTGGGCCCTCAACCGCTCTGATTTTGTCAGGGTTGTTCGTAAGAAGCCGAATCCCAACATTCCCAGCATCGACCCCCAGCCCAAGATCTACCAGCATAGCCGTAGCCAAGCCATAGCTACGCGCATCCGCTGGATGTCGAAGAAGTAAATTCGCTTCCACCGTGTCCGAGCCGAGATCCTGCAAGTTATAAGCCTTGAGCTTCTCGCCTAGCCCGATCCCTCGGCCTTCTTGTCGTAGATAGATAATCACGCCTCCTGTGGACTCTGGTTCGGACATCAATCTCGCAGCTTCGTCAAGCTGCTCGCCGCAATCACAGCGGGCTGACCAGGCAGTTTCGCCGGTGTAGCATTCTGAATGGATCCTAACGAGCGGAGCCTGTATCCCCTCGCCCGCGCCCTCACTGGATATTTCACTGCTTTTCTCTCCCAGTAGATTTTTCGTCGAGGCTGCTGGCGGTTCGCTTTCATCCTGATCGTCTTGCCGACTGCTGATCCGACCCGGCCGCAATCTACCTACATATGCACCGCGAATCATCCTATCCATCTCCGTCTCCCCTTCCCTCACCCGGTCAAGACTCCTGCTCCGAATATTATTCCCAAATACAATAGCCAAATGCTCTTTATTATCAACATCGTTCTGGTAAAGATGCAAGAACATCTCTGAGCCGCTGGTGGTTGGTATCCGGGCACGCACGATACATTCGACGTTGGGTAACCGCGGCAGTAGCTTCGGAGGTCTGCTCAATGCGGGTCGATCTTTTAGCCCGGGTTGGGGCGATAGGAGAGAAGGGAGTAGATTGCCAGGCGTTGAAGGGGGTGTCAGGGCGGGGGAGATGATCGAGTTGGGTAGCGACGGCGCGGCCGCACTGGCTTCGGCTGTGTCATTATGGCTGGTTGGGTTTATTTTTTCGTCTATATTTGCGCTGCGATGCGCATTTGGGGCGGTTGAAGTTGAAGTTGAAGCGAACCCGAAAGGATTGCTTGTGAGGGAGTATTCTGCGAATTTTTTTTTTGGATGCACGGGTTGCGGGGCGAGATATGGCGACGCGTGGGATGGGAAGTCAGGCATTTCGCTTCACGTAAAGTCAGGACAGAAGCAAAGGCTAACTGAAGCAGTCTGGGACAATTAGACAATTAAACAAGCCAGAAATGAATTGATCCTGTTCTTGAAATCTAATCTGTTCGGAAGGGCGTTAACCTCTGCTTGACGGGAACCTCGGCCGGAAGCTGAATAATCCTGCGGAGGTTTCTTTATCAGCATCTCGCCGCTCAAATGAAAACTCTCCGCTCCCACTTGGTGGATTTTGATAGACGGATAAAGGGGCTTTGAAAATGTCCAACCTAGAGAGTTATCTTACTATCTATAATAGGGAGATGCCCTTTTATAGGGGTCAGATTGGATAGCAAAATTGAATAAGGATAATATTACATCCCATACTCCAAATCACAACTCTGTAATTAATTAATTATAACCAACAATAAACGCTCTCCCAAAATGTGTGGGAATCAACCCCAGTTTGCCAACGCCCGGTAAAACCAAACCCCGGGGCATCTATACGTGCTTACGGCTGGCAAGTTGATGCTTAAAGCTGTAACGAAAAAAAAAGGGGAAAAGAAGGTGACGGATGGCGGCTCATTTCCCAGGAATGTCAAGGACGAAGCGGCGATCAACGTCCATTTCCTTATCATCCTCCTCACCTTCAAACTTTAGCCGGTAAACGTCCTTTTTGGTGCCCATAACTTCAGCTCGATAGAAGGTGGTTGTATCGGGATACCGCGCGAGAACATGTTTTCCGGGAGGGAACACAGGAAGTGATGCCCCGATCTGGGGAATCGGGATGAGAGAGGCAGCAGTGGTTCGATAAACTGCACCCTCTTCACCATTTTCAATCGGCTCTGGATCTTGTACGTCGTAGCTGGGAGACGTTAGTATCAGACCTGTAATCTGGAAAGAAGACAATTCTTACTTACCGCTTCTTGTGTCCTTCTCCAGTAATATTCTTGATAATGCATTGAATACCCTCACCTTCAATACCTTGTTGCTTCTTGTTATGCTTGAACACCACCTCCGCGCCGATGACGAACGGTCCGTTTTTCTCAGAAGCGGTGCCTTTAGTCCCTTTGATCCCTTCAGAGCCTTCATCAGCCTTGGCGGATTCACGAGTCTGTGCACTGGAAACGCTTGCACTTCGTTGACCGCTACTTTTCAGGCGGTTCAACTTTTCAGAGACTGGCGCGGTGCTCGGTCCTGGTGAGTCTGGAACACCGCCATCGAGATCAGTTTTCCTCTTTCGAGGCTTTCCTGATGCCGCACGACTCTGGGGATCCGCCTCGGACGCCGAACGAAGCGCCATTAGAATTTCAACATTCTTGATAACATCTGCTGGCTCGTTTCGGAGTATGTCTTTCTCCTCTTCCGCAAGTTTCATCATCTCGCGGTGCCACCCGTCGAGCCGCTCAATCTCATCTAGGCTCGGATCTGTGTGTAGAAGGTTAGCAGCAATACGATACGAGTAGCACCCGATTCGAAGCGGAAAAAGGCGGCTTACTGTTCCCGTTCTTCGCGATCTTCTCGTTCAAAGCCCCTATTTGCTGACTTAGGACCGCCTGTCTGTCATTCTTCTCCTTCGCTTTGGTCAGGTCCGCAACGATCTTATTCCACATATTCACCTCCTCCATCTGGCCATTGTCCCTCGGACCACCTCGCGCTCGGTTCCGAAACATGTCTGGATTTATATTTGCGTCCCTCTCATGTGCTGCCCATCGATGGTCTAGGTTATATAGTATGCCGGGTTTCTTGCTGCGCGTCGTGAGCTCGCGCGGAGGATAAAATGGGAGTAATGGGATTATTGAGTCCTTTGCGTCGGCTGCCTATATATAACACCATCGCTCCCACGCTTTCTCAGGGCCTGTTTGCCTTTTTCCTGCGCCGTGGACGGCAGCGCTGTGGCCTGAATCGATGACGCTGGCGCCCTCGCAGTGCCGGCGCCAAGCCCCTGCTCGGAAGGCGATTCCGCGGGTTCTGTGGCTGGTGCACGGGCCGGCCCCGGGCTCTGGTCTCCGGGGGCTGGTGATTCGCTCTGATTGGTCATTGCTGGGCGGGAAGCACGTGAAGTGGCTGAGGATGAAACAGGTTTAGGGCGGGGTGACGCTTCGAGGAGACAAGTTGAGCTGGACGACCTGACGGACAATTGACCTTGGGATTCTACTCTCCGCCTGGTTTCCCGTTTCTGTGTTGGGTATTAGCAAGATGCAGGTGCCACTCTTTCGATTGCAGTGCGGTATGTCCATCACGCTTGCTTCCTTGAGGTGTGAGAACCACCGTCGGCTCACCACGCTTCTCACACTCTAGGGGTTAATAGCTACGACTGGGGTACGTGCGGAACATCGGTGCTGCTCTGATATCTTCAGTTGTTGAACTTGGTCGCCCAGGTAAAATTGGCAATGAATCTGCTGCTGCACAATACGCTGCCGCCACGCCCGCTGCCGAGTTCTCCGTTCAGAATGATAAACCCTACGCAGAGGTGAGCTGGCCTGTTAAACGGGATCATTGAGATTGCTCCATACTGACAGATCTGTTTTGAATTCCGGGACTAGCTGTGGATGGGCACTCATCCTTCCCTGCCGTCTAAAGATCTAGGAACCGATCGTACGCTCTTGGATCTCGTCCAGTCAAACCAAGCCTTGCTGGGTTCTGAGATCTTTGAAAAATACAACGGAAAACTTCCTTTCTTGTTTAAAGTCTTATCTATCCGAAAAGCCCTGAGCATTCAAGCCCATCCGAATAAGAAACTCGCCGAGGTGTTGCATCAACGTGACCCCAAAAATTACCCCGGTAATGACCATCTGCGTTTCTTTAATGTAAGCTTGGTCGAGGACTAATTGTTTTTACCAGATGACAACCATAAGCCTGAGATGACCATTGCCATTACTCCTTTTGAAGGACTTTGTGGCTTCCGCCCCCTAGCTGAAATTGCCCATTTCCTTCGGACTGTTGAGCCGCTTCGTGAACTGGTTGGCGAAAAGGGAGCAGAGGATTTTGAAAAAATTGTGATGGGAGGATATTCTGGCGTGACGGAGAAGAACAAGGCCGCCTTACGTGTGCTTTTTACGACCTTGATGCAGTCGTCCCCCGACTCCATCGCTCACGCGGCCCGGAAACTCGTCAAGAAAGCTCAGAGTTCACCCGATACTTTCGCCGTGTCTGAGACTTTATCGTCAACAAACCCCACCAGCCCATCCGAGCTCGCAGCGCTCGTCATCAGGCTCAACCAGGAGTTTCCAAACGATATCGGACTTTTCGTCCTCTTTTTCCTGAATTTCATTAAGCTTAATCCAGGAGAAGCGATGTTCCTCAAGGCCGACGACATCCACGCCTACATTAGCGGCGATATAATTGAATGCATGGCTTCGTCTGACAACGTTGTCCGTGCTGGCTTCACTCCAAAATTCAAGGATGTGTCTACACTCACCAGCATGCTGACTTACTCGTATGCGCCGATTGAAGAACAAAAGATGGAGCCCACAGAATACCCATACGTGACGCTTAATACCGTCGCATACACAAGTGGCTCGTCAGCTTTGCTCTATGATCCACCCATCGAGGAGTTCAGCGTCATCAAGACTGACTTAAACCGTACGGGTGCGAAAGCAACTTTTGAACCTATTAGCGGACCCAGTATCATCATCTGCACTAGTGGTCACGGTCGCATCAGTGTAGGAGACGCAAAGAGTGAAGCAGTCAAGCCCGGCTATGTATTTTTTGTGGGAGCCACGGCAGAGTGTGTCCTCGAGAACAGCGGCGCGGAAGGAGATGATGTCCCATTCACCACTTTCAAAGCGTTTTGCGAGCTTGCCCTGGAATAGATTGCGTTTAGAAACCAATGCGCTGGATCATGGGCTGTGACCTGGCTATAACGAATTTACGACATATCCAATCATTCTAATGAACGATGCTGAATGCCGGCATATCCCTATGGGCTCATCAATCACATCCTTTTGAAGTGATACTTCCATATTACTCCGTATTTTGTAAGCAAAGCGGTTAAATTGCTCTCGGGCCAACAAAAAATCCGCAAAGTTTAACCGAAATCCATTTGTCGATCGACACCACATTGATAGTATCACTCCTTTTAACCAGCAGCTGTGACCTGAAGGCTCGCAATGCGTCTTGTACGGCTGAATGTCTGAATTTGATAAAGCATCTCTTTCTGGAACAAGGGATTTGTGAATGTGAAAATGAGGGGGTTCCCTGGAGTTGCTGAGCTCGAATCTCGGTTAAACATGTGCGACTCTAAGACTGGCCAAGGACTTGGGCCGAAAGCGCCCCCTTTCCACTCAGTCCGGCCAGTAGCTATATCATTGGATACCCCAACTCCAAGGTCCATGATGCCTTTCATTGCGCGGGGTCTCTGTGAACTGCTTTGTATTTCCTCTGCATGCAGGAGCATTGGTGCCGTTCCAGGCCGATGCATCACCTCTTGACTGTCTTTCTCCTCAGAGTGTGCCCTGGGTCTTGAATGGGAGATTTTAGCTCCGCCGCCACTAGCTCACAAGTTATTTCCCTGGCTAATAATTCTCGGGGGGAGTCGATTACCGAAACTCTCGCAGTTTGCAGGCCCGGCGGGGGATTCCTAGAGATCCCAGTGCTCGAGTTCAATTAGCAACTTCATCGAACATACATCGCGTTATAGACAAATTGACCAGTTGCCATGGCGAATACCTATCCACCCAAACTCACCTTTCTCGAAAAGGTCGATCTCGCTCCGGCAAATATATCATTGATTGCCGCTGCGATCTATACGGCTATTGCCGCAATCTTCCGTGGACAGAAGGGCGCGAAATCGTACAAGAAACATATCAGCTATGCGGTCATTCGGAAAATGCTATTAAGGCTTTCCACGAGGCAGAATCAGTATGTCAAATCGCTGCACAATTGCAATTCTAAAATTAGTGCTAACAGATTGTGCCTTAAGAGCACTGAATCCTCCTACGAATGGGGTTTATGATCAATATGTGAAGCAAAAGGGAATGGAATCCCAAACGGTAGAGCTAGAGCATGGAGGTTTGGGACATTGGATAGGGAATAAGGATGCGAAAAATGTCCTCATATACTTCCACGGTATGTCAAACACCCTAAGCTGGGACCGCTTCAAGGCACATGCTAATACCGTTTATGAAGGTGGTGGTTTTGCCGTAGCCGCTAATCCCGTATACTTTCAGCTGTTGCACGAAATAATGGATAAGCTCAATGCTGCAGGAAAGGATATTGCCGTCTTCATGCTCACCTACACCCTTACCCCTCATGCCGTATACCCTACGCAGATGCAACAGGCTGTCGAAGCGCTCCGTCACATTATTGGAACCGGCCGCGACCCATCCAATGTCATTATCGGTGGTGACTCTGCCGGCGGCAATCTCACACTAGCGGTGCTTTCTCACCTGTCGCACCCACACGCAGCCATAAAACCACTTGAAATATCAGGTCCATTAGCGGGCGCCTTTATGATCGCACCATGGGTTTCATTTTCGCAAGATTTCCCCTCTGTCAAAGACAATGAATCTAAAGATATCATTACATCTGATATCGCTGTCAGATGGGGGTCGAGCTACCTTGCCGGGCAAAAGGGGGACAATTATAACCAGCCGCTCCTTGCCCCAGCGGAGTGGTGGAAGGACGTTAAAGCGCGCAATTTGCTTGTTGTGGCTGGTGCAGATGAGATTCTGCTTTCAGCAATTGATGAATTTGTGAAGAAATTAGAGGTAAGAATTATCTTCCCGTGGCACCCTGAATATCTTTGCTTTTGACGGTCCAAAACAGACATGGAGGAGTATGCTAATGATACAACTTCCTTTGAATGATATAGTCTGTGGTCCCCAATGTGACGTATATTGTGGCCCAAGATGAACCGCATGTTGCACCGTTTATCTACCCAAGGATTGGGGACAAATCTGAAACCCAGCAGGGCAGGGAGCTGCAATCATGGCTGTCCTCCCGCCTTTGAATGGATATTTCGACTGTTAATGGATGGCTGCTTTTCTATGGATTGATATAGTACAAGAGAGGAGAATGCAATATATTAGTAACAAGCTATGAAGTACATAATGCTCTGTTCCATACAAAGTAATAAATTCAAAGTTACTGAACCTCGGTAGTTAGTTAACTAATATAGCTAACTCCTGACCAGGCTTCCAATCCCTTGCACGTGCCGCGTTCTACTACCTAACTATGAACCACCACCATAGTCCACTTCCCTCCAAACACACTGTGGCAGAGGCTGCTCAAGTGCGAGCTTTAAATCCATGGGATAGCGCGTTACTCAAAAGATAGGGTTCTATTATCTCCAAATGTTTGCAAGAGTACCATTCACGCTCGAATTTCGGCGCGACTTTCTACACTGCTGTGACCGCATCGGTCGAGTGCGGATAAAGCATCACCCGTCGTGGCCTCCATATCGCGGAGCACCTTTTCTAGCACTGGGCTATGCGTATGGGCATAGACGCCTTTTATATATTCTTTCGATAGTTGAAACGGCTTTGCAATGAGATTGGGAATGTATTTCCCAACCAGCCGCTCAGGCTTGACCCTTGAGTCGGAGACGGTTCGTTCCAGGAACCGTCGGAAGGAATCCACGCGCGGTTTCAAGAGGCTACTATGGAACGGCACATTGACCTTTAGCGGTATGGCAGCCTTGCCTCGCTGGAGCACTATCGGCCGCTTCATCTTGTCTACTTGAACAACTAGAGACTTGATCTTTTCCTGGAGTTTGGACCGATCAGCCATGCCGGAAGGCTCAGCGGTTAAGAAGTCCGTTAGCATCGTGAGCGCTGCGAGACTACGAAGCTGTGGGAATATCAGTCAGTCCCGAAAACGTTTCCAGCGTAACGGGAGGCCAATTACTCACATCTCCGGCACAGACATACTGCATATTGACAATATTGTAATTAACGATTTCAAGGAGTCCTCCCGTCTGCCTAGCAACTTCCGTCACGCACCAATGCAAATCGTCCTCGTGAAATACCCTTCCTACTCGGCTTGGATTGATTGCGCACATCGAGTAGTCGGTTGTACCATCGGCGTTACGTTCGACGGCATTCTGCATCGATAAGCCGCGATAAAACACCAGTTCCGCTACTTCATCCACAGAAAACAACTCGCCCATCGCTGTGAGGGCCACGTATTCGCCGAGGGAATGGCCTGCGAACAGACTGTCCTTTTTGATCACTCCTTTACTTTCCATGTCCGCAAACCTCGCTAGTTCCATGAGAACCAATGCTGGCTGCGTGAACTGGGTTTCATGAAGAAGCCCATCTGCAGATTTGAAGGTGTAAGATCGCGTTGTCCGATCTATTTCGGGGAACACGGGTTTTGGAGTGACGACCCCATTCTCGTCTATCGAATCGAATGTCAACGCAATGTAGTTCTCTCGAACTGATCGGCCTCGAGTGCCACCGAAGCGCACCGTTAGCTCCATGGGATTAGTCCTGACTATATCCACAATTGAAAAGCCTAAACAGTCGTTGGTGTTAGCACGGCTTTTAACTTGGGAACTTGGGTAACCTTACCAAATCTCCTTAGAAAATACTCGTCGGCCGTCTCCCATACCCTTCGTGCGGCGGGACTCTGTTTATGCAGCTCCATGCCCATTCCTGCCTGCTGGCTGCCTTGCCCAGTAAACACATATGCGGTTGATGGCTGTTGGAGCTCGGATTTGGCAGAAAGTACTTTGATGTCCGTTGCGACGTTATGTGCAGTCACTGTCAGTAACATCTTACCATGGGACATGCCAACGTGATATATATCAACAGAGAGCCTATCTCCTGCGCAGACTTTGCCTTCGAACATGCATTCCCAACTTCTCATCCTAGACGGGTCATTGCAGGCCACATGGTGTTCCACCAACCCACGAATCAACCCACTAGTGAACATTCCATGAGTGACGCGGGTCTCATGGCCAGCATAGTGTGCAAAAAGTTCAGAAAGGTGAATAGGATTAATGTCGGCTGACACTTGTGCATATTCTTCTCCGGCATCTGGAATTTCCACTTCCAGGTTATGAAGCAGACGTCTAGGCTCGGAGAATGTCTCAGGGCTTTCGCTTTCTCCACCATGGCGCTGTAAATAGTCCGTTACCGGGTTCTTGATGTACGAGTTGCCCGAAAAATTAACAAATCCAAGAATGACCGGTTCGCCATAATCCGGTTTATGGACCACGGATCCCCTTACAGTAATGCGCGAGTATGAATTCGCATCCTGGAAAGAATACTGGCTTGTCAAATTGAATTCGATGAGTTTGTGCAAATAATCCTTCAGATCCACGTTTTCGTGTAGCACAAACCACCTTCTCGATTTCAATAGGACAATATCCTTTATTGAGTTGAGGTGGATATATACCGTCTCTTCCTTTTCGTCAAAGGTTGCACAGTAATCGGTGAAATCCCCTAGGAGTATGAATTCGCTTTTCAAGTGAATGATCGGGCTACCGTTGCGAAAGATCTTTCCTTCGGCTCGAACAACTTTCCCGGACCCCTTTTTAATTTTCAGCGCTTTCAGCCGGCCTTCTGAGGATAACTGGTCCCCTTCCTGGAGTGGTAGCGCACCATCGCACAATTTGAACTCGTTGCTGAGATGAAGAAGCCGGAGCATATCCCCTGTTACACATTTGGGGAAAAGACAGCTCATCATGGGTTTCCATGCAATCACTATGGCTAAATCCAGAGGGGCATAAAGGGGCTCACCCTGTCGATTTGTATAGGCCGGGTTCTGATTGCGAATACATTTGGCAAAATTGACAATAGTCTCGCAGTCAAGCGTAGCAGGCTCACTCTGGAATACAAGCGCTTCGGAAGATAATGGAGTATCGGATATCCAAATATCCTGATAAAACTGTTTGATTCTTGCTTCTCGGCTTTCGATCTTCTCATGAATACTAAGGGTGCCGGCAGCCGGCTTGTATTCAAACTGGAAATTCAACTTCACGGGAGCTCGGCCCGTGGCCTGGTGCAGGAGAGACAAAATTATATCTCCGTTCATCTGTCTTTTCAAGCATGCGGACGCAACCGGGTTATTTTGTTTTCCGTCCATATGATTGCTTTCCTTTAGGATTATCTCTTCATCTGTATCGGATCCTGGGTTTAGCACCTCTACTATCCTCCCCGGTTTGGGTGTAAACAATCTTCGGATAGGGTTTTCAATAATTTTCCGGCCGTGGACGATATGATGCGCATTGAATATCGAATGTTTCCATGTTGGATATGGTCCACCGATCGATGCTAGCCATTGATTGAGGGTAGGGACCATTGCGTCGTCGTTAAGAGAGTATCTTGCTGAACTTTTATCCATTCCAAGGTCAACCCTTATGCTCTCTACATGATTTTGGTTGCCGTACTCCGTTCTTTCTGGCTCTGTCACTCGTTTTGTGTCTCCCTTGTACTGGTCTCTCAAAATCCACGAGATATGCGCGTTGTGAATTCCGTCCAGAATATCTTTTACGGGCTCGTCCACGACATTTGCATATTGTGCTGCCACTGGCCCGTGCAGAATACATGTTCGCTCCACGTCTTGACCCGGCACTGCTTCAATACGCTCTGATTGCCATAGAGAATCCTTCTTGAACCAATATTCAAAATCTTCGTCTAAAGTCAAGATGAAAGGGACCGGCTTCTGACCGGGTTGACGGCATAACAAAATAAAATATTCAGCATCCGAAGCGGTGATGATATCCACACTGGCTTGCGGGTATCGAGTGCTGAGTTCGGTCATGAACTTGTGTGGGTTGTCTAGCTGTGTGATGTTTTTCAGAAATGGTTCATTGTCGATTGCCGACTGGCACAGTCGTTCTTCAAGGCGATTCGTATACTTCCAGACCAAAGTCCGGAAACTTGGATCAATCCAGTCGCGTTGATCTTTAAGGTAGAGCAAGTCTACGAGTCGCTCCAGTACTTCAAAGTACGTCATTTCGTACAGGTCGCTCACCGTGCCCTGAGCCTTCAGGCCGAACCATACCTTTTGGAAGTCTTCGTTTAGTCGCTTGATGAAATAATCTTTGCGCTGTTGCAGCTTTTCTCTCTGTTGTTCACGTGGTAGAGAAAATATATCTCTATCAAGTTCGGCCCACAGTTTCACGCCTCGAGTCGCCAACTTGTGAATAGGCTCTCCCATCTCGGATCGAACAGTGAGAATGCCGCCGGTTGGTTCCTTATAAGTTCCTTCCCATTGCTGATCTGGGACACCGGGGGTTTTCGTGATGGCGATTTTAGCAGCTGGGCTTGTATGGGCCTCCTTAGCTGTCATTACTCGGCTTCCAAGGAGTATACCGTCAAATGGCATGGGGGGTCGATCAAACTTCAGGGACCATGAGCCTGTCATATATGGATACGTATCTTCTGCTCCTCCAAACCCGCTTCCTGCTATTAAGATGATGTTATCCTGCGAACGAATCTTGCCATATCGGTCAAGGATGGGCTGATGAAAATCCTCGTAAGAGTGATGACCGCCTGCACGGCCCCCAGTCCATTGCAAAATGATTGGAAAATCCGGATGAGTGCGGGCTATCGCGAGCACAGAATCGATTGCTTCCTTCGAACCGGGTTTAAGGGAAATATGCGTGAGAGATAGATCCTTGATATACCCACTTACAACCTCTGGAGATGGTACTCCAGCACCGATTGTTAGCCCTGTGATTGGAATTCCTGACTGTCGCAATTTCGCTAAAAGTGGAATTTGCCAGGCCATAGCTCGTGGATTGGCATATATAAGGTTGCATGTTATACCACGACCAGGAGCGATAGCGGCAGCGAGTGCGCGGATCCCCCTCTCCATACTCGCAGCATTGTGAAATCCACCGCAACCAAGTTCCGCGTGATAACCAGCATTCATTATTGCAGCCACAAAGTCATATGAGGTAGTCGTGGGAGTCATTCCTGCTACCATAACTGGCGGTAAACCCAATAATCGGCTGAATTTTGTACTCACTATCGGCGAGTTTTCAAGTGATTGTACCAATTCAGGCGAGAACCTCCTGCCCCAGATCGGTTTGTATTGGACAGGGCGCTTGCAGGAATATAGATCCGCGGCGTAACTGAGCGCAGGATTAGATCCACTGTCAGCCGTAACAACAATGGTTTGCAGGCCAGTCCCATTTCTTTGCTGACTGACGAGGTTTCCAATGCCGGCGTCTCCTCCAGGACCGAAATCAAGAACGTGTGTTACTCCTTCAAAAGCTTTGTTGACGACATTTTCCCAGTTGACCCGTTCGATACAAATCATTCGAATAAGCTGCGGGATAACATTGCCTGAACTCTGCAGGTTTTCCGCAGTTTCTGTATGAAACACAGGAATTGCAAGGTCTGATCCGGCCAGAGTAATTGATGCCAGGTCTTGCTGAAGCTGCTCTTCAGCTGCTTTTAAGTGAAGGGAGTGAAATGGAACTGTGATCGGCAGCAACCGTGTGCCGACAACGGGCTTACGTTGGCTGAAAGGTATTCTGGCGATATTTTGAGGCCCTTGTTTTTCTTGATCCGCGATTTTTTTCTGAAGACCCTGTAAGGCAAACAGTGGCCCCGCGACTACGTATTGTTGTCGTCCGTTATTGAGTGCAATGCTGACGCGATCAGTTTCAGGAAGGTATTTGTTTAGCTCGTCGATATGCTTTTGTAAGCCGCGCTTGGGGCCGCCTTTGACGCTGAGCATTCGAGATGATACCTTCGCTTCTCCATTGGTGCACAAATTCGAGACCGGTGCATCGCGGCTATATTGCTGGGTACGGCAGCCTATTCGTAATAGGATTTGCATCACTTTCTTCGCGATGTCGTTGAAAGACTCCCACGAGTCTACACTGGCCATAAATGCTGCCACGATGACACCTTGTGAATGACCAGCTGCCCCTGAGAGATACCGGCGGAATTCTCCTGGCGAAACTTTGAGATTGATACATGTAATTGCGTACGAAAGAAGCTGAGATAGTCCGATAAGAGGAACGCTGACTGGAGCAGAAAGCAGATACTCATTGTTAGGACGAGCTTCTGGCGTATCTAGCCATTTATGCACATTCAATCCTTCTGGGTATAGATCTTTGATCGCAGCATCTTCGGCAAGGTACATTAGGCATCCCGAAAGAGACGAAACGAGATCTACCACAACGTCCCGATATGCCTTGTAGCTATCGAGCAGCTCCTCAAAGTATGTTTCGACTCCTTGTCCGTTGAACAAGGCCATAAGCCTGGCATTATCATTCCGCACATCGACCAGCAGCCTGCTCTCACTGCTGGAATGTTCTGAGCCGGTCAATGAACAGGCTTTCAAAAATGTGCGAATGATTGATCGCTGCGTGGGTATATCATTATGATTTGATGCCACAGCAGCGTGAATATTTTCGTCCCCAAGAAACTTGTGCCGAAATATTGTCACCATCTCCCTTAATAATGGAATGTCTGGATGTTCCGCGTTCGATTCGTCGAATACACTGTCGATTATGAATTGCGTGAATTTAGAAAATAATTCTATAGGGCTCCGAGACGGGTCTCCCGCTATCGTCGTGCTTTGAGCTCGAATATCCTGGAACTTCTTGCTCAGCTGCAAACACCGTGATAACAAACTGCGAGGCAGTTTTATCGAACATTCAATCGATCCTTCCCGGAGCGTAACAGTTTGATTCAAAGCGGAACTGGACTCTAATGACTGGACTTCATCCCATGGCGGTATTGGGGATGAAGCACCTGATTCCAATGTAGACCACGGAGTATCCATATCTCCCTCTGTTTTTCAAAGAAGATAGCTAACTGGTTTAACAATTGCATTGTCTCCAGATACCATAACTATGATTCATATCAGATGTTTGGCCCCATGGAGCGAAGAATGGTGTCTCCTTGCGGCTGATATCGGCAAATTCCTTTGTCTCTGCCACAGTCTTGTTAAGGTTTTGCCAAAAAAAGTCCTGCCAAGTTGAAGGATCATTGACACGACTGAAGAGGAGGAGCTGGGGGCTGTCTTCAGCTGCTGCTCCACTTGCTTGCGGCAGTTTGGGAGGGCTTCCCCCCAGGCGATCCCTGTTGTGACGGCTTTGAAAATCAGGTTCGTCCCCACGCGGGAGGCTGTTCTTGCAACCAGTGGGAGTAACATCGGTGAGGCCTTTTCGAAAGGATCCATATTTTTTAATGCTTGTGAGGGCTGAATGGGACGAGGTACTCGGAGCTGTATCTTGTTTTATGATAGAGGTCGCATGATGGAGGTGTATTGTCATTTCTACTAGTTATAATACAAGGACGAAGGTATGGATTTCGTATGATGTATCGGTACTGAATTTTTGTTTTACGTACCATTTCGTACAGTTCATGATACTGGTAATTTACAGGACGCCTATCTATACTTGACCACACCTGACTCCGTATGAAGATTGAGAAAAGCAGCCCGCTTTTAGTTTGCTGTGCATGCAGCTGAAGGGCCGAGATTGTCGAGTACCCTGTACCTGCATTCTTAATATGACAAGGAAAAGAGTTCAGCCCTCACGGCCAAGCCTGTCCTGTCGTGCTGACTAAGATATGGGATTATGGAAGTTCTCAACCAGCAGAAAGAAAGGACTAGCAATCCAAGTGGTGTGAAAATCGCGTAGACTCAGCTAACACATATGTATGTATGTATGTACATTCTTGATTAAATTGGGTATATTTATTACATTAGATTCGCTCAAATAGCGCAAGGGACACCTCCAGTATCACATCTTGCCATCAACTGCTGCAAGTCGCGCTGCTGGATTGAGATAGACTTCCGCCTCGCGAGAAGCCATGTATGGGGGGCTAGTTTTCGCTCTGAAAAGCGAATTCGAGTTCATCCCATTGTAGAAATATGCATCAGCCTTCTTCTGCCGATTGATTCTCCTAGCCTGATACGCTTCATATTCGGGACGCTCGAGGGTTGCGAAGAGATACCTGGGGTGCACACAAATTGCCTGGGCTCCTTTTTGCCCAAACCCAAAAGATGTGACCGAGACCGCCTTAAGACCTTGAGTTTGCACGCTGCGGTTAATATACGCGATGTGGTGAAATTGTTGGAGGTTTGAATCGATATTATCAGCGTTTCGATTGCCGGGAATCGTGCCTGAATTAAGCATCTGGAGAGCACCATTGAGCATCCACGCTCCAGCTGCCCCTTTAGAATGGCCTGTTAGATATTTTTGGAAAACGCTAAAAATTGGTTTCCCTTCGGAACGGCCTAGGGATGCAAGTTGCTGCTGAATCACACTGGACTCATTTTTATCATTTAACACTGTCGATGTGCCATGAAAGGAAGCCACGTCAAGGTCATCTATGGTTAGGCCCCAGGTAGCTAAAGCACCGCAAATGGGCGCGATATAGGGCTCATTTCGCCAAAAGTGATTTCCGAGTGCGAAACGGGCTTCTTGTTCGTCTCTAGAAAAGTCTTCTAGTATTTGTTGATGGCGCTCTTTGGTGTAAGTATCTGCGTCCATTTTTGGATCTTCCGAAAGGAGCGTGGCAACCTCTAGATTCAAGTCTTCTAAGGCAATATCTCGGGCTTCTCGGACTTGTTTTATCCGGAAATTTAGTCTTTTTCTGCGGTTTTCAATATTTAGGAGAGGTGAAGGTAATCTTGAAGCGATTTGGCGGGCATTTGTCAAAACGCCCTGCCCTGGCGCAGGGATAGATCGGCCAGCCTTGTCGCTTGAGGTGTTCACAAAAGCAACAATTCCACGTATCGGAAGTCCCATTTTCAAGGCTAGCTCAGCTGTTGTTAGTACTTGCAATCCACAACCTTGTGACTCCATGAATCCGTTTCGAGTGCTAGTTGCCGGCCGTGACATTTCGCTAGGGCTTCGGCCTCGTGCAGCTTCATCAAGAGAGTTGCTAGTTGCGCCCATGTTCGCAAATTCGTACGAACTTTCTTCACCAAAGTCATCGCAACCACCAACCAGGCAAAACTTAGCTTTTCCAGTCACAAGAGTGTCATAACCCAATTCCAAGGCTTCAATGGAAGTAGCACATGCTCCCACTGGTGTCCGAATTGGGCCATTGGCAGACAATAATAACATATTTACCCAAGCACTGATAGTGTTGATGAACGTCTCCTGCAATATGTCTTTTTGTATATCCTGCCCCATATATCGCCATCTGAACATTTTAGATAGGGAATCGTTGCCTCCGAACCCTGAGCCAATACAGTTCCCAACTTCGGAGATATGGATATACTGATAGAGCTCATAGGGATCGGTGATACCGGACGAAAGAAGTGCTTCAGCAGCACAGACAAGTGTGAAAAGCGTAACCCTATCAACTTGGGAAATGATATCCTCAGAGATCCCATAAGTTCTAGCATCCCAGCCTGTGGGTATCTGGCCAGCAACTGTCCGGTTAAATTGAATCGCACGAGGAACAAATAGTTTTGCGCCTTTCATTAGTCGAACATGGCAGTGATCGGAGCCCGATATCTTCTTAATATTGGCGTATGCACCGTGTTCTCGTTGCATCTCCTGTGCGAGCGGCTCTGGTACTTCAATTGGTCCAAGGTCCTGCTCTAGTATGATCTCATGTAGAAACTGCTTTTTGTTGGGATCATAACCGTCAAAAAGTTCTGGCTCGACAAATCGAATTCCCGAATGGGCAAGAATTTGATCCTCGTAACGATTTTTAATGTCGAGCTCAGCAACAGGTTGCTTGCTCTTGCTATCCACCCAGCCGGAGTATGGTTTGCCATCCACCGTCCCTACATGGTGGTGGATGAAGCCCATTAGCCACGCCATTTCAATTGCGCCTTCAAGAGAAAATTGGCCATGTGCCTCTATTTCCCACCTAGTACGCGAGTTACCATGCGGGCCAAGCTCAGCGAAACCAGTCACCACGACAACTCGCTGGAGATCAACCATTCCTTGTAAATTCCGAGTTAAAGGACTGATGTCTTTGTCATAATCAAGTGATCTTGGAAAGTCTAGACGTACGTGAGGTCGCGGCTGGAGAATACTCTTGTTCTGTGGTTTCGAAATCGAGTGTTGAGTAGTGCAACCAGCCTCAAACTTGATCTCCGTAAAAAGGGCCTGCTGGATATCGCTCCGATCCTTCAATTCCTGCCGCAATTTCTGGATTATGCTGGGCAGGTCCTCAATATTGCTCATTCCTCCAGTCATATCTGCATAAACTGGCTTCTCTTGGCAAATTTCGTATATCGAGTTCACGCACAGACATACCAGAGCGTAGGCCATCTCATCCTGCGAAAACGTCCGGATGCCTGAACGTTCAATTCCTTCCGCGATTAGATCATTTTGATTCATTAGACCAGTTCCCCGAGTCCAACCAATGACTGCACCACAGACGCACAGGAATTCACCCCAGTCCTCGGAGTGCCAACGATTAAAAAGCGTTTCCAGGGCCAATTTGGATTCACCATATAATCCATCACCGCCAAAGGTTCCGTGATTAGGCGATAGGGGCAAAATTACCTGCGTCGGATGAGAGATGTACTTATTTTTCTCCTTGCAAGCCTTCACCGCTCCCAGCAGGCGAAGAACATTAGTTAGCATGACGCGATGTGCAAGTTCCGATTTCGAGTCGATTGAGTCTAGCTTGCGGCCGCTTTCACTGATTGCGGCGAATGGGATTAGGTAGTCAAGGTCCCATCCCAGTCCATCGCGACCGTAAATGTAGTCAACCAGTGCGGCAATATCCTGGGTGCTGGCTTGGTTGAAGGGGATGACTATTAGTTGCGACCCGCGAGCTCCATGTTTCACGTAGATTTCTCGATAGATGTTTGCCACTTGTGTTGAAAAAGACGAGGTCGTTACTAGAACCTTGGCACCACCGGTTAAGAAATAAGAGACCATTGCAGCTCCGATTGATCCAATTCCAGCCCCTGTGATCAGTACCGTCCGGTCTGTGAAGTTTTCACCCACTTTCTCGACCTGGCAAAGGGCATCATGAAGACAGCCCGTCAATTTCGGGCTATACACCCATCCGTGATGAGCTTTCTCCTTTAAATGGATGAACGGTTCTGTTGACAATGCAAGGGGGTTTCCTTGAAGTCCGTAGGATGCACAAATTCTAGGGAATGCCAAGTCAGAAAATCGGGTCGACCCTTTGCGCTCCTGTTCGTGGTATGATAGCTTCCCTTCATCATCAATCACGGTATAGGGAGCTAGTTGTTTTGGCGTGCCTGTAAACGTTGGCCCGTATTGAAGAGCCTTTCGACAATCCCCTACAAGTTTATCAAATGTTGCGCTAAGCAGTCCATGTCCCTGTAATTTATTCGCGAGCTCATCAATAATAGGAAGGAGAGAATCGTCTGCCGCATTTGCAATGTGAAAGCATTTTTCAGCTAGGATGTCAGGGTCAAGAGATGCGATGTCTTTAGAGCCAAGTTGCATAGATACGGTATGGAAGACGTCTAGGAGGTCTTGACGTGCCCAGCTCCAAGATGAGTCGTAAAGTCTTGATTTTCGGATGTCGAATAGTGGACGAATGCCATTAGCATAAGTTTCACCGTGTTCCGTAGTCCACATGTTGAGTTCTTCCCGAAGTCGGAATTCAATATCATTGTGAAGCTTGTCCAAAGCCTGCCGATCAGCATCAAGATCTAAGTGAAGGTCTGCCGCATACACTTCAAATAATTTCTTGGATAGTGCTTTCTGGGACATCGTGAGATTTCGCAAGGCTTCGGGGTCCATAGTAGTTGCGAATGAAGAACTTCCTTCTAATACTTTTCCCAAGGGCTGCGTAGCCAGTCCTTCGTTCAAACAATATTTCTCAGCGACATCATCGATGAAAATTTTAGCATCAGACTCTGAGATTAATCGAGAATTAGGTTGCATCGTCACAGCAAGGAGCAGACAGGAATCTTGCCTGCCCGCTTTGAACCCCCAGTTCAACTGAAGGTGTTTTCTGGCGACGGCCGCCGTAAAACCGCCCGGCATTTTGGAACCAAACATCGTATTAATCATCGATGTGGAAGCTTTGCCCAATTGGCCATTAAAGGTTTGCTGAATTGAGTCTGAAACTATGCGTAAAGGCGTCTCCTCCACTCGATCTGGCAGAGTGCCAAATTCACTGTTCAAATCCCCAACAATTTCATTTTCTAACGTTGACCTACCTAGTCTATATTAGTAGGAAATCCCAAGCCATGGAAACGATCAGTGGTTACAGTACCTCCGGCTAGGTCCTTAACAGACTTTGTTGCGTCAATGTCGAGGGAACTTTTCTTCAATGCCCTCGAGACAATCGCAACAATGAGATCAGTTGCCTTGACATTTTGATCGACTATTTCCTCGTTTATATGATGTTTCGCGGAGGCGGGGATTTGTGGTAGGTTTGGATTCTGATCGAGTGGTTTAGGCAGAGGTGATGCCCGCAGTGACGTTGAATCCCTCGATGGAGCTGTGACCGGCTTTGTCTTTGGTGACGTAGGGATCTCATCTTCATAATATATCTTTTTCGTATCAGTCTCTGAAGAAAGAAGCTGTCTCGGAACACGCAACGCGTAGTCTTGGGTTCGGTATTTGCTGTCAATCGTTCGTTTAAACATTGATTTGAGAATGTTGCTTGGTCCAATCTCGATTATTCGTTCACAATCTCCGCACGAAAGGATTGCATCTTGTGTCTCAATCCACCGAACAGGTGATGCGAATTGATATCTGCGAAGACACAACTCAGTAAACATACTAAACTACTGAGGGAAAGGTAGAGGACTTACGCCATCAGCTCAATTAGCAAAGTCCGAGCCAAACGAGCTAGGCTTTCACGCTCGTTGCCCATTTTCAGTTTGTTTGTGTGTCTCATCAAATACTACCAGTGAAATGTTCCTGAAAATTGGAAGCGTGATGGGATTATAAAACGGCCGTTCGTTGAATCTAGCGGCGAGGCGGCCCCGAGGCTGGAAATTTGGAAAAGCTGTTTAGCTTCAACTCGAAGATGTTGCAATCATGCTCTATCATCACTGGAAACGAGAAATTAGACTGTTCTGCACTTTCATTCTCAGCTCAGAAGTTGAGAGCATTTTGGAGCCGAAGCCCAGCCTTCTTGTTGGTTGTAGTCCATTCGATGTGCCAATGCCCCACCCCTGAAGACTTCATCTGGCCCTCTCATGAGTGAGATGAAGCTTTTCATGAGTTGGTCCGAAAATAGAGACAATCCCGACAACTTGGAGGGTGGCAATGCAGCCTGAAAGACCCAGGGTAGGAATGCAAAGAAATCCTTCTAGGGCATTGCGAGCGGCTGGAATCGACAATGCCGGCGATTTCACCTATTATTGGCGGTGAGGCACACGGAAGATACCCTATGGAGAACTGTCCAAGATCTCCAATTGTTTCACTCACGCATGAAGTTACCGATCGTTCTTTTTTTTTTTTTTTTTTGTTTGGAAGGGAATAATCCGAGAAGGTGGATCATACCAAGCAGCATGGGATCCTGGTATAACACAACGTCAGAGTATTGACAAACTCTATTCCACGTGTATGGAAGAAAATTGTTACAAACAGGTAACAAGTACAGCATAAACCCTGCTTGGTATGTATGTATTGACATACAGCATCCATACATCTATGAGTGTGCAAATTATTGTCTGGTGCTTGTTTGGAAGGTTCTGGCCTGGCCGCCTGGGATAGGAATGGTTGAACATGCACATTGGATTTTCAGATGTAATATACAGGTCGCCTTAGATTACCTTAGCTTTGGCTCCGGCTCAAAATGGAACATTTGCTGGGACAAGGCGGCTCACCTGTATTCACTAAAATAATTCCAGAACATGCAAAAATTCCGATGCGGTTGATCCACACATTCTACCAGTCTGATTTTAAATAAAAACGGGGATCTGTGCTTGAACCCAAGAAGGCTCTTTCAAAATTATTGCCAAAGGGGAAACTCTTCAAGTTGTGCGCAACTCCTCTTATTAAAGTGCAAGTTGATTTCAGGAGCAAAGCAGTGTGGCGGGAGGACTTTCTGTCTCGGCGCCGGCCAACCAGTTTTCAAGATGAATATCATCTTATCACAAACCCTCATCGTTGTGGGCTTTATCGCCTGTGTGATTTATGTCAGTCCATGTCTCTGGCACTGTGATCAGCTCAGGAATTAACTGCAAGATAGGTGGCTTCAGTACTGTGCTACAGGATCCTGTTTCATCCCTTAGCAAAATATCCAGGCCCTTGGCTGGCGAAAATAACCAACCTTTATTCTGGTTACCATTCATGGAAGGGCGATCTCCACGTGGATATGTGGAGATGCCACGAGAAATATGGTAAGTAGGAGTCCCAGTCCAAGGGCTGCGTAATCATTTCGAGAGTGTACTGATAAGCCATGCTTCCTGCAGGCGATTTTGTGAGATATGGACCCAACAGCCTTCTGGTAAACACTGCTAAGGGACTTCATGGTAAGCCTATACGCCAATGGGTTTAAAAGGGCAGGGCTGATATGCGTGTTTTAGATATCTATTCCCACGGGAAAAATTTCAAAAAGGCTCAAAGATATGGAGCCATGGTTCATCGAGCTCCGAATACCTTGACCGTCATCGACAAGAATAAACATGGCAAGAAGAGAAGAATCATTAGCCAGGGCTTTTCCGATGCCGCGCTCAAGACGCATGAGCCGGTGATTCTGAAGCAGGTTCAGCAGTTAAAAACACAGTTGAGCTTAGACGATGCAGGCCGACAGGTTCCTTCCGGCTTGTGGACTCTTCCTAAAAATATGGCAAGGCTTGGTAGGTTGTTTCCCTAACAAGGACAAGTAGATGGCTGATATGTCTAGGCGATTATTTCACTTTTGATGTCATGTGCAATATCATCTTCGACATCCCATGGTCCACTCTGCGGGATCCTACTTATCGATTTGTTCCCGATGTCATAGAAAAATCGAACGTTCGGGTAGGCACGCTCGCACAGGCTCCTGAACTGACAATATTCAGACTGGACAAACTCCTTTTTCCCGAAGCAATTCGAGCACGAGATAAATTCATCACTTTCATTGACAAAGTTCTGGGGGAAGGCATAAAAGCTGCCGGCACGAGCGGAAAAGGCGTCTTTGCTACCTTGACAAACGCCAAAGATCCCGAAACTCAGCAGCCCTTGCGCATGAGAGAGTTGGGCGGTGAAAGCGCCACGCTTATTGTTGCTGGTAGGATCGGCCCTATTTTCGAAATAAATTTCACAAATCAACTGACCGTATGTTATCAAAGGTACTGACACCACCTCCACGGCTCTAGCGGCCTGCTTTTTTTACCTTTCCCATAACCGTTCTGCATATGACCGAGCGGCCACAGAAGTGCGCGGCGTGTTCCGATCTCCAGGAGATATTAAGATGGGCCCGAGTATGCACCAATGCACATTCCTCCGCGCATGCATCGATGAAAGCATGCGCATGTCCCCATCAGCTGCCAGTTCTCTCTGGCGGGAAGCAGAAGAACAGGGCGCAACCGTGGACGGAGAGTACATTCCTGCCGGTGTCGACGTAGGTACCTGCATTTACAGTATCCACCATAACCCTGAATACTACCCCCAGCCGTTCAGCTTCCGCCCAGAGCGCTGGATAAACGATGAGGCTCATAAGGTGAAGGGAGACGTTGCACTCGCCAGGTCCGCTTTTAACCCATTCTCTATTGGGCCCCGGAGTTGCATCGGGAAAGGGCTAGCATACGTTGAGCTTCAGTTGACACTAGCGCACATCTTCTGGCACTTCGACTTTCGTCTTGCATTGGGAGAGCAGGGGTTGGTTGGCGAAGGGAAAGAAGGGGCGGAGTTTGGCCGTCATCGTGCCGACGAATTCCAGCTGGAGGATCATCTTACTGCAGCTAAGCATGGGCCTTATATCGAATTTAGGTCCAGAGCGTAAACAATTGCCAGGGCTCAAATCACCAATTCATAGACATACCTTAATCATTAACGGATAAAATCTGTCCAATCAATTGCAAAAGCTTTGCGCTGTTACCTGACACCCTCGTGCAAGTATCTGGAGTCCCTCAAAAGTTCGAGTCACCAGTTTCTTTCAACTATTTGCATCGCCATGAATCGCCAGACACTCAGCTGCCAACCATGCAGATCACACTGTCCTTGCACTTCCTCGTGGCATGTTGCAACGTTGATGCCATGTCGTTCAAATTAGGTTGGAGCTTGTCAGGAAAGAGGCTTGGCACCGGTCATGAGCGAATCCAAGCGGATACACGCATACATACATACAATACTGCGGTGTAAGAATACCTGCGTATATACACTGTATGTATATCTGGAGTACGACGGGCGTACATACATACAAATGCAGTAGCGATACGTGTATTGTTTACTCTCAGGATGGGTATGTATTAATTTAATACAGACGCTTGAGGTCGGTATCACCGGGTATTGCGTATGACATTTTTCTCCTCCTATGACCCTTGCCCTGGCAAGCCTTGCGAAATATGAGTCAAGCAAATGGAACGATGACAGGCGTGTAGGATTCCGAATGGGCTTTCCAAGAGAAAAGGCCCCGAATAAGTCCCCAAAGACCCAAGACAAGCTCGCATATCTCCAGCCGCAGCAAAAAGACTTCGCCATGTGCTAGTGCTAATAGCTTGCAACTAATTGCTCAATGTAGTGTAATCCCTATGAAAGTCGAGATGACTTCAACCAGATTATTCTGTTCGATAAATATTGTTTTTCAGTTAGGAATCGACAACGAGGAAAAAGGTTGCTGTTGATTTCCTACCTGGATTTCCTATCTTTTTATTGTAAATTGTACTATATACCGAAATTCCACATTCAGCATGGCGCAAACAGCTCTAAATGGAGTATCGGGAGAGAAAACCGCATTCACTTGCAAATTCCCCGGATTGCTGGCGGAGGACGAGCTTCAGATCAACGAACGCGCCCAAAGCGTTGTCGCGCAACCTTCAACCGAGTCATGGAAGCAGTTCTGGCATGAAAAGAAAATATCACATAGAGCTGTCATCCAAGCGGTTTGGGCACTGGTTTTGAACGTTTTCACTGGCGATGATCTCGTTTGCGCCAAAGTGCTGAGTCTGGATAATGAGGGCGGACTCTGGGGGCTCTTTACGGCGCATGTGGACCGAAAAGTTACATTTCTCGAGCTATTGGAGTCCATCGAAAACCAGAGGCGGGAAAACGTGCTGTTCAAGGACGATGAATTCACTTGCAACACGTCAGTTTGTTTCATTGGCAACGCCCGCAAAATCTCAGACTCCGAGGAGGAAGTATGCACCCCCTATCCCTGAAACACGCCGCATAGGTTAACATATTGATTTAGCTGGATATATCGCTTCATGTGACAGAAGAAGATGAACAGCTGGGGATATCAATATGCTACAACACCTCGTATTTGTCACAAAAGTATGCCAAAATCGTCTCAGAGACCTTTGGCCACCTGTTGGCAGAGGTTTCAAGACATCCGTCGCGGGAATTGTCGGACATTAATCTAGTGCATCCCCAAATTTTGAATCAAATGAAAGATTGGACGAAAAACGCACCGTTATCTGAGGATCGATGTATCGGGCCACTATTCGAAAAGATGGCCCGGGAGCGGCCGGCATACACCGCAATACAAACGTCCGAAGTTTCACTTACCTACCAGGAGCTAGATGGCTTAAGTTCTCGGCTGGCGCTGCATTTGCAAGCGATGGGAGTCGGGCCTGAACTTGCAGTGATGCTCTGTTTTCCCAAGTCGGCATGGGCAGTGGTAGCCATGGTAGCGGTCATCCGCGCGGGCGGTGTCATGCTGTGTTTAGATCCTTCGCATCCAAAAGCGAGGCACCAGGAAATTCAACACCAGGTTAAATCGCGCTGGATCTTGACGACCCCTGGGTTTTCTGACCGTTGGAGCTGGTCTGATGCGGCTGTCCTGAGCATTGATCGTGCATTTGTCGAATCGCTCCCATTGCAATCAGAGGAAAGGATAATTTCGGACATCACACCATCTAACGCATTATATATGATCTTTACCTCTGGGAGCACTGGGAAACCGAAAGGTTGCGTTATCGAGCATCGCCAGTTTCTCACGGGGTCTCTAGCACAACAGAAGGCGTCTCATATGAACTCTTCCGATAAAGTGCTACAACTGGCATCTTTCACGTTCGACGTGAGTATCCTAGAAATTATCACATCTCTGATTTCGGGAGCGTGTGTTTGCATCCCCAACGACGATGAAAGATCCAAAGGGCCCGCTTACTGCATTCAATTTTTCGGCATCACCTGGGCTTTTCTGACCCCCTCTTTGGTTAAACTTATGAGCCCGGATTTGGTTCCGACCCTAAAGTTCTTAGTACTTGGCGGGGAAGCGGTTCAGCAGGAAAATATTCAAGTCTGGGCATCTCATGTTCGTCTCGCAAACGGATATGGACCGACAGAATGTTCGATTGCGGCCACGGGAAACGCTGGACTTTCGCCAAATACAAGTCCTGCCAATATTGGCCATCCCCTTGGGGGATGCTGCTGGGTCGTCGATAAGGACAACCATGACCGTCTTCTCCCTATTGGCGCGCCCGGTGAACTCATTATACAGGGTCCGATCGTCGCTCGAGGGTATCTCAACGAAATAGAAAAGACTCGGGCTGTGTTCCTCGAAAATACCAAATGGCTTCCAGCTGATGCAACTGGACCATATCGGCGACTTTATAAGACAGGCGATTTGGCAAGGTTCAACGCTGACGGGAGTATCCATTTCATCGGTCGAAAGGATAGTCAAATCAAGCTTCGTGGTCTTCGAATAGAACTGGGCGAAATTGAGCATCGCTTAGCCGCTCACCCTTTAGTGCAACAGGCAGTTGTCGTCCTAGCAAAGCAGGGTCTTTGCCAAGGGAAGCTGGCCGCCGTGATAAGCTTGAAGACCTTCCACCAGGCATCTGACGCTGTCGAACTAGTCAACGAAAATAGCATTCATGAGGCGATGGTGCAGTTGGAGGGCATCTCTGATGATCTCTCTCAGCAGTTACCTGATTACATGCAGCCAACAATCTGGGCTCCGGTAAAATCCATACCATTGACCATCTCGGGAAAGTTGAATGGAGTTCTTGTTCGTCAGTGGATAGAGAATATGCAATCTGAGTCATATAATCTGGTCACTGGAAAAGCTAAGGAGACCGAACATGTAACGATTGCCACGAACGATACCGAGCGAGATCTGCAGGAAGCTTGTGCCAATGTGTTAGGTGTGCAAGCGAAAGAAGTGTGGTTAAACAGATCGTTTATCCAGAACGGGGGGGATTCTATCCAGGCGATGCAGTTATTGGAGAAACTGCGCCGGAAAGGTGTCCTGATTGGTTTTGCAGACTTAATGCGGATGGCATTGAATGAGCTTGCTGCTCAATCAGTCGAACAAATACTTTTTGAATCTTCCGAGGAGGCCATTCCTACCCCTGCAGCAATAGATACTGAGAAACTTGTCGAGCTGAATATCCGGTCAGATGAAATCGAAGAAGTCTATCCGCTGTCTAGCGTTCAGCAAGGAATTATGTTAAGCCAGCAGCAGAACCCCGGGAGCTACCATTTCCGTATAACTTGCGAAGTACTTGTGCCTCAGGGTCAGCCGGTGGAGACCAATAGGTTACGAAGCGCGTGGCAGCAAATGGTTCGTCGCCACCCTGCTTTACGAACAATCTTCATCGAAACCGAGAAAGAGGACGGGCTACTAGATCAACTCGTTCTGAGGGCCCATAACGCTAGAATTGTGGAATTGCGTGGTGCCGATGAAGGCGCTTTGTTCAAAACCCTGGACAGCCACCGCAGAATAGATGATAAATCCCGGCCAGCAGTCGAATTCATCATCTCTTCAACAGATGATGGTCGAGTCTTTTGTACTGTTGACATCAACCATGCCCTCATCGATGGTGTCTCCGTCCTGGTGCTATTTCGGGACCTGAGTCAAGCATATTCGGGGATACTAGATCGCGAGTCAACAATTAGATACTCGCCATACATGAAGTATTTCCAAAAATTATCAGTGGATGACGCGTTGAGCCACTGGACCCAGTATCTGGAGGGTTGTGCACCTTGTCACTTTCCAGTGCTTAATGATAACAAGTTCGACAACCACGAGCTTCATGAGCTAAAGGGAGCAATTGACGATGTTGATGCCATTCATAGCTTCTGTAAGGACAACAATCTCACACCTGCCACTGTCTTTCAAGCAGCATGGGCACTTGTGCTTGCAGCATACACAGGTCGCGATGACGTGTGTTTCGGATATCTCACTGCAGGTCGTGACATACCTGTTCCGAACATCAACGATGCAGTGGGCGTTTTCATCAACATGATGATCTGCCGGCTAAGCTTAACATCCACTAAAACCGCGATCGATCTAGCTTCAGAGACACAAAATGGCTTCTTGCAGGGACTTCCGTATCAGCACTGTTCGATTGCTGCCATTCAGCATGCTCTCCGGGTTTCTGAGCCCTTGTTTAACACCGCTATGTCACTCCCAAGTGCAGTCGGGCGCTGAAATCTGGGGTACAGAGAGCAAGGAATCTGTTGGGTTTAGAGTGGTGTCAGAAAGAGATCCCACAGAGGTAAGTAGTCTAAACCGGTTTCTTTGGCCAGCCTTTCGACTGATGAAACACTAGTACAATGTATCCGTCAATATCTTTGTGTCCAAGTCCACAATTTCTGTCGCGTTGCGCCACTACACCGATCAACTTAGCGATGGGATGACAAAAAATGTTTTTGAAACATTTTGCACGGCTATCCGCAGAATTATCTCCAGTCCTCATATCCCTCTGGGTGGTTTGAACATCCTTAGTGATCGAGACCAGGAACAAATCGCCAAATGGAATTCCTACATCTGGCCGGAAGTAAACGAATGTGTTCATGATGTCATCCGTCGGCAGGCAGTCCTTCGCCGGGATGAACAAGCCGTCGACGCTTGGGATGGAAGTTTCACTTACCAAGAGCTCGATTCAACCACAGACTACCTGGCAAATATCCTAGCAAAAAACGGTGTCGGCGCCGAGGTCCTCGTACCTATCTGCTTCCGAAAGTCCAGGTGGACTGTGGTGGCTCAGGTAGCAGTATTGAAAGCAGGTGGTGTATGTGTTGCGTTTGACCCGGAGCATCCAAAAAGCCGCCGAGAAGAAATGATCAAGCAGTGCGATGCGAAGCTTGCAGTCGTGGCGGAGGGCGTCGAGCCACTCTTCAAAGAACTGCTAGACACTATCATCGTTGTGGGACCGGATCTCCTTAATCACGACCTACCAGGGCCATCAACTATTCTGGTACCAAAACCGGCCTTGCCATCTAATGCAGCATTTGTTGTGTTTACTTCCGGAAGCACGGGTAGACCTAAAGGCATCCTTCTAGAGCATCGTGCGTTTTGTAGTAGCTCGAGCGCCAACAGCCCAGCAATGAATTACGGGCCTGGAGCACGCGTGTTGCAATTCGCTTCGTACACATTCGATGTCAGCATTGGCGAGACCTTTATGTGCCTTATGAGCGGCGGAACATTATGCATTCCCCACGAGGAAGAGCGGTTAAACGACGTTGCCGGTGCTATCAATCGCGCGAAGGCAAACGTTGTCTATTTGACGCCGTCGGTTGGCAGCTTCCTGCAACCATCTGACATCCCTGGGATACGAACCTTAGTACTAGGAGGTGAAAGTCTCAGAGAGGAGAATATCTCCACCTGGGCAGAAAAGACTCACCTGTTGGCGACCTATGGCCCGGCCGAATGCTCAGTGTATTCAACCTCCCTAGTTGGGGTTCCCAAAGGGACGTCTCCCCAGAACATCGGCTACGGGTTTGGTTCGCGCATGTGGGTTGCACACCCAGACGACGCGGCTAAATTGAGTTCCGTTGGCGCGATAGGCGAGCTTCTCATCGAAGGCCCCATCCTTGCACGAGGCTATCTCAACGACCAGGCCAAGACAGATGCGGCGTTCATACCCGCCCCTGCATGGCTGCCGTTGGGTGAGTCTGAGACCGATCGCCCAATCAGAGTATACAAGACGGGTGACCTTGTTCGATACAATTCCGATGGCACGCTGTGCATCGTTGGCCGCCGAGACAACCAGGTTAAGCTCCATGGCCAGCGGATTGAAATGGGCGAGGTTGAGCACGCGATCCTAGCCTATGAGAGTATATACAACGCACTTGCAATTGTCCCCAAAACCGGTGCTCTCAAGAACAAACTGGTTGCCGTGCTGTCGTTAAGGGAGGCCACCTCTTCCTCGGTCCCCAGCACCAACGATATTCAGTTACTCGAGGACATAGGTGGTCAGGACGTGCAGGAACGGCTACACGATGTGCGCCAGCATACATCAAGTGTTCTGCCTCCGTATATGGTCCCCTCGGTGTGGTTTGCCGTTAAGAGGATCCCTGTCACAAGCCATGGCAAATCAGACCGCTCTATGGTGACCTCCTGGCTTACAACTCTCGACCAAGACTTTGTGAGCAGCAATGTTGACGCTAATATCGAGGTTATTCTACCAGGGAACGAAACAGAAAGCGCAATCCGAGCTGTGGTGGCCTCTGTTCTCAACATCCCAGAGGGTAAAATATCAATGAACCAGTCCTTCCTTGCTTTGGGTGGTGACTCGATTACGGCAATGCAGGTTGCTTCGCGGTGTCGAGCGCGGAAAATTCATGTGGCGGTAAAAGATATCCTTCGCAGTGTATCCTTTCAACAGGTTGCTATGCAAGCCAAGACTGCCAGCGGGTCCGCAATCCCACTAGATGGGTCCTCGGGACCCTTTGAGCTCATGCGCGATTTCAAACCTGCGGTTCTTGATAACCTTGCAGAAAGGTTGGGAATCGATCCGCAAGCTATCGAGGACATTTATCCATGTTCCCCAATGCAAGAGGGAATCCTAATTAGTCAAAGTCAGGCCCCTGAGACCTATAAATTTTTCGCGGTGTTCGCAATTAGGTCCAAAGATGCCACTATCCCGGTCTCCGCGGATTATGTGCGACGGGCGTGGAGGCGACTTGTCGCTAGGCATCCTTCTATGCGTACTATTTTAATCGAAAATCCGTCGCAAGACCGTCTTTATGCTCAGATCGTGTTAAAAAACCACAATCCCCGCATGGATACAGCTCACAACCTTGACAGCTTGTTCCGATATCCCTATGACCACCCATTGGACTACAGCGAGCTCACTCCACCTCACCGATTAACAATCTTTGAGGGCAAAGATGTGGTGTACGCTAACCTAGAGATCAATCATGCGATAACCGACGGTGGATCAATGGCGATTATGGTCCGTGATCTTGCATCCGGTTATAGCCAAGAGTTATCCCCAGGGCCTGCATATAAAGATTATATTTCTGTTTTACAAAACCTATCGAAAGAGCGCATTTTGTCCTTCTGGAAAAACCATCTCAAAGATGCCCAGCCGACCTTGTTTCCTCAGCTTCAAGATGAACGCGCTCCCAACAGGGAGCTCCGCGTCGTCAATATTCCGATTGCGAAAGATACAAGATTAAAACTACAAAAGTTCACCAAAACTAACAAAGTGACTTTGGCTAATATTTTCCAGGCCGTTTGGGCACTTGTTCTTCGCGTATACTCGGGAGAATCAGATGTTGTCTTTGGATATCTGTCTTCAGGCCGCGATACTGAAGGCGTAGATGTGGAAAGCTCCGTCGGTGTATTCATTACGATGCTCGTATGCCGAGTACTTCTTGAAGACTCGTCTTCGCTTCTCACTGTCCTGCAAAAGATCCAGGATGGTTATCTAGATTCACTTCCGCACCAGCATACTTCTCTTGCAGAGATCCAGCATGCTTTGCAGCTATCAGGGGAACGATTATTCAACACCATTCTCACCTTACAGCGACCGATGGTGGAAGATAACGCAGATCACGCCGTTTCACTCGAGTATCTTGGGGGCAGTGACCCCACAGAGTACGATTTAGGAGTCGACATTACGATCACCGAAACCACAATTGATGTTTCGATTAACTACTGGACAACATTCATGTCTGAACAGCAGGCGGCGCTATTAGGCTCAACCTTTTCGAGTATTCTCTCAAGCCTCCTCGCATTCCCTCAATCCAATGTTGGCGACGTGGATTTACTAGGCGAAGACCAATATCGACAAATTCGAAGCTGGAACAATGGTGGTGCCGTGCCGGATTCTTCTGAGAGTTGTATTCATGATCTGGTTCACGAGCAAGCTATAAAGCAGCCGGGCTCTGTAGCTATACATGCTTGGGATGGCTCGTTCTCATTTGCAGAGCTGGATACCCTTGCGGCAAGACTTGCCACCCAACTCGCTGTATTGGGTGTCGGTCCCGAGACCCCTGTTCCCCTCTGTTTTGATAAATCGGCTTGGACTATAGTGGCTATGCTAGCGGTACTAAAGGCTGGCGGAGCTTACACGGCTATGAACCCTGCTCACCCTATTCAACACTTAGAGAGCATTATCCGCCAGACGAATTCCCGGATTATCCTTGTGGGTTCAGAATCATACGGAATCAAATTTGAAAGGTCAGTGGACCATATTATTGTCGTGCAGTCGTCACTTTTCCATACTCTTCCCGATTTCGAGCCAACAGTGATCCGGAATGCATCTCCTGAAAATGCAGCCATGATCAACTTCACCTCTGGAAGTACTGGCAAGCCCAAAGGCATTGTGATCACACACCGTGGATTCTGTTCTATGACCGCGCATAATGAAGGCATGTGTATCCGACCGACAAGTCGAGTTCTACAATTCTGCAGTTACACATTTGATACAAGCAACTCTGAGATCTTTTTCACCCTTACCACCGGCGGTTCCGTTTACGTTCCTTCCGAGCACGATCGTTTAAATAATCTTCCAGGTATAATCAATCGTTTTGGCGTGAATCATGCCTTCTTGACTCCATCAGTTGCAATTTCTCTATCACCCCAAGATGTTCCAACTCTGAAAACCCTTGTGCTGGTCGGGGAAGCTGTTTCGGAAGATGTCGCAAAATTGTGGCAGGATGATGTCGTCTTAGTCAACAGTTATGGCCCTGCAGAATGCACTGTTTGTTCGTCCTATGCAATACTACGTCAAGGAGTTGTCGCCACGAATATTGGGCTAGCTCGTGGCTGTAACTATTGGGTTACAGAGCCGGGCAACAGCCAGCGATTGAAACCCGTGGGCTGTGTAGGTGAGCTGTTGATTGAAGGGCCAATTGTAGCCCGTGGCTACTTAGATGCAGATTTGACAGCCCGAGCTTTTATCCCTCCACCAGGCTGGCGAGGCGAATGCCTCCCTGAAACAAGGCTCTATAAGACCGGCGATCTTGTGCGATATGCAAGCGATGGAACATTGATTTATATTGGTCGTAAAGATGGCCAAATTAAACTCAATGGCCAACGAATAGAGATGGGAGAGGTTGAAAAGGAGATCAAGAGCTATGAGTTGGTGCAACAGGCTGTTGTACTGCTACCGAAATCTGGCCCGTGCAAGAAAAAGCTCACAGCTGTGGTAGCTCTTAAGGGCTTTGCACCCCCCATCTCAACGAATTCAGAGCTAGAACCTCTCGATGACAGCAAAAAGACCATGGCTATCTCACAGGTAGAAAAGATCCGTGAAAGATTGACTGCTGTTATTCCGAGCTATGCAGTGCCGTCTGTATGGTTGATGAGCGGAACCATGCCATTGACCGCATCGGCCAAAACGAATACGCCCAAAGTCATCAAATGGGTGGAAAATTTGGATAGCAACACATATGACAAAGCATTGGCAGAAACCGAAACGGATGAGCCCGTGGAGGTTTCTCCTGGCTCACTCGAGGGCCAACTTCAGCGCATTATTGCTCGCGTGCTGAACACATCTCCTGCACAGGTCCCTCTCAGTCGTTCGTTCCTTAATTTAGGTGGCGACTCCATTACCGCCATGCAGTTAGTTGTACGATGTCGCGGAGAGGGTTTGAGGATTGTGTTCAAAGATGTGATGCAGACCACAAGCATCGCGGCATTGGCGAGCCACGTCGAGGCGACGGATGATCAACCAAGATCCAAAGCGGAGATATTCGACAGTCCCTTTGACTTGACTCCAATTCAGCAGTTATACTTTCAAGACGTCTCGCAAAGTAATTTGGATCCCGATGCGAATCAATTTAATCAGAGCATGCTCTTCCGACTCGCTCGTGACGTGTCTTACGAGGAATTAAAACTTGCCCTTGACAGCCTTGTCAAACGGCATTCAATGCTGCGTGCACGATTTGGTCAGTCGCCTGATGGCCAATGGACACAAACTATCCCGAGCAAAAGCACCGACTCCTATCGCTTCCGTGCCCACGAAGTCGAAACGAAGGAACAAGCTTTGGAGTTGTCGCGTCATGCACAGGAAGGGCTCGATATCCGCACAGGACCCGTGTTTGGCGCAGAATTATTTTTCATTGACGGTCAAAGTCAGCTTCTTTTCCTCGTGGCTCATCATCTTGTGATTGATCTTGTATCCTGGCGGATCATGGTTCAAGAAATTGAAGATTTTATCGAGAGCGGACCATCTAACCTGGATTCTCCCCCTTTTCCATTCCAAACCTGGCAGCAGCTACAAGCCCAGTACGCCGCTAAATCCTTGAAGCCAGATGCTGCTTTGCCTTACTCTGTCCCGCAGGCGGATTACAGCTATTGGGGAATGGATTATGTTCCGAATTTCAAAAAGGACACGGCCGAGTTAACTACCTCAATGAGTCCGGAGGATACAGATCTATTACTTACTCAGTGCCACCGAGCTATGGGAACCGAGACACTGGACATCTTGCTTGCTGCATTATTCTCTTCATTTGTCAAAACGTTTGGGAGGCCACCCCCTGCAATATTTAACGAAGGTCACGGCCGTCAGCCTTGGACGGAAAACATCGATTTGTCTGAAACTGTGGGATGGTTTACGACTATTTTCCCATTTCATGTTCCGGTCAATCTGGAAGCTGGACCTATTGCGATCATTCGCTCTGTAAAAGACCAACGCCGATCCCTACCTGCACACGGATGGTCCTACTTCACCTCAAGATACCTAAATGAAGAAGGCCAGAGAGCCTTTAAGGACCATATGCCCCTCGAGATCCTTTTTAATTATCTCGGGCTATATCAAGGGATGGAGCGGGAAGACGGGCTATTCCAACTCTTGCCTTTTAACGAAGGAGATGTCGGCCCAGCTGTACGTCGGTACTCCCTATTCGAAATCAATGTGTACGTTCTTCGCCGATCAGCGCACATGTCGTTCACTTTCAACCGAAAAATGAAGCATGTGGACCTCATCCAAACCTGGGTCCGCAATTACAACGACGAACTCAAGACGATGTGCCAGATTCTTAAGAGCGCAGAAACGATATTGACTCGGAGTGACTATCCACTCCTGCCAATATCATACAACGGTTTAGATCAACTGTGCAATCAGGCGCTGCCTCAACTGGGGATATCCCCGAAGAATGTCGAAGATATTTATCCTTGTTCACCACTGCAAGAAGGAATTCTTCTCAGTCAAACACGAGTCAAAGAGGCCTATGCATACCATGCGACTATGGAATTGAAATCGACCAGCGGTGCTCCGGTTTCCGCCAGGCAGTTGGCCTCAGCCTGGGAACAAATTGTCGAACGGCATGCTATGCTCCGCACGATTTTCCTTGAAAAGGTGACTTCCCGGCCATTTGATCAAATAGTTTTACGCAAATCGGACGCAAAGCCTCTGCTCTTAGAGGCACAATCTTACCAAGAAGCGATTAATATTTTGAATCGCCTCGAAAAGTTGACCGTTTCTCCCGCTGAGCCTCCACATCGCTTGACCGTTGTTGAAACTACCGACAGTGCGGTTTTCTTCAAGCTCGAAATCAGCCATGCCCTCGTGGATGGAACTACTATGTCAATCCTGATTACGGAGCTTCTCGAAGCTTACACTGGCAAGCTTATGCCTGGTACTGGCCCGCTATATAGTGACTACATAGCTTATATACAATCGCAACCTATTGACGAAGCTCGCCATTTCTGGATTGATTACCTGAAAGATGTCAAGCCATGCCAATTCCCTTCCCTACGAGAATCAGAAAACCGAAAGTCTGAATTATGTCATGTTAGTGTCCCGGTTCCGAGTCTCACCCAGGTACGGCAATTCTGCCAACAAAATGATGTAACTCTAGCGAGCATCATACGCCTCGCCTGGGGCCTAGTTCTGTCTGCGTACACTGGCGAAGAACAGGTATGCTTTGGCTATCTCACCGCTGGAAGAGAGATCCCTGTTGCTGGGGTTGAGAACGGCATAGGTCCTTTTATCAACATGCTTGTCTGCTCATTGAATGTGTCAAATATTGGGCTACAGCCAGTGATCTCGGAGCTCAAAGAGTTACAACAGGATTACATCCATGCCTTGCCACACCAACATATTGGTCTTGCTGAGATATGTCATGCGTTGGGCCTCGGCGGAACTTCGCTGTTTAACACTGTCATAAGCTTTCAGCATCGTGACATTGATAACCTTGCGCTTGAGGATTTACGAATTGAATACATATCCGGGGAAGACCCTACAGAGGTAAGAGTTTTTGGCCGCTTCTTATGGCAGCACATTCAACGCAGCTTGGCTAACAGCTTCTTTAAGTATGATATAACTGTCAATGCTATAGATAGTGATAAAGGCTGGGAGATATCTCTGGGTTACTTAGAAGCTCGTCTTTCATCCGAACAAGCGGCCAACCTTGCAGCCACCTTATCTACGACGCTGACGTCCCTCATCTCCTCCCCGCAGTCCAAGGTAGGATCAATTGATATATTCAGCAATCGCGATTCCGCCCAAGTGTGGAAATGGAACTCAGATCTTCCCTCGATGGTCAACGAGTGCCTACATACACTGTTCCAACGCCAGGCAATGATGAACCCAGATTCACCAGCCATTACGTCGTGGGACCAAGACCTTACCTATCGCCAGCTTGATGATCGCACAACGCAGCTTGCCCACTTGCTTTTGGATCTGGGGATCGGTTCTGGAGACCTAATTCCTGTTTGTTTTGAAAAGTCCGCTTGGGCTATAGTTGGAATGCTAGGCATCCTCAAAACGGGGGCCGGGTTCGTACCTCTCGATCCCTCCCATCCTCCTCAACGCTTGGCTTCAATTGTTAATCAACTTTCACCCCCACTGGTTCTCACGTCGCCAAATACGTCAAAACTCGTGGTGCAGTTGGTGAAGCATATCCTTGTCGTATCCAGATCGGCAAGTACATGGGTAAACGAGTCAACCGAAGCAGTTAACGTTTCTGTGTCCCCACAACATGTTGCCTACACCTTATTTACCTCTGGAAGCACCGGTACTCCAAAGGGAGTGGTCGTTGAGCATTCCGCTGCGGCTACCAGCATCATGCATCATGGATTAAGAATTGGATGCAGCTCAGAAACACGCATGTTCCAATTCGCAGCCTATACCTTTGACGCGTGCATTCTTGAAATATTTACTACTCTTGCTTATGGCGGCTGTATTTGTGTTCCATCCGAAGCTGAGAGGATGAACGACATATCGGGCTCTATCAATCGACTTCGCGTAAACACGACGTTCCTTACTCCTTCTGTTATCCGTATTCTGCGACCAGAAGCAGTTCCAACCCTAAAAACAGTGATCCTTGGAGGAGAAGCGTTGGGTAAGGATAACATCCAAATCTGGGCAGAAAGACTACGGCTCATGAACGGATATGGCCCGACTGAAACATGTGTATTTGCTGTGATGAAAACATTTACCACCAAAGATGAGCAGCATAACGTCCTTGGTCATGCAGTAAGCTGTTTAACCTGGATTACACAGCCCAATGATCATAATAAATTAGCCCCTATTGGTTCAGTTGGTGAACTACTTATTCAAGGAGAAACTTTGGCTCAGGGGTATTTGCACGATGAAACAAAATCGGCAGCGGTTTTCATCAAGAATCCCGAATTTTATCCACGGTTACATGAATCGGACTGCAGATTCTATAAAACAGGTGATTTAGTTCGATATAGTAGCGATGGGAGCATAACATATCTGGGCCGGAAAGACACTCAAATCAAACTCCGCGGACAACGTATCGAACTCTCGGAGATTGAACATCAAGTCAAGCAGTGCCTACCGGGGAATTTTCAAAGCGCCGTGGAAGTTGTCGAACCCCATAACGAAAAAGACCAAGCGGCATTGGCTGTCTTCATATGCGAATCAACCCGTTTCTCTCGCGAAAATCTACTTACTACAATGACCGACGAGTTTCGCTCGTTGGCGGCGGAAACACAAAAGGCTTTAACCCAAACCCTTCCCATATATATGCAACCTTCCTTTTACTTCCCGATAAACCAGATGCCTACTACATCAGCGCAAAAGCTAGACCGGACAATGCTTCGCGATTGCATTGCAGCTTTGTCAGATGCAGATTTAAAGCAATACTCCCTGGTAAAACACTTTCATCGCCTTCCGACCACGTCGACCGAGAAGAGTTTGCAGGAACTGTGGCATCAAATTCTAAATATTCCGACAAGTCAAATTGGAGTAGACGACAATTTCTTTCAGATTGGAGGAGATTCAATTGCGGCCATGAAAATTGCAGCCGCTTCCCCATCGCATTTGAATATCTCTGTTGCCGATATTTTCCGTTATCCGGTCCTGACTGAGTTAGCCAGCGTTATCTCATCGAAAGCCAAACCTAACGCATTCGAGGAGACGCAAATTCGCCCGTTTGAACTCCTATCCAAAACTATTGATCCGTTGTCTGCTCTAAACGAGATCACGGCTCAGCACAATATTGCTGCCGAGCTAATAGAAGATCTCTACCCATGTACTCCTCTGCAACAGGGGATGATGACCCTTTCCATTCTCAATCCCGGGACTTACGTTCTCAGACAAGTCTTTCGATTAGCACCGTCAGTCAATATTGCGCAGTTCCAGTCTGCTTGGGACATTGTCTCCTCACAGCATCCTATCTTGCGAACAAGGTTTGTTCAAACAGTCTGCGCCGGCCTACTCCAGGTAGTCGTAAAGGGACACACTGCATGGAAAACCGCGAAAACCTTGCAACAATATCTTGATTTAGACACGATGCAGCAGATAGGCTATGGCGCATCCCCAGTGCGATACGGAATTACCGATGATGGCCACTTTATCTGGACGGGACATCATGCAATCTATGATGGCTGGTCGCTCCCGTTAATTTTTAAACAGATGCAATTCGCCTATGAGCATGGCTACTGCCCTCGTACCTTGAACTATAATACCTTTATCAAAAGCCTCCAAGAAACTGAGTCGGAGTCATCCCATACCTTTTGGAAGAGACAGCTGGCTGGGGAGCGCCCTTCTACGTTTCCTGAGCTGCCCTCCACACAGTACCGCCCTCGAATTGGAGGCTCGTCCAAATATAAACTGAACCTCCCAAATAAGACCTTAGGAACGAATGTCCTCCGTGCTGCCTGGACACTGGTACTTTCTCGTTATACGGATTCCGAAGACATTGTGTTTGGCACAACCCTTTCCGGTCGCAATGTTCCGGTCCATGGCATCGACAAAATGATCGGACCAACAATTACAACTGTTCCAGTGCGGGTTCATTTGAAGTCTGGGCTCACAGTCGCTGCGCTTCTAGATCAGCTTAACCAACAGAATATGGAGATGATTCCGCATGAACATTTCGGACTGCATAATATTGCCAATTTGAGTCCAGAATGTGCTCAGGCTATCGAGTTTCAGAACCTTTTCGTCATTCAGCCCGTGCTAGAATCAACACAAGTCAGCCAGAACCCCATACTCGAGCAGGTTGACCTTGCCATCAAAGACTTCGATACCTACCCCCTGATTTTCGAATGCCAGCTGGCTGTGGACGGGATCCTAATCGAGGCGAGGTATGACGAATCCCTCTTATCTGCCTCTAAGATTTCCTGGATGCTGCATCATTACGAGTATGTACTCAACCAGCTTATGGACCAAACGGCGCAAGAAAGTATGGTCGCGGATATTAGTATATTCAGCGATTTCGATAACGGCCAAATTTTACAATGGAACCAACAATATCCTGAAGTTGTTGAAGCCACTGTCCCGCAGATATTTGCCGAACAAGTCGTCCAACATCCAACTGCCCTAGCAGTTGACGCGTGGGATGGTCAACTAACCTACTTCGAGCTCGATCGCCTCTCGACCTTACTGGCAAAACATTTGGTGTATTTAGGCGTCGGTCCTGAAATTCTTGTACCGCTTTGCTTCGAAAAGTCTCGCTGGGCTATCGTGGCCCAGATGGCCGTCATGAAAGCTGGCGGCGCTTGTGTCAACCTTGATCCAGCTCATCCATTGACCCGCCTCGAGACCATCGTGAAAGCTACTCGAGCCAACGTGCTATTGGGTTTCAGCAAGCCACGCAGGAATTCTTGGATCTTCGGTCGATTTGCCACAAGTTATAGTGACAGAGGAATTCATTTGTGACCTTGAGTCCTCTAATGCAATCAGAGAGGAACTCCCTAGCCTTTCACCGAAGAATGTTGCTTACGTGCTTTTCACTTCTGGAAGTACTGGGAAACCTAAAGGAATCATTATTGAGCATGGCGCACTTTGCTCAAGTTCCAAAGCGCACGGTACGCGCTGGAATATTGGCCCAGAAACCCGCGTCTTGCAATTCGCTGCGTATACATTTGATGTCAGTTGCGCGGATATCTTTACGACTCTTCAGCGAGGCGGCTGCATTTGCACACCATCTGACTACGATCGTCTCAACTCGTTGTCTGACGTTATCAATAGATTCCAGTGTAACTGGGCATTCTTGACCCCGACAGTCGCCAGTTTGCTGCCCGCCAACGATATTCCTACCCTAAAAACTTTAGTCCTTGGAGGTGAAGCTTCAACCCGGGATACTATTGAAAAATGGCACGCTATACTTGACCTCATGGTCTGTTACGGTCCAGCCGAATGCTCCATTTACTGCTCTGGTGCACCTCCTGCAACTTCCACAAGCGACCCTGCCAACCTTGGCGCTGCAATAGGGGCTTTGTATTGGATTGCAAATCCACGCGATTACAATTGCCTTACGCCCCTCGGTTGTGTAGGTGAATTGCTCCTTGAGGGCCCAACTATTGCCCGGGAATATCTGCATGACCCAATCAAAACGGCTGATGCGTTCGTGCAAAATCCTGCCTGGGCTGACAACAAAAGCCCAGACAACCCTCGTCGCTTCTATCGTACGGGAGATTTGGTTAGATATAATGAGGATGGGACGATTCGTTTCGTTAGCCGCAAAGATACCCAAATCAAGGTCCGCGGACAGCGTGTGGAGCTCGGGGAAATTGAGCATGCCATTCGCCACGCCATGCCTAGCCTCGTTCATGCTACCGTTGATGCTATTAAGGATAGCACTCTTCAACGTCAAACGGTGGTGGCGTTCTTGCACCTGAGCCGCCGCAATGGCAATCCCGAAGTCATGGAAATCAATCCAAAGCTTCAGAAGGAGCTAATCGATCTTCACCGTGCTCTTAGCCAGATGCTCCCGTCGTATATGGTTCCCTCCATGTTTTTACCGATGGCTCAAGTGCCATTGACAATGAACGGTAAGGCAGACCGTCGCCAACTCCGCGAACTCGCCGCGTCGCTCTCTCATCAAGATGCACTACTATACTCCCTAGCGGATGCTACCAAGGTGGAGCCAACCACAGAGATGGAATTCAAAATTCGTCGTTTATGGGCGAGTGTTCTAAACCTAGATGTGAATGAGATAGGCGCTGGTGATCATTTTTTCCGCTTGGGTGGAGATTCCATAATAGCAATGAGGTTGACAACTCTCGCTCGCTCCGAGGGCCTAGGTTTGTCAGTTCAAAGCATTTTCCAAACGCCAGTTCTCGCAGATATGGCTGCCAAAATAGAAACAGAGTCGCCAAAAATTCAGAACGGGGTTCTACCCGTTTATAGCCCATTCTCTTTGGTTTCCGCAGCGTCCATACCAAAATTTGCCTGCGAAATAGCGGCCAGCCTTCAAACAAATCCCGAGAACATCGCTGACATTCTACCGGCGACTGGTTTCCAGTCATCCGCGATGGCGCATTCTATCTTGAAAACCAGGGGTTTACTCAACTACCTATTTCTCGATGGAGAAGGGCAACTTCCGTGGAGTGAGATAGATGCGACCGATGCCTTCACCCGATTTCTCGACGCCCACGAGATCTTACGAACCGTGTTCACAGTGCATGGTAGCCAAGTTTACCAAGTTGTGTACAAAAGCCTTTCTCAGTGTATCCAATTCTACCATACCACCGGGGACATTAACTCCTTCTGCACCGATCTATTCCGGCAAGATATGGGAGCAGACCGCAACCCAGGAGAGTCCTTAACCAAGATCATGGTAATTAGCAGCCCAGGGTGCCACCGTCTCGTTCTCCGCATGTCTCATGCACAATACGATGGTGTCTCCCTCCCTCTCATCTGGCGCACGCTTGGCGAGGTCTTTTCGGGCTCGAAACCAGCCCCAGAGGTTCCATTCTCTCAATACCTGGCCAATGTCTCACATCTCTATGATATCGAGAAATCAAGGTCATACTGGCGCAACCTCCTCACAGGCTCAGCGATGACAGACGTTGTAGCGCACTCAAAACCCAGCTACCGCAATGTTTACGATATACGTCTCCGTCGCGTAATTCCCAATATTTCACTAACATCATCGGGAATCACATTTGCATCGGTTCTCAAATCAGCTTGGGCTATCGTTCTCTCTTCTCTAACACATACATCGGATGTTGTTTTTGGGCATGTCACCTCCGGCCGCAATATTCCCGCACAAGACATTGAGCGCATTGTTGGCCCGTGTATTAACATTGTACCAGTCCGTGTACCGCTTGATTCTTGTGCAACAGTTAATGACCTCCTGAGTTTCGTACAGTCCCAGCATGTGGCAACGATGACACATGAGTCATTGGGAATGAGGGACATCATCCGCAAATGTAGCCCTTGGGCCAATTTTACGCGGTTTAGCAGTGTTGTTCAACACCAGAACATCAGCGAAGCTTCGGCGGTGACTCTCGGCAACAATACGTACAGCATCAAGGACTTTTGTCCTCCGGCCGACGAAGCTGACGTTGCAATCAAATCTACCCCTATAGGCGACCAAATCGAAGTATTACTCATCGCCTCGTCTCGATCTACAGGCGAATCACGAGCATCTGAGCTTCTGAATCTGCTTTGTGACGTTATCGAGGCCATCGGTAGCACGTCGAGTAATCAGATTCAACTATCAAAGTGGATGCAAGACCAGCCCGTTCTTCCAATGCAGCCTGTGCTGGCCACGGCAAATGGTTTCTCCGCCAGGACCAACGCTGACTCCAAGGATATCGAGCAGGATCTAATAACATTCGTAAAGAATAGTTGGAGAAATGCGCTACAAGAACCAGAGTTATTGCTTGATTTGGATTCAGACTTCTTTTCTGTCGGGGGTGATTTGGTGCAAATCGCCATACTGGCAATTGTCTGGCAGAGTCAAGGATACAAAGTCACTGCTGAAGACTTAATAGACCACCCACATATCCACGATATGGCTCAAATGTTGGCCGAGTCAAATTAGTCAACCCTCGCCCTTTATTTGTTGGAGTTATTTTTGGGTTACTTTCACGTTAGACCTTTTTGACCCAGGCACTTTCTATGATTTTAGAGTACAGGGCACGGAGTGCCTGACTCTGTCTTTTGTTTATCTTGTGCCATGGCATTTGATTCTTTGTTATATAAATTATCTAGCTATTTTTTTGTATCTATTCATCCTGACTTGTACTGTTTCCAATTCAATTTTTCCTTTTTTTTAGCAGAGATAACTGACGAGAACTAGAAATTGTGCTGCCTATGAGAGCCAAGCCAGTGAGACTCTCCATTTAACCCCTGACCGCTGTATGATCTCTGCTGAGATCAGAACGACCCCCGGGGATGTTGCGCACCAGCTTGAGTACGTTGAGCCGGGATTGAGCTGCCAGCCGGACAGGCAGCAGGATTGATTTTACTCTTCTGTCAACTTTGGCCGGAATTCCTCTGTGCTGTCTCAACTTATTGAATTAGGTGCACACAAGATGGACCCTTCGACGTTTATAGATCCCCAATTGACCCTCCCTGACCTATTGGTTTTGAAAAACCTACTCAAAGACGTTGAATCAAGAGGTACGTGAGTTTTATACATTGATCATATAAATCTAAGGCTTACAAAGGGAGGAATTATATAGATCCCGCGCAAAGTGCATCCCTGAAAGATGACGGGACTCTAGAGACTGTTCAGAGACTGACAGCACTCAATGATGCCTCTCATCCCGATTTCGAGCCTACCATCTTTCAATTCTGGGATGCGAGCTGGCTTCAGTCCAAAGTCCCTGAGCTGGCTCAGCGATATATACTTGGGGCCATATGTCAGATGGGGCACGAAGCGTTGCGCGTGTCGAAACAGATGTGGTTATGATAAGTCATCTACTGCTGTATCTCACGACCTCCGTCCCTAGTGCCCTTCTTCTATATCACCATTTTACCTGGCTGCATGGGATCGCGCACTGGATTCTCCATGTTTGGTATGCCGGCACATATACCCTCATGAAACACCAATACGTTCATATGAATGGAATCTTAGCGCCTCGCTATTACCTCGTGGACCTATTGTTCCCGTACGTGATTGACCCTTTGGTGGGTTCACACCTGGAATTTCATACCTACTATCCACCATATAAAGCATCACCACGTTGAAAGGCAATGGGCCCCGGCGATCTGAATTCGACTATGTGGTACGATCGTGATAATGTGTATGACTTCATGCGCTATGTCGAGCAGATTCTTCTTTTTATCTGGCTTGAGCTTCCAATCTACTTCGCACGAAAAGGCAAGGTAGCATTCGCTCTCAAAACAGCAATTTGGGAGATGAGCAACTACGCATGCATCTACCTCCTTTATACCCAGGCTAACGCTCGCGCAACCTCTTGCGTCTTCATTTTACCGCTCCTAACCTTAAGGCTGGGCCTGATGGTAGGAAACTGGGGCCAACATGCTTTTGTGGACGTGTCAGATCCTACTTCGGATTTTCGATCTAGCATTACATTGATTGACGTTGCGGTATGTCGTGTTGATCTAAATCTTGAAGGGAAATAGCAATTTTGTACTAATGATGAGCTAGAGCAACCGTTTCTGTTTCAATGACGGGTATCACACTTCCCACCACCTACACCCTCGTCGGCATTGGAGGGAGCATCCAGCAGCATTTGTGAAGCAAAAGGCAAGATATGCAGAGGAGCGAGCCTTGGTATTCCGGAATATTGACTTCCTCATGGTCACACTGAAACTCCTTCAGAAGGATTACATGTACCTGGCGAAGTGCCTTGTGCCAATTGGTGAATATCAAACCAAGCTGTCACTGGAGCAGCGGGCTGAGATGCTCAAAAGTCGGACACGCCGCCTGACGACAGAGGAGCTGTGGAGTAAATTCCACAAAAACAAACTAGGATAAAGTGGGAGGGTTCTTCAAACACCTTGAAATCTGGTTGAGTGTGAGACACTTGATTCCGAAACGGCTGTCTGACTTTTACCTGCCAGTGGACTTTATCATTTGCATTGCTACTTCAGCCCCGATCCTTTGAAGAGGATTTGAGCCAAGTTCGCAGCCCAGGGAGCGAGATGTCATGCCCGTCGATGTTCCGGGTTTTGGGTCAGCATGTCCACCCCCCTCCCAAGTCTCGCCTCAATCCCGGCACCCGCCGTTACTCAACCAAAGACCATTCCGTATCTTGCGACGGCTGACCCCCATCTGGGGCAGCAGTTGAACGTAATATCGTAGATGATGCCAGGTATTTCTATGTATTGTCATCGTATGTAAAGTGTATGTTTGTATGTACGGGTATACATCGGGTATGTATAGATCGCATCCATACATACCAGTATAGTTTTCAGGACGTAACGCCAAGAAACGACCCTGCAGGGCTTGCGGATCTCCCGACAACCTTGTTGCTTGCAGCAGTTAGCCATCACGTGCCCGGAGAAATCAGCCGCTGGTTCCGGGGGTGATTGGCGAGCTCCACACACAGACTCCGTAACCAACGGCTGGCCTAAAGGCTAACGTTGACATGCTTGGATCTTCACGTTTTCTTTTATGCCTTGTCTCAACGGGTATTCTTCGACAACCCTGCTCTTACAATACCCGAGCTGGTGGCCCACAAGCCGTCACTGCCACAGTGCCACCGATTAGTTTGGGAACTTACCGAATAAAAAAGTTTGCATTCATCCAGGGAATTTGACTTGGAGGAGAAGACTCGAATTTCAGACAGCACAAGTTGACAACCGATGAAATGGCATGTAGGCTGTAGCTGGGGCTGAGGTTTGGCCAAGAACCCAGGCAGACAAAATCCTTGTATCTTTCTTGCTTTCCTTCACCGTTACGTCCTTTTCGTGGATCCGCGAGATCCAGCGGCTGAGGGGGAGGGGCTGTTTGCTTCGCTCTCTTCAGGGGCCTTTTTTGTCGACTATCAACGGATGTTTCCAAAGTGGTACCGGGATTCTGCACGAGAGTTGTGGTTCCACTTCAACACCAGGAGCCTTTATTATTCGTTCAAATGTGTGTGCTTCCCAGCAGTTCCATTCAAGACATTCAATTTCGCCTGAAGGACAGAGTCGTAGCGCAGCAGCCCCAAACAGCCTCAGCTATTAGGTTTGTTAGCGATAAGCACATCATTTTTCAAGGGCCCACACTGCAAAGATCTGCAACTGACAAATAAGAGCCAGGAATTGTATTGTCCCATTCTGGTTGCCTCCAGATGCAAGGAATGAAAAATCTCCATCTCAGTTAACAAGACAAGCCTTGATGTTTGTCGTCCGATTAAAAATAGAAACCAGGCAGCAGCTAACCTAAGTTACTGGATGACTAAGCCCCGATGAGCTGCTGCATTCAGCTTAATAAGCATATCATCAGCAATCGACCCTAGACAACTAGTTTATCAGAATGAACATCCAGCCACAAACTTGTCCTGAGGGTTCCCCAGGATCAAAATCCTCAAACACTTGGATTGCCACACAGATGGAAGCGTGCGCGTATGTTAACTGTGCTGCCTGGGGCAGTTGTGCTGCCAACCCCAAGGAATGGGCCAGCAATTCGACCTCTCTTGGCCAGATTTTGAGCCCTCACGGCGCCTCGAGAACCCTGTCCATTGGCTCAAGGCAGCGACATTTCTTTGGCGATGCAGGGGCATCAGATGAAGCACCAACAGGAGTCACGGAATGGACAGGGCCTATGGCTCTCTGCTTAACAAAACTCCCCAAGTCAGGAGTAATTAAGAAGCGCTGTTTGAGAATGATTTGACTCTACTATGAATTCAAATAAAATCTCCATCTTCTTGAGAATACTCTCTTTGATTTCAGTCAGTCCTTTTTGATAAGTATTCTTCATTCTTTACATCTTCTTGGGGTGTCTTTGGCATCTTTTGCTTCACATTCTTTGGCACCTTTTTTCAATATGCAGCGTCGACTTCTACTCTCCCTGATCCTACCGCTATTAGCATCAGCGCGGGCCTTGATCCCCACGCCCGTTCAAACAGTCGTACCCCTCAATAGTATCGTTCAGCGTGATGGCCCAGAGCCCACAGAAACCAGAGAGCCTTTCGTGCCGAAAATCAGCCTCCATCCGATCTCCATCCCCCCCGTTTCTATCCCCCCGGTGTCAATACCGAGCTTTACTTTAGATCTGCCGAAAAACACTTGCACGCCAACTATTCAGCCAGACGAGAATGGCTATGTGCCACCGACGG